CATCTCAGCAAAATTATCATTTAAGATGTTTGCGACAGCATATGGTTCTTCTATTTTTTTGCCGTTATGTTTGAGTGAAATATTACTATGCCATCTTTCTTTTTTACTTTTTGTTTCAGTGTTCACAATTTTCCAAACAGTTTTGTTAACATTGGTAGAATTTCTAATTTTATTGTCAAAATGGGTTTTTTTCTTAAGTTCTATCATATTTTTGTATCTCTTCTTGTGTTCCTTAATATAATTCTTCAATGCTAACATATGACATATGACACTTTTAAATTAAAATTCAATTTCTATTGCTACGTTTTTATTTTTAGGATGGCATCGACGACGAAGAGTTGTCAGTCGTGGACTTGGATGCAACAAGTACATCGGCTCCAGAGAGCTCGGTCGAAGGATCAGAAAAACAAGAGAGCTGCGCTGGACCAGGAAAAGAAGAGAGCTGCCCAAGACCAATGAAACAACAACCTAAAAAGCGTTACCTTCAGCCGCCAGTTAAACCAATCAAGAAAAAACCATCTACAAAAGACATGGCTGAAGAGGCCTACGTAGTAATGAAGAAACTGTCGAAGGAGAAGGAAGAGGATCGTCCTAAGGATGAATTTGATGTTTTTGGGACACATGTTGCATTCCAAATTCGCAACTTACCTTCAAAATTTTACCAAGCAGCTGCGAAACACCGTATAAATCAAGTTTTGTATGATTTGGAGATGGAGCATTTGCATGGCAACTTTATTAACACGCATTCTTCGTCATCATCAAGAAGTGTCTCTGGCGCCGCATCTCCTTACCAGGAACCTAATCTTCAACCTATTAATTACGAGCGTGAGTCTCAACCTCAGCAGCCACTAACAAACGAAGAACAAAATGAAGAGCCAACTGATGCTTTTATTAACAGTGTTTTAAAACATGTGAATACAAATTATTAGCTTTTGCAGGTTAAACTTAGCTTGGTTGTTTTTGTCTACCTAAATGCAAGTTAAGGGGAATTTGTTTACTGTTTCACGTGTACGCAGGTAGCGTACAACACGAGTACACCACAGCTAGTATACAAGGACATGTTTAGTATTAACGTCTAACATCATAGTTGGTACTTATATTTTTTATTACAAATTTGTTGAACTCATTCTCAAATGTAGTACTATGAAATCTTTACAATTCAAGGTTTATTCTTATTTTTAGTTACTTTGTAATACAGGATTTTTTTGTTGTGTTTTTTGTTGTGTAGGCCTAAACATTCAATTACTACCATTAATACATCCATTATTACATCTCAACTCGTATTCAATCTTTGTGTTGTTTATTGAAAATGTTTGTTATTATTCAATTATTAGATACTTACTAAACAATAAAGAGAATATTTAAAAAAAATATCTTACTTACTTTGATGTAGTCCTGAAGTAAATCTATCAAAGCTTCACAAACTAGAGGAACGAAGAGTGATATAGCTGACTTGAAGATTTTAAACAGGTAGCTCAAACTCTGGTACGAATCACCACTTGCTAAAAACCGTAAAGTCACAGCCAACTTCTCGCGGACAGGTATTGCATCTCTGAATGTTGTGTTTTTTCTTTCAATCTTCTGGCCAATCATGCCAATGATGAATTCGAAATCTTCACTCGTCATACGTAAAAAGTTTTTAAAGCTACCATTGCACCTTATTTCGCGTTTTAATGACGGATCATCAGCGTGATCGTCATCATTAAGATCACGCAATAAATCTGATGCACTATACTTATTTCTGGAAGCAAGCGACGGTCGAACCCAAAACCTTCGCTTCCGCCTCTGACTTCCTAAAAACACCGTGATAGCTGCCGCGAGCAATAGGTCTCTTCGGCGCGACATTTTGATACGGAATATGAATGAGGTTGTGCTGCATAATTGCTACATATAACATGTAGCACAGGCATCGGAATCACAAAATTCTCTGTTTTTTTGTTAGCAAAAGTTATATAGCAGTGTTATATAGCAAAAGTTATATAACAATGTTATATAGCAAAAGTTATATAGCACGTTTTGCTACATAGTGTAAACCCGGCTTAATGTTGTATATTATTACGGATGATATCTTGAGAAATATTCATCAGCTGAGAAAAATAATGGTATATTTGGATTCAGGAGGTAAAAAACTATAAAGTGAGATATCAAAATAAAAATTCGTTTGGAGACACCTATACGGAATGATTACCACAATTTGAAATGCATAAGCATTACTGTATTAACACTAGACATTCCTTTAGTGCTAAGTTAATGCCTGGTGTAGGCTAAACTTTTTCAGTGAAATAAAATGTAGAGATGACGAGGACAAGAAATCTTTAATTTCCAAGTTATTTAGGCCTAGCCTAATTTTACAACTTTTAAAATGTTGATACACTCAATTTTTCTGCCTAGGTAGACCTATATTTTTAATTTTTATTTCAGTTTATATTTTCTTGGGTGATATTTAATGTTTTTTGCCTCATAAATCTTAACTTATCTAACTTGGGAAATGTTCAATAACTTACACTTTGTCAAAACAGCTGTTGAAGGCTAACTTAGTTAGGCCTAAATCTACACCACGTTGTAGACTACCTACAATTTTTTAATCTATTTTTGTGTTCATGCCGTTCACATTTTACTTACACTTTGTTCATAGGCTAGTAATTAAAGAGGTCAAATGTTTGTCTGGTTAGGCCTAACTTACAACCTAACATTACCTTGATAGACAATCATTAACTTTTTATTAATAGCCCAATGACAAATGGCATTTGGGTTCGGTAACGACCTCGTTTGGAATCGAACCCAATAACCTTCAGATTTGAAGGCGAGCACTTGGCTACCCAGACAATTAAGTTGATGTTCCAAAGTAATTTATGCTGATGTGCTATGCAGGGTTAGGGAAATGTAAGTTATGGATTGGATACCCTTAAGGCCATGCCACACCGAGTTCAGTTCACTACCACGCTGGGAGCGAACTTTAAAAAATCGTTCACCATATTATCAAATAGGCCTTAAGTCACACAGAACTACTGCGCAACCCCAGGCGGGCGGTAGTTTTGTCTATCGCATGGGCAAAGGTGCAACTAATTTTAATTTTAAAAGTAGGTTTAATACAGTTTAAAATTGAATTTAACATGTTTCTTTTGTTCGTCGATGTAGGGTATTTTATGTTTCATATCAAATTTGTTATAGGCCTTTTGTTGAGGTAAACAAACAAAGATCTGTTATTGTTTCATCAATTGTTTCAATTTACAACAACCAAAACGGTATAAATGTTAACATGAACATTTAATAGAAGGCAAAAAAATGCCATTAGTTTTGAAATGTTCGTAACTGGATTAAAGAAGTATTCCACTGTAGCCTATGTTTTTATTTAAAAAATAACTAAGTTAGTCTTTGTAGTGTAGCAAAAAATAATGTTCAAGACACAATTGAAAGTGGATAATTTGTTCTCAAATGGGGTATGCGGTGAAGTGAATAAAAACTTGCATTTGCTGAAACTAGGTTTTATCCTAGCATTAGCTTAGGCTACTTTGGTGTGAATAAAAGGAGTTAGCAATTAGAAATTAGCAATTAATTTATTCACTTCACCGCATATTTAAAGTTCTTGCACTTCGAACAATAAAAAATAGGTCTCAAATAAAAAAAATAATTACAGTCCACTTTTTCATGTTCAATAACAAACAAATGGAAATTCAATTGCTTCCAAAAACGATTTACAACTTTTAAAAACCCAGAAAGTTTACATGGCATACTAAATAGGTAAGTTAAGACATGTGTTTATTATGTAGGCCTAAAACGAATTGTAATGTAACCCAGCTCAAAACACCCGCTGGAGACGCGGCACTTTTTGTCTGGCACGGCTCGAGGTATAACGTCCGCACACGGTAGTCCTGGCTGCGGTAGTGGCGGATGTCGGTGTGGCATGGCCATTAACTTACTCTTAACTTTTCTATGGTTTTAATACTTGGAAAATAACCTCTGCGCACCGTTTGATAGCCTAAGTTTAGTATAAAAGTTCACTTTTTGGTTTGGTTGGTATGACAATATCCCAGGATCCCGAAATGGTGTATTTTGGTGTAAATTGTAAATGTAAAGCCCCTTCAATGGACACTTTATTTTAAAGGCCTTTAACTAAAAGTACATTTACGTAGGTTCTCTCAAGTTGATAAAAGGCCATGAATGTGCGGCCACACTGTCATTTATTTAGGTAATCAGTAAAGCAATAAATGAGGTTAGAAAAATAATAGGACCGAAAACCTTTTTCATAGATTGAGGCTTTATTGATGTTTACTATAAAAAAAAACATTTCATAAATCAAAATACATATTATCCTGAAGGTTATTACGGTTCATTTAAGAGTCTTTTAGTAAAAAGCCCAATATGCTAAATTTATAAAAAAGTTAACCCTGCCCAATGAAATTATTTCAGTTTGGACAGGGACATTGTGGCATCACCTCTCTATTGGTCATCGAGGCTGAACCAATTAATTTTTTTTTACTTAACTACTAATATATTTTTATACAACGGCAGTTTTTTTTAAAGTTTTTTTTTTAAGGAAGCAATTAAAACTCTAGACGTTTTACTGTTTAACAAGTTGCGTGATTTGCCCCTAGCCCAATGACAAATAGCAACTCGGTCCAGATTCAATCCTCAGGATTGCACCAGGAACCTACAATTTCAAATGACGTAACTCATATGCCTACTATTACCTCGTGTCAGTTATATTTGCACATGAGTGACAAGAATTCATTGTTGCGCTATTCATTGTATAATAACTTGTACTGTAAATGAATAATGAATTTTAATTTGAAGAATTTGTTCCTTTTTATCATCTTGGGTCTATTAAACAATCAGGTCGTAAATGGTTAAATAACTACACCAATTTTTTAAAGATTTTGTTAATAAAGAAATAAAGGTCAACTAATGAAACCAAGCATGCGGTACTAATTAAACAAGTTAATGATTTAGAGTTTGGTGAATACATTTTCCATCTGACGGACATGTCTTGATAATTTCAGGAAATTTTCAGCCATCACGGAGTAATACTTCGTAGTGTGAATGCAAAGGAAGGCGATGATGGCTTCTGTAATGGTACACTCAGCATTGTGCAATACGTAAGTTAAAACTAAACTTAAATGTATCTGTCACTCACAGGAGTCTAAGAGTTTCTCTTTGATGAGCTCAAAACCATTAATGAACAGAAGTTTTTTTACCTTACCATTCATAAACCATGGACCATTAATGGTACAGTATTAACTATAAACAAAGAGTGATGTAGGGAGAATAGCAATATTTAGCAATTACACTAAGTCAAAATCTTCAGGATGCATTAATGACAAAACATTTGTCCACAATCATTTTACAAAATAAACCATTAATATTTTATTCTATTTAATTTAATTTTTTTTCTTTTTGCTACTTTTTACATGATAAGCTATAAGTAAAACCTTACCTATTAGCTAAAACAATAGAAGTCTTGTTATGGATTCAGTTTAAATTGGTGCAATTGTTCAGAGTTTTGGCAAGTGCATCGAATGGAAGCCGATCGAAGTGTCGGAGGTATCAGACTGCCCGGAACAGGATTGGTCTCTTGTTACAACCGTCGGCCAACGAGCTCGTACATTCAGCACTAACAGTGGTGAGTTAGACCCTTCTCAGAAAATAAACATATAGGTTCTTTAATATTTTACCATGCAAACATAGCCTATATGATTTTGAGGATCTGCTCCTAGTCCACATTGTGCATTGTGCCATAGTGTACATTGTGTTCGATTCTACTATTTTTACTAACATGACATTTTGAGTTGAAGAGTTTGGCCTACTAATGTGTTTTGTGGAATTTAAATCAACAATTTACATAATCACTGACCAGGGTGACGAGCCAACCTAGAAACTATGAAAACCGGAAATTGCATGTGAATTTTAATGCCCGGAAAAAATTTGTGATTTTTGCAAGGAAACAAGAAATTTAAATTTTAATAACTGCCGAAAAATCTTCCAAAATCACCGATTTTTCATGTTTTGATTCAATAAAGATCGAGATTGTGGGTAACAATAACGAATGTTGGAATTTTGCATTTTGCAATCTTTATTCTAAATCCTAACACACTGTAATGTAAGCCATAAGAAACCAACAATATACCTTTCCTAAACAAAAAAATTATATTTTTAGCATAGCAAATTTTTGTATTTCCCAAACATCCAATGAAATTTGTTTAAATCCTTTGTTAATTTTCTTCTTTAATATTTTTCCTTCAAATTTTTTTTACAGATCAAAATTTTACTAAAATACGATTATGTTACCTATTATTCATAATTATTATAAATTACGATATATATTTTAAGTACGGTACTATTCCATTTAGCAGCAATAAAGATTTGTAGGAACATGACAATGGTTTTATACGTTGTGATTCCCAGTTCAAATCTAGACTGTTGACTTTAGTTGGGTTAAGTGGTGAAGATAATGCCTCATAATCAATACCATTACAATGAATAACGTTATCTTGATTAGAAGTAGGTCAGGCTCGGCAACAGATATTTAGTGATATCTGGTTAGTTTGTAACTTTTCTATAGTTAAGACGAAAACAGTTAAATAAAAATGTTCAACTCTCACCCTCACCTCAAATAAATAATTTTTGAAAATACACTCAAGCCGTACACTTAACAGCCTAAAGTTGTAATAACAATATTTATGAGATAATCTTACCAATAAAACCATCAACACGATTAGGCAATTATGTTTTATCTCACTCCACTGATGTTCTTGTAAGATTAGGTGAAGTTAACATACTTTCATGAGCAAAAGCAACTCTAATACAAGGCCGCGGCCGTTGGTGTGTGGCAACGTCATGAATATTGCCATGGTAATAAATAACAGAAATAACAAAAATGTAAACATAAACATTGCCTTCTCAATTATAAATTAGTGCATCAGCTGTTTTGTTTTGACAAGACAAATGTGTTACCACTTTTGTCTCGCTGCGGCCTTGTGTTAGAGCCTATGGCAACTAGCCGTCACTTTAATTGTTCTATGGTATCAAACAACAGAAACATGGGTGAAGCATGGATTTTTTTTAACAAAAGGCAAAACTAATACACAGGTCTATGTATAAAATAATCTTTGTATGGAAGAAAACTGATGAGGGTTGAGATAACCAATACATATCCTTGAATTCTAACTTGTGCACATAAATTGGGCAAATTGACTGGTGGTGGTGTCTGGCATGGCTGAGTCCGGTGGTGGTTCCTCGTCTCTTGCGCCCATATTATACATAGCAGCTCTGTTTTCAAATCTCTGGGATAGAAAATCCAGATATTGAGTTTAGTTTACAACAACAAAATACTGAGATTCATTCTCTTTAAGAAAAGATAACCATTACGTAACAATTGCGTCGATCAATTTAGCCACAAACACTTGTGCACAGTTTCAAATTTGTAAAATTCAGTTGCAGCGTATAATAGGCTCCATTTAACCTAACACTGTGCAATTGGCTAAAAAAAATTGATTTTGCTTTGGTTTTAATTAGATAATAACTAAAACTGTTTAATGCTATTAAACTTGAACTATTTATGACACAGAATGCTACGTTTTGAAAACATCGACGAAACCGGACTGAAACTTAGTTTTGGAAACAAAGTTGCAATGTATAGTAGGGTTTTACTGAACTATTCTGTGATTGGTCAGGTCCATCAGTGTCTCGGATAATCAGGAATCCGTTCCATCACAGACGCCATAGATCAAGACGTCATCACCATAAAAGATTTTATCAGTTTCATAATCACATTGGTAAAAATTTGTTTTCTTACTTTAATGACTACGTTTAAGTTAACGTATTCACGCGATATATCATTTTTTGCAAGATTATAACTGTTTTTAAAAGTATTTACCCTTCCCAGACTGGCGACTTTAATAGCCTACAACGGGCAAAAATTATTAAAATAAAAAAATTTATTTTCATTATTTGTGATTTTTTTATACCTGCATACATCAAATAAACACAACAGAACATCTCATACTATCTAAATAGTTTTTCCCTTGTTTTTATGCACAAAATAAATGGTGCGAATAAGCAAAATACGGTGGATATATCAGCTGCTAGTATTTGAAAATATGGCCGTAACAAGGATAGGCAATAAATAAAGAAAAATATGTTATCACTATTTCACGCTGCTAGACAGACAACAACTGTAGCTTTTAGCGCCAATAAGTAAACGTTGTGCTAGACGCTCAACATCGTGGGGTGGGGGACGCGGGAGAGGGTGGCCGGAGAGTCGCTTTCAAGTTTGCACTGGTTGTGGAGAGCGCGGGGAAGTAGCGCCGTGGTAGCTCGAGACATCTGGGTACTGTAAAAACACCAGCCAGGTTGTCTGAAGATAAGGCGGATATATCTGTCTTCCGTTCGAAACATAACAAACCATATGCAGGTATATCCGCCACCCGTCCTTTATTGCCAAAAACTTAGGCTGATATGTCCGTCATCCGTTCGCGAAGGGTTAATGGTTTTGGTTTAGGTTGAAATGATGATTATATTATAGACCACATAAGATGGCTAAAAGTTCAGCTTAACTAGCTTTTGACATTTTAAATATGGATCTCAAATGTAATTTTTATGATTATGATAATATTAGGTGTAGTCTACGATTAATCTTTGGTTACTGATAGTTAAAACTTTGATTTTTATTTAAATTATGTCAACAAATTTAAATTGTATAGGTTACTCAACTTATATTTCTATACCATAATAATTCCTTTAACTGTTAAAACAAGCCATGCAAAGTTCTGTCTCACAATAATTGAAAAAAGTTTAGTAAAGTTTAAGATCCACTAATCACTGAAAACCTCCTAAGACAACATTTCTTAAACACTTAGCCTCCTCATACATAATTTTTCTGTATTATTAAAGCATTTTATGTTGAATTTTTATTTTGACATGTGTCAATTTGGATTCTCTTTTGAGGGTACAAATGTATTCCCACTCCATAACAACAAGTAAGTAAGTATGATAGATTTCATACCTTTGTCAGGGAGCTATGATGGACAGACGAGGTTGAAGCCGGTTCGTATCGAGATTAGAGAACTGAAGGCTTATCAGGTGAAGAAGCACGGGAGATATTTGGTGCTTATGCAGGCAGACGGCTCTTCACTCAACGCCTTCCACTTCCAGTATGGCAATGCAGACTGCTTCGTCAGTGCGATGCGAGCGATAGTACGCACTCGCAGGTGAGACTGATTGATGAATAAAACACAACCATACATAAATTGACTTAAATAAACTAGGGACCAAATATTATAAAAGTGGGGGGTGGGGGCAAGAAGTGTTTTGTAGCTCTACCACTCTCAGACTAGGGTTGTTGAAATGAAAGCATGGTCATCAAGATTATAGAAAAATAAAATAATAGTTTGGGTCGGCTCTGTGACATAGAATAGCTGTCGTGTGGAGATTCACGATACTTGCGGCTGCCATGCCGAGTCTCATGTTAATAGAAATTACCATAAATCCCTCCAACTCTACCCTATGCCCAGATTCACACTGTGCATCTAGATTATTTTTTTCAACCTTCAGAAAGTTCCTACACATCTTTGTGAATACTAGATTCAATTAATCCAAAAACTGATCGCTAAAACACATTTCCCAAACAATTCAAATTCCAAATTGTCCTAGAAAAGCAATTAGGCTTATTAATTTTTCTCATACTTATTAGAACATTTCAAGAAATTAAATTTGAAAATAGAACATTTTTAAATAATCAAGAGTTATACAACTAAAAAATAAGATTTTGGAATATATCTAGAATTTTCATTCTTTCATGTGCACTTGTAGCCTACCTACATAATTATAGCCCTGTTCACGAATTTACAACACCCTAAAACTACTTTTTTGCAAATTTAATATTGAGGTAACTGAGACTTTGCTATCATTTTATTCTTAATATTCATAAATATGTTTTTCTTTAATCCAAACAAAGTCAATACATTTTTAGGAATCACAATTTTTAACCTAGCTTATCCTTCTTTGATTAAAATAAATAATATAGTAATAATCAACATAACATGTTTAAAAAAAAGTACATTAAATAGATATAACTAATTAAAAAGCGTATTGTTTAAACATACTTAGACACATCAAGTTTTTGCATTTCCAGTTCATAGTGTATCATGGTTTACCAATGTGATTCTAAAGACACTTTGGGTGTAGAATTTATAACCCTGAACTTCACTTGCTATCAGCAAACAAGAACCAACCCAGTTCCGATGTTCCTTATCACTTTCCACAAGCAATATCAGTCTTTTGTTTGTTTATATTTCAGTTGCTAAGAGTGTTCTGTGATGTGAGTGATACTATCTTCAAAAATATAAATAAAGCTTATATCCTTTTTAAGGCAAATTTAAAAAATTTTATTTTCAGATCCGCAAGGGATCGCAACTTGTACATCGTCTTGGCAGAACGAAATGAGGCGGAATCATTGAACCACTCTTTTGCCGAACTGAACCTCTTTTCAGAAGCTCCGACAGATGTTGTTTGGAAGTTTATGTCAAACTTGAAACACCGACCTTATGAAACAACGATGGAAACGTTTTCAAAACTTACGGATGTGTTTTGTGAGTGTTTAGTTTTTATTTCTAAATATTGACGGTTTGATATTTTTCAAGCATCAAACAAATTTCTTAATATATAAAAATGTTTAAGTGGAATTATATAAGTTCACCTGGTTGTTTGGATTCTTTTGTTAAGCAAAAAAAACTGATTTGGTCTTTTTTATGTAGCAATAGTGAGGTCAATCCAAATTTACTAATTAAGACTATTTTCATCCAACTAATGTTTCTAGTAAACAAAATTACAGTAAGTTTTCTTTTATACTTGTATTTTCAAATAGTGTTTAATCAACTCCGGTAATCCAATTTGATGTCGCCTTCAGAGCGATCGTTAGTATTTTGTATAGTTCACACCAATCCTAATGCTAAGTTCAGATCAAAAGTTGCAAACTATCAAATCGTCAGTTTTGTAACGGGATTTAATCCGAATCGTAACCGGAGTAAACTATTTTACGAAGAGGTAAGTTTACCTGGTGTTTCTAGAAGGGAAGAGTAACTTCCCTTATTAATGTTACATCGGCTCGTGAGACCTATTAGTTGCATTAACCAGCTCCGACCTAACCCCTCTGACAGCGAGGGCTGTAGACGAATTTTTGGTCCGTTCTACTTCTTCATCGGTACAGACCAGCGGGAAATTGACTCTGACTTCCCTTCTACAAACACTGGGTAAAGTTAGGTCTTTGTAAAATAGTTTACCCCGGTTAAGATAAAGCCTAAATTTATCCCTCTATAAATTTGACGTGTAACAGTTTATTCACCTTTAACAGTGTTGCTAGTTTTGTTGTTGATTTTTTTTAGGTAAGCCAATACAGTATAAAAATAGTTATCTACACAATTTGCGTTATTGTTTCTTATAAAAATAAGTTAGTTAATTTTATGTTGCTATCTTTATTTCAGTCGGGAATTGTTACGGTGTGAAGGATTATTTAGTGTTTGTAGGATATAATTATTGGCAATAAGATCAGTGTGATTATTTCTTACACATACAAATAATATTATCATCATCATTTAGTACTAGAATTAATTATTTATTAATTTTAAATAATTATTAATTTTAAATATTTATTTCTCAGAATATATTGACGAACTAAAGATATATGACTGATTCTCTAAAGCTTGCAATATTGGTTCAGATCGCCTAGTGTGGCCTAGCACTTTTCAATATAGCACTTGGTAAAGCGCCCCCCCTAACGCCTTTTTAAGTCTGATTTGACATTTAGTGTACAAGCATCCTGAGCAGCGGCCGGAAGATGAGGTGGTGGACTTGCTGAACCGCAGCCTCAGCTCCGGGGAGATGTTGAGCGGAGTGGTGGAGGGAGAAGAGGACTACCAGATGATCCCCTCCCTGCCGCCTCGTCCAACCATTACAAGAGGACCGCCACTCACAGCCGAGCAGTGGGCGCAGGCCAAGGACGAGGAAGGAGTGATAACAGACCCTGACTGGGTCAAGGACAAAGTGTTCAGAGGCGTAAGTATCACAATACCAAACACAGACAACTAAACAACTAAATCGTAAAACTTAAAATCTAAAAAAAAATTAAATGTTTATTATTCAATTGTAACTTAAATAATTTGGACTCCTGGACCTGACATAATAACAACTATTCTATCTTTTTTCAGGTTAATATTTTAGAGTTTGGTTTTTATGATCAATCCTTCATAAATTTAGTAGGCCTAATAATTATCAGTGTGATTGAAATTGAACTTTGTGCAAAAATAATTGCAGTGCTGTAGGTTGTTTTGTTAAAGGAAAGACTCTAGGCCAGGATTTTGAATTTTTGAATAAGGAGGATATCAGCCTTTCCTACCTTGGAGAATTACAGAGGCAGGCTACAGAACATACAGCAGAGATTCCTTTATGCTTGACAAAGTCCCCCAAGGGACTAAATATTGTGTATTTTAGTCTCTTCTGTATGTTGTATGGGCGTCCCTGCAATTCTCCAAGGTAAGCTAGCTGATATCCTACCTATTCTACAATTCAAAATAATGTAGAATAGTATGAGAAAGATAGACTTTCTACAATACAGTTAATTGGTACAGGTATGTAAGTACACCATCACTGTGTGTGTATACTTTCTTACTTGGGTACTGTGAAGTATATTCTGTAAAAATTTTCAGTCCTTACCATTGTTATTATTTGAGTTTTTAATTGAAATAATATCAAATAAACATTTCATTTCTACAGAATTTGTCATGAAGAGTGATAAGTGACCTTTTAGGTTAATAACTTATTATTGCAGGGGTTTTTTGAGCGCTTTTTTGCAATGATACATCATGAATTTTGCGTTTGAGTTTACCAATATTATCCGTTTTTTTTTTTTTTTTTTTACATTCCAGTATTCCTTACTCCATTCTACATTATTTCTAAGATTATTAACACTGTTTATCATGGTTGGTAAAAAGCAAGTTTCATTTGGTACAGCACTTAAGTTCCAAATACAATTTTGAGAATGTTTTATTTGAAATCACATTTTTTTCTGGCAGGGTATCAGCCCCTCACTGCGTCACGAGGTGTGGAAGTACCTGCTGGGCTACTACCCGTGGCACGCAACCACTGCGGAACTGCGGGAATTACGAAAGCAGAAGGTGGAGGAATACTTTCGCATGAAGTTGCAGTGGCGCAGCATGTCTATGGGACAAGAGGAGAGGTTCTCCGACTATCGGGACCGCAAAAGTCTCATTGGTGAGTAAAAGGAGAACTTTACACAAAGAAAGGGTACAAAATAAGCTGAATGGTCATGGTCAGTTCAATTTTGGTCGTTGTTGATGACTGCATCTTTGAACTGGCTGAAATACTTCACACTACAATTCAAGTAAATTGCTCGTACCAAAAATGAATTGCTGCAACACCTCTAAAACTTCAGTCATTGTTTTTGCCAACAACGAGGTCATATCTCAAAGAACAAGATTAATATTGATGGTCTACTTTGGCCATGTAAACAGACCTTCTAGTCTGATAATTGTGGAAAAAGAAGGGCACTGGTTCAATCTTGAGAAATGTCTATGGTATTTAATTGTTTTTTTGTAAGAAAAACGTAATTTGAAGCAGTAAATGCAACAGAATGTATACTTGACGTTATTGTGTAGCCTAAAGTCACGGTGAAAATTCAAATAAAATTTATTTGATGTATAACTAAAAATAGTACATTTTGTGTTGCAGAAAAAGACGTAAACCGAACAGACAGAACTCATCCGTTCTTCGAAGGAGAGAACAACTCCAACCTTGCCCTCCTGTATGACATACTGATGACCTACGTCATGTACAACTTTGACCTCGGTTACGTACAAGGCATGAGTGATCTGTTGTCTCCGATACTTATCTTGCTGTCCAACGAGGTAGACGCATTCTGGTGTTTTGTGGGCCTCATGGACAGAGTTGTAAGTTTACTCTTAGAAGATTCTTCTGTTGAATATAATTCCTTATTTATTAAAATTCTCTCAAAATCTTGTTAAAATTTGATTTTATTTTTTTTATTTTTAAGTAGGTAAAGGTTTTAAACATAAATATTTCCAATTCGAAATATTTTTTTATGTCAAACTGTGGCCTTGAAATTTTTGTTGTCCATAAAAACGTTTCAGTTCTTTGGGATATGAATCCTCATTCTAAAAGATCAAAAAGATAGGATAAGAAATAACTGAAATAGAAAGGTTTTTAGTTCAAGATCAGGCAAAATGAAGTGCACTCCGACTAACTTTGCCTTATTTTTACACCAAAAACGTCATGTTATATGGACACTCTGTATAATGTATATGGATGGTTCAGAATATTGTAGATTTTTGGGATGTTTACCTACTTCTTGAAACTAGAATGGGCGAATTCTTGTTTCTTGTTCTTGTTTCGAATTCTTATTTTTACACCAAAAACGTCATCTTTCAGTTATTTTCCGTCAGATTTTTTTTATCTTTGTATTGTTTGATAGGGAATTAAAAATGAATAGATAAATTGTATTTGACTTTTTTTATAAAATAATCCATTTTTGAGTTATTTAAGTAATACAAATTTTAACAGCTGGCATTAGGAAATTTCTATTCGGACCAATTTTATTACTTTTTCTATAATAGGTCTTGTGTACGTTAACTTGCTTACCAAGTTTTATAATCATCGTTAAAACATATAACTGTATTAAAAAACAAAATGGGAGATATCTGGGTAAATATGCATTTTCGGACATACCTTAACATAAACTTTTTTCTTCCTTTTACTATGAGGATTCATTTCCCAAAGTGTTGAACGTGTTTTATGGACACCCTGTATAATGTATATGGATGGTTCAGAATATTGTAGATTTTTGGGACGTTTACCTACTTCTTGAAACTAGAATGGGCGAATCATAAAATTTTAATTTGAGAATAATTTGTACAATTTTTTTATACCTAATGTTTGTTACAGTATAGGAACTTTGACATGGACCAGGCAGGCATGAAGAAGCAGTTGTCACAGTTACACAGTCTGCTGGGAGCGGCTGAACCAGAGCTGGCTGGCTATCTGGACCGTCATGACTCAGGCAACATGTTCTTCTGTTTCCGTTGGCTGCTGGTGCTCTTCAAACGAGAGTTCACCTATGATGACATCCTAGTGCTATGGGAGGTAATGTTTTATTTAAATACTTTTACTTTAGATTTTTTTCTTGCCAAACAGAGGTCTAGATGCCGAAGAAACTGAGTTTACAAATACATAACGGAAGGCCTGCGGTTAGTATGAGATGCACTGTGAGCCCTGGTCATTTATAGCCGTGGTACTGACACACAGTAAAATATGTAAGACTTTAAAGGAACATCTTTTTTAGACATTGCTGGAGGGTTGGTAATTATTATAGTGGTGTGGATAGGAAGATTTCTGGAGTCTATTCACACCTAATTCTGTCTATTCTGGTATGCTAATTCACAACTCATTAACAGGGGACTTCTGTATTGGTTTGCAACCAATGAGAAGATTACTTCTGTTTTAAATTTGAACTGAAATTTAAAAAAATGCAAAAAGTCCTACATTAGGACATATTTTCAGTGTGTTTGATGTTTTATGACTTATTGTGTATATTTTATACTTGATTCTGCTCTGCAGTACATATAGAATTAGTAAAGATCTTTAATTGACTCAAGTAAGCCAATTAAGCTTGATTCTGTAAAAAAAAAAAAAAAAATACATCTGTGAAAGTTTCTTTTCTTGTAGGACAACTTGAAACACCAAGGACAAAAAATGTACGGTATTTTAAATTTTAGTCACATTTTTATGATTTAAAATTGTGTAAAAATAATATTAGCTGGCCAATGTATGGCAGTTGTATGTGAGTGTATTGCATTTCAAAATTTTTTTACTGTTGTGGCCATTGTGGGCAACTCTGATTTTATGAAATCCCTACTGATGGCAATTGTGTCCAATTGTCTCTTATTTCATTAACTAAATTATTTTTTGTCCTTTTCCAGACTATATTCACTGATCTACCCTGTCCGAATTTCCACTTGCTGCTGTGTGTGGCTATTTTGGACTGTGAAAAAGACATTCTCATCGAGAACAAATACCAGTTCAATGAGATTTTAAAGGTAAAACTTAACCTATTTTATGGTAGTTTTTAGTTTGGTTAACAAGTTTCGTTAATGTAAATACTTGTTGTTACTTGTTATCACTCTCTTCATGTTTGACATAATTATAAATTCTTATTTGCAATTCCTGATATTTTGTTCTGTTATAAATAAATAATCTTTTATTGTTGTAAAACAATAAGCATTGACAAAGTCATACTATACAGTCAGAGACGGACCTAGTGACCATGATATATTGGAAATAACAATTGTTGAAATGTGGCATTTATTAATGGAAGTAAATACTATTTATAACTAATTAAATTTAACAGTGTTTTTAGAACTGTTTTTACTGAAGCTATTTTGGTAATGTATAAAAACCATCGCTTAGGCTACGGGGAACTAGACGTAAAATTAGAAGCATTCAATTTGAAGATGGTGCCGCAATTCCCCCATTGCTCTGTTGAGCTTTCATTTTATTTTTTATACATCCCAAGTAGCTAGTATTTTAAAATTAAAATCTTTTCTATGTAAAAAAAAAAAATTGATTAATGTCATAAGATACAATAAAAACCACCAGTTTTAATTTAACGGTTTTAATGCATGTGTTTGTATCTGTAGTGCTCGTTTGCAATTAACGGTTTATTGTTGATATTTAAACTCACAACCTGTTGTTTGCTCAGCACGTCAACGACCTGTCAATGAAGATAGACTTGGAGGAGATCGTGTGTCGGGCAGAATCCATCTACCACCAGCTAGCTGCGACAAAGGAGTTGCCCCGCATTGTCAAGAGAACCATCGGACTGGCCCCGCCTAGCTCCAGCGGAGACTCTACAGAGGACGAGGCGGAACTTTCGGAACACGACTGCGAGACTGTCCATATACAAGACACGACAGGTGAAGACGCGTTTGAACGCTCCATCAATCTCAACTATCACTAAGGTTCAAATCTTTGGTGCAAGTTTATTCAGTTGGAATAAAAATTGTGATTTAGTGGTTTGATTTAAGGTAAAAAAATCTAATCTATACTTTTTTGTCAAGATGGAAAAACTTTATTGAGTAGCTGATGAAACAAGGGCGGCAGAAATATTAGGCATCTGTGACCGTGCATGAATTGAAATCAGTATGAAAATCAGTTAGGGATGCGTTGATCAAAGTCAACATTTCAGTATAAGAATCGAATGGTTTCAATTCAGGCAATTCTAGTTACAACTAATTAGTCCAGGAAACCCAACCCTACATGAGATGCATTTGAAACTGGAGTTTCTTATTATTTTTAACTGGACTGTAACAAGTCTGCACTATAAGGCAGATATCAGGGGAATCTCCTTTGGGATTCCTATGCACTTCATATACAAAGTTATTGGTTTTGTTTTAACCAAGTTAGTAAGTTAATTATTTATCTACTATATAGGCTATGTGTTGATCTTATCTCTACTATGTGGCTTTTAATGTTGTAATTTTAAAACATCACTATTCTACGTTTTATACAATTATAATAATTTTAGTCGAAAGTAAAAATAGTACCAAACATTGATTAGGCTAGGCCTATTTCACCATAAGGACTGCTTTATGGAATACACAGGATTAGATAAAAAGGTAATTTTAATTTTATAATATTATTGTCTTCTTTAGTTTTAAAATGTTAATACAACGAATACAAATATACAGTGTGTAGCCTAAATTAAGGATTGAAACAAATCTGTATTTTTAAAATCGAAATAGGTAGAAATATTCTGTCTGTGGAGTTCGATTCTTAACAAAGGTTCCGCAATTTTTTACACCAAAAAAATTGTTTAACCCCCCTAACAAGGTATGGGGTAGGGGGTGACTTATTTTTTGTAAATAGCTACCCCTATTGAGTGACCCCTCATTTTGAAGGGCTTGTCAAAAGAAACACAATGACGCAAACCCGAGGTGAATACCTCACCCCTAGCCAAAATGGCAGGCATTCCAAAATGGGTGCTTTTTCACATAAATCAAATATTGGAATACCCGCCATTTGGGCTAGGGATGAAATATCTACCTTGGATTTGCGCCATTGTATTTCTTTTGACAAATCCTTCAAAATGAGGGGTCACTAAATAGGGGTTGTTATTAAAAAAAATAAATCACCCTCACTCCCTACCCTGTTAAAGGGGTTAAAAAATATGGTTGAATTAAAAAAATGCGGAACCTATGTTAACAATCAATTCCACTAACAGAATATTTCTATCTATTTCGGTTTTAAAAATACAGATTTGTTTCCATATTTGTGAAATTGGTGCTTTTTTACATACAGTTAATAAAATTTTGGAATATCTGTCATTTTGGCTAGGGGTGAGATATCCACCTCGGGTTTGCATCATTGTGTTTATTTTGACAAATCCTTCAAAATGAGGGGGTCACTCAATAGGGGTTGCTGTTTGAAAAAAATAAGTCACCCCCTACCCCGTTAGGGGGTTAAAAAAAATTTTAGATGTGAAAAATTACGGAACCTTAGATTTGTTACAACTTAATTTATACACTGTATAACCTTGCTTCCAATGGCTTTTGTTGAACTGTTTTAAGTTGTTCTTTGGTGAAACTATTTTTTTCTAGTTAGGTAAAGATTTAATTTGTCTATGATTTGGAATAGCTTTGGTGATGTCTTACATAGATATAGATTATGTTAAAAGCATATTATTGTTTGTTTTTAAAGATATTTATTTTCAGGTATTTATAAATTTCTTATTTTTGTTGCAGAATGTACGTGAGTTGAAATCTTGAACTGAATTTGATTGTTTGTGCAAGTTAAAATGTAATTTTAATTTGTTACTGTCAACGAAAAGACTTGAGTTTTAATGTAGTTTTAACACAGGTAATTTTATTTAGCTAGTAAGGTTTGATGAGAAATTTAACTCAAGCCTATGGCTGAATGTAAACTTTTTTTAAGAGACAGGCAAGACTGGTATAATTTTGATACATTTTACAAGTTTGGGGTCCAACAAGTTTTTTGTTGACCATCTTTCTTCAGATTCAAACATTATTATTCGAATCGATGGAAATTTTAACAGCAAGAGATGAACTTGATGAAATTATTCATACTTTTTCAGAGAAATCAAATTTCGCTTAAAACTAAATTTAAAAAAAGACTGGCCCTAAAAATTAATTTTTAAATAATTAAAATATTAAATATTGAAAACTAGTTTTGCCATACCTAAAAAGACAAAGATTTACTGGTTCATCTGTGTTTATGACCACACACTATGCACTATTTTTATTTTATAACCAAGTGGAACAAATGTGTCTTACCAACTTTGAGCATAATGCAAAAAATGCTTGTGTAGATTCTTTTTATTAATTTCTGAACCCCAAATTATTTTTTTAGAAAGATCATCAAAGTATGTCTAGCACTTAAAAATTCCTATGAATCAAACTTTGAAAAATGAACAATTTTTACCACATTACGGTTTGTTTTAAGTGTATATATTTGTTTGTATTTTTGTTAATATCTAATATATATCAAGATATGAAGTTATTTTCTTTATCATATTCCTATTTTATTGTTACCTATTTCATTGGTGTGTATATTGATGTATATAATTGACAGAATATTTTTATATGGTATTGAGTGCTCCTGAATTATCTTTGTAGTCTTAAGAATAAATGTTGTCAATAGCACGGGGGCCTTGATCGTACTATTTCATATGAGAACTTTGAAATAAACAATTTGTAGACTGAATGTTCGTATTTTGTGGGTCCTTTGTTTACCCAATGATATTTTTGTGTTTCAATACAGGAAGCAGATTTCTAATCCTATTATAAAGTCTGAAGTTATAGTTCCCATGATGTCTGCTAACATGTGAGGAAGCTTGTGTAACATTGACTTAACGTTTCTCTCTTATTTTGGGTGATTTTACAATGTAAGCTTTTGTTATAAAACCAGAGATTATATTGAGGGAGACGTTTTATTTGAAAATATTCAGATTTTAAAGCTACAAATTAGGGTTTTAACAAACTATATTTAACTGAAACTTGGTGTACATTTTAATATGTAAGCACATAGAATAGTAGTACTTTTAAGAAGACCATTCGACTCTTTTATTAGCTTTGTTAAAAAACTAAGCGAAATAACATTGGATTTGTTTTAATTTCAAAACGTCAAATAAACTTGATATTTTAAACACTTTGCTAAATTCGAAATATTTTACAATAGTTATTTTTGGTGCAAGGTGGCACTTAGCTGCAAAAAAGCACGCTGTTGTTTGGTTGGAATACTGGTGTGCAACAAAAAAAAAAAGAGTATGACAAAAAAGTGTGCGGCAAAAGTAAATGCAATGCAGGAAAAATAAACTTGAATATTTTTTTTTACTTACAAGAAGTTTTATAATGAGCAATTTATTTATTTTATTCAATTTAAATGTATTTACAAATTAAATATATGTAAAAATGTAGACTCTATTCATGCATATTTACAAATAAATATTTTAAACGTGTTTTATGTTACTCTATTGAATTAATATAATACATTACAATTAATAGATTTAACACTCTTAATATACCACTCTATCAAAGTCAATCCATTGATTAAGGCAAGATTCAGAAAACTGCAATAAACAATGTTATAAAAAACATACATCTTAATACGAGAAGTATTAACCAGTAGTTTTTATAATTATTGTTAAATCAATATTTTTTCTCTATATATAATTTACAGTAAAAATATACATTACCATCAGTTCTACTTACCTACAATTAAAGATTTCTTACATACAATACAAACAATAAACGTTTAACTTTAAAACCAAAACAGATTGTAGCTTTCAGTCTTAATTAACTATTTTATCCTTCATACAGTGATACATTTTGTTAACATAGTAATAAATTTTTGTACATATTTTCTGGATACATTCTCAGATTCATATTTATATTTTAATGGTTTAATTTAACATAGTTTATGTGTTATCCTCCTAATATCTACTTACAACAGATGGCTGAGGTGATATTTAAATAAATGCTTTCTTGGAAACTCGCTATTTAGTTATTTGCAGTTAAATTACAGAATTTCTCTGCAAACTAACTTCTCTGCAGAATTTCTCTGCGACTTGACTGTTTTGGAAATCACACAAAATCTGGGTCACTGTATGATAATTCCGCACTATATTACCACTGGTATTATCTTTTCAATGTGAAGTAAACAGTATTTAATTTAAATTAACTCGGCAAAGTAGCAATATGACTATCTTTTCAACCATAAAACACATTAGTAGAAAACATAATATTATTAAATAAACTAAACAAACTAAAATACAACTATTCGTAAATATTTCAATAGCTTAGTCAACTAAACAAATAAAGGTATATAACTAAATAACAACAACATTAGTCAAATAAATACTAAACTAAAACAAAACAATAACAAATATACATAACAAGAAGCAGGTCACGCTGTATGACAGTGTTCACATCAATGACATGAGCAGCTCATTCAAGGATGGTCTGGCGTTGTGTACCATCATCCAACGCTATAGGCCGGACCTCGTAGACTTCCACTCTCTCGTGCCTCTGACAACCAAGAACAACCAGCTGGCTTTCGACATACTGGTGAGGGAGCTGGGCATTCCACCGGTTTTGACTGGCCTGGAGATGGAGCAGTGTGAAGTACCAGACACACTCGCCATGTTGTCCTACCTCTCTCAGGAATATTTATTAATATTAATATATTAGAACTCCTTGCCGAGAAAGAGTTAAGAAGTTGGAATCGTTGGGAGTTAGTAGAGATAAAGAGCAGAGATTGTTGCCTGAAGTCAGGCGAGGTTCTATGGACCAAGAGTTTTCTGGCCGGATGAAACACATAGAGGACCGATTAAAGGGAGCGTACGACAAAAAGCCAAAAGATCTTCATAGAGCTATCGGAAAAATTGAAAAATCCGATTGGAACGTGAAGGAAATCGAAAAGAAAATTACAGAAAAAAAATTTGGCAGAAGCTCGAAAGGTCGTACGGAGCCCAAAGTCCCAAAATGGAGCAGGGAGCAGTATGAAGATAAGGTTCGAAGGCTCACCAAGGAAGACGGTAGGAACAACAAGGACAGTGAGATCGAAGACACTCTCAAGAAGATAGAGGGACACATGAAGGAGCGCAGCGTGCTTGAGCCAGGCAAGGTGTCGGCCATGGCTGCCCATCTGGCCAACATGAACCAGGAGCCAGAGTAACTTGTGCTGCAGAAGCCTAACTCCAAAGCAGCACTGAAATCTCCACGACTGGTGGCTCAGAGATCTGCCATTTCTGTGCCAAGAGGGTCTATGTGATGGAGAGAGTGAGCGCCGAGGGCAAGTTCTTATATAGGGGCTGCTTCCGTTGTGAATACTGCAAGAAGGCTCGGCAATTACTCCTACGACAGAGGTGGAAGGTTTGGAAGATAGTTTTTCTGTGTACATCATTACGGCATGACTCAAACAAGAAAAGAGGAACAAGTAAATAACAAATAACAAAAAAAATATTGCAAGGCGAGCTTTACCCAAGACACCAGACACGGTTATGCAGTTGCAGGAGAAGGACGTGAACGACCTAGGAGCCACACCTGAGAGGATAGAGTTTGAGAACTTGTCAGGTATCGGAGAGACGGCGTCTGACCACGAGATGGACGAGGAGGAGTGGACGGACCGCAGGGATGACCAAGGATGAGACCCTGCGTCTGGCAGAGAAGTGGACGAGACGTCACAGCAACAACGTCGCAGCGAACAACGACAAGGAGAGTGGCTCATGTCACAATACTTGACGACTCTCACGACCGCTTCAGCTACCCTGAGTATGACAATTTAAATTATCTATTCAAACCAAGAGAACTATCTAACACGATATAAAGGAGGAAACTGGAGATTCCTTGATTTTTTATCTAATTTAATACAATTTATTTTTTCTGGATATCAAACTGTTTAGAGACAGAAAAAGGTTTCTAGAAGGGTAGATTTTCTGTAGTATCAGGATGAATTTAGATAGTCGAGACAAGGATTTAGAATATTGGTGTTAACTTGGAAAAGAAACTGTTAAATTCCTTGGTTACTGGTGTTGAAATAAGCCCATGAAAATTACCTTAAGAGTCCTTGGAGGCTAGCGGCCATCTTGGATGATTTCAATCAGCTGCTGAATAGTTAATTATCATCCAAAAATATTATTTCAAATACCAAAGTGATTATAGTTTAAATATCTAGTAAACTGTGAGATTAGAAATGCTGTTTGTAATTTTGAATTGTTTTCCAAGGGAGTCCATGGAAGCCAACGGCCATCTTGGATTTGCCCGCCATAAGATCAATGTTAATTTCAAACAGCCGCTGAAGAGTTATTTTACCATCTCAAAATATTTTTTTTATACCAAAGTGATTGTAATTTAAATATCTAGTGCACTGTGAAATTGGAAATTTAATTTAAAGTTATTTAATTGCTTTATGAGTTAGAACGTCTAGGCTCCAAGGACTTACGCAATTTTTTTTAACGGAGGCTAAATAAAAAGTATGAAAAACCATTCCTTAATTCACAGCCATATTCAAAATAAGTGGTGCAAAAACCCCTATGTGACTACAAATAAAATTGGTAACAAAAGGTAAAATTTAGGCGAAAACTTGTGGCATTTTGAACACAACACTTGGGTATCGACTTCATCTGATAACTGAGTATACGAGTTTATCTATACTTGGGCTGCCAAATGTCAGACATGGCTTCGATACACAACTCTTCTTCAGGAAGAACTTTGATTCTCTTCAAATCCTCAAGGTAAAATGTCAATTCCTGCGTCACCAGCCTGAAAAGTTAAGAAATAATGTGATGAATATCTAAGGTCAGGGCAAATATACATCAAAGAGGTTATGTATGATACATGGTCAAGTGTTAGAAAAACCACTTTCCTTAAAAAATTAATAGTAATTAAAGTAAAGTTTTAACATACATTGATGTGATGGTTTTGTTGTGGCAAATTCATAACTATATAATTATGAGATATAATTATAATCATATTATTTGTTTGTGCAGGGATTTTTCAGCCACCACAAATAAACTGTCAGTTCTGCAAACAACATTAATTTGTTCAGCAAATATGACAATGTTCTCAATAAATAAATACCTCCCAAGAAGTTACTTCAGCCACCACAAAACCTTTTTTGGAGAAAGCCACTTAAAAACACAAAAAAATGTACAGTCTAACCTTGATATAACGAACCTCGATATAACGAATTTTGTTTATCCCCTAGAACTCTCCATAAGACACAATGTATATTTTACCTCTACATAACAAACAAACCATAACAACTACCTTGATTTAACAAATTTTTCATGATTTTGGCTAAAATAAGACACCTCAATATTACAAATTTATCATTGTTAGAACCTCTACATAGCTAATAATTATTTAATAATAATTTAATTTCTGCTTAACGAATTGTCTACGTCTTTCCCTCGATATAACAAATCCCCCACCCCATTATTGTTTATGGAAATTCTGTTTCTTTATCAAATGAAATGGAAAGGTGGCGTCATCGCTTGCGATAACATTCGTCTGCTCCGTTTTACACATCTCTGTCTGCTGTCGCTGCGCTTTGTTACAACTGAAAAGTGAAAACTGATTTCATTCAATGAGGGCTGATGACGATGTAATGTTTACGACCTGTAAGCTGTGATTGGGCGATAAATAACTATGGTGAATTGTAAAATTTTTGGATAAAGAGAATTGAGAAACCTAAGAAAGAATATAAAAAAGAGAAAGAATAGCAAAATCGTTATTTTAACATTCCTTTTACAAGTGTTTTTATTACCTTTAAGTTGGCTATGACTATACACTTTTATAATGACTTATCTAATAATTTATTGTTTTCAATACGATTTGTTTGAACTAGCAACACCAATGCTATAGTTAATGATTATCTTACTAATATTATAAATGTGAAAGTTTGTGTGTTTGTTTGTTTGAAGTTCAATCACGCATAAACCACTGGATGGATTGGGCTGAAATTTGGCATGATGATAGCTCACATTCCCGATTAACATATAGGCATATTCTTATCTCAAAAATCCTTTTGGGCTCCGCCCCAGTGGCTCTGTAACTCCCCATGTTAACCTTATTAGTATTCATATTTAATGGGAATTAAAGAATTTAGTCAGCTGTTTCAACTAAAAAAGTTGGTTCTTTGATATACAAAAGTATTAAAAGTTATAAGATTTACCAACAGGGTGCAGCAGTATATTTTTTTGCATTTATGTAAACAGCTAATTTGAACTAAGCAGCAACGAAAAACTGTGATACGCAATGAGAACTGTCAAAGTAGGATTGTTTACAGTTATGTTTACGTTTTTAATGTAATGAATAATTTCGATATTTTGTGAATTTTTAATAGTTAATTTTCTTTATTGTTTAGGTCAAGTGGTAGAACATTATGGCTATGGTAGAAGTGTAATACCATAGTACACCGTCAATTTAAGGAAGCAAATTTTATTAAACTTTGTCCTCCCCCACTGCAAACGCAAAGCTCGAGTATAACTGCAATAAGCATTTTATACTTATATTCCAACCCCGTACGAAGGACGGGTACTCTGCTAGTTATTGATATTCCTCTGTTGTGATAAATCAGTACTGTACTGTAAGTAGCCTACCGGCCTATCACGAGCAGTAGCTTACAAAACTCTAAGTTTTGTTTTGTTCTTTACATGGTTTATGACTATACAATACAGTGTTTGGCTAGGTTTTATGAGGGTTGGATTAAGCTGTGATTTTAAACTTACAGTTTTTAACCTGCACCAATGTCAATGCCATTGTCATGATTGCGCAATATTAAAGATTCCTCCCCTTTATTATGCCGGATAATTTAGGTTCTACTGTACAATGTAAACACTGTACTGTAAAGTATCGTAGCCTATGCTACTTTAATTGTGTTTTAATGAGGTCAAATCCCAACCTATATTGACCGACGATGGTTCTGAACCTCGACTTCCTGCAAATCTAACTTCTATATAACGAACCTTGTTTTAACGAAATCCTTGATATAACGAATATTCAGTTCGGTCCCTTATACTGAGGTTGGACTGTACATTTTAAAGGAAAGCCAGTAGGCTGACGAGCAGAGCAATTGGCCAAGTTAGTATTAAATTAAGGCAAATTACCAGTTGATTATGTTTAGTGAATTTTATATGCATCTACTAAATCAAATTTTTAGAAATAATCTAGCTGAACCCCTTTAAAAAGTGTATGAAAAATAGTTTATGACTGACAGTCTACACAAGCTCAAGTGGTTAGTAAATTTTGACAAGAATACAATATTTAATATTTATTGTTAGTTTTAGAACACGTACCCATGCTGAGGCCCGCCGTTGTTCACAATGTTCATTCTAGCCAGCTGATCTCTCAGTGTATCCTTGAAAGCACAGTTGATGGTTCTGTACAGATCCTGAGTCTGGTTCTCTGGAAGAATGTTGGCGATGGCTTCATGCAGCTTCATAAGCCTCCTGTTCAGCAAAAGATCCCGTCAGTAAACTACATGTAAAATAACTCTCAAGATTGTTGTAAAATTAGCATTGTTATTGGCAAATGTAAATAAACTATTAGCAAAAATCTCTAATTCTGAAAACATTCAATAAAAAAAATAATATACTTTTATCTTTTACCAGAATTATTTTGTTATTTTTAGTATTTTGGGTTGCAGTTTTATGGCTCACTAGGGCCATTTAGAAGTAGTAGGCTTATTTTTTTTTAATCTTGTGTTTTAGTTGAATCTTGTAGTGTTTTGTGCTTTTTGAATGTGCATCTTAATTCTTAACCTAAGATAGTAAAATTATATTTTATATTAGGTATGCAGATAAAATTACCTTTCTTCAAACATAACTCCAACTACAAATGTCCAGTGTCCAGTGTTCAGTTATACAACCTTCCATTTAACCTTTACCTGTGGACAGCCTAGTACCTCAAGAGCATGAGCTACTTCTGTGTGGTAGAATCTAACGATTGCCAAGACAACCTATTTTGCTGTGCACGGACGATAAGTGCCCAGCTTTAGGCACCTGCACTTGGCTGTACTTTAGTTTTCACGAGCATATTTAAATGATTGTTTGAAATGTTGGAATCTAAATGTTTAAAAGAAATTTAACATTTTTACAATTGGTTTTTCCCATTATTTTTCCGTGTTACCTGAGCTCGCCTCTGCCGGTTCAAATAAGATAAGTTAATCAAGATTTTACTGTAACTGTACAATGTTTACTCACTTGCAGATGTTCTGGAATGACTTGGAGGGTACAGGTGGCCGAGCCTCCCAATGTTTCAGCTCATTAACCACCAGAGGTTCCATGATAGACACCAGTTTGTCTTGCACATCTCTCACATGTGTCTTGATGTGGCGAGTCACCGTCTCCAGCTGAGTCATTTTGGCACTCTCCGGCAGCAAACCTGACACAAGCCCTGATCATGAGTTTATCAGACGCAATGCTGACAAATTTTACTGGTTTGATTTATTTCTAAAGAATCTTGGAGCAGCAAAATATCATATTGTGTTGTGAACCTATTGCGTGCATTGCTCAAAACGATGCGGTATTTTAGCCTATTCAACTGCTCTTTTTTTAGATTTTTTTGTGGATAAATTCATCCGACCAATCCTAGTTTTTGGTGTCAAACCCGTGTTCGTTTTCATGAAAAAACCCATATGCTTGAAAAAACCCATCCAAAACATTTGCATTTGTTTGTTTCATTCAAGAACAGTTTCAAAACAATTTTCTCAAAAAAAAAGGTTATCTCAACTTTGATTAAACTGGGGTATTTATCTGTAAATTGTGTGGCAAACTGTGTATTCTATTTTTAATGGTCAAGGTACATTGATTAACATATATTTCCTTATGTCAGCTGCCAGTTCAAAACTACGAAACTAAAAGTGGAGTTTATCTTTTGATACAGTTCCAAGACTACTCCTTTTAACAAAGTGGCACCCTAAAACCTTGACCGGGCAGAACAGTTGTATTTAGAAGAAAATTTAAAAACCAAATACAACCAATCATTGAGTTTAGCAGAAAAACACGCTCCAAACCAGCCTAATCTTTGTGGACGTACTACAAATCGGTTCCTCTCCCACCAAAGTCTGACGCTGACCTAAGTTACAACACACCCAACATGTATTCATTAACAGTGACTGAATGACTGCTTACTCTGGAAATGCAGTCTTATGTGAGGGATGAGCCACAGAAGCAGCTGCAGTGCTCGTAGGACCAGAGCTAAGTTCGCAGTTGTGATCTTCTTTAACCCTGTCTTCTCAGACACAGCCTCGGCACCCAGCACCAGCTTGAAACTGCGAGAGTTAAACAACGCCAGGAGTTCTGCCAGGTAGCCTAACAGGTTGGCTGCTGATAGGCTCATGTCTTCTGCCCTTACGCAATACTCAGCCACTATGTTGACTAGGATCAATACAGTACTGTAACAAAGCAAGGGGAGGTTAGTACAGTACAACTCCAACTGTCAGGATTGCTATGATCCAAATCACTAAAAGAATGTTTAAAACCTTAAACTGCAGTAATAAGAATCGTTATTAAAGAAGGCAAAAGCCTTGATCGCTGAAAAATAGTGAACATCTCCTTCGGTCCTACTTGTAGACATCATCATAGTCTTTTGTGGTCGCGGCAGAACCTTGAATACCTCCCGAATGGAATTGCTTTCTCATCCAGGCAAACCTAGAGCAGCATATTCCTTTCTTACAGGCAAACCCTAAATAAACAATTAAAACATAATTTACAAATTTGTTCTCTGACATAGGTACTGAACAAGGGGATTCTCATGAATTAATTTATTTTTGTTCAACAAAATTCTATTCCTACATAAATCATACACACTTACCCAACTACAGCAAATTTTTCCCCTTCCACAAACAGAAAATTGGCAGGTTTTCGGTTTCTATCCAAAATCTCCTCAGTCTGATCCCTGGTCTGGGAAAATTTTCCTGTGACAAATTAGTAGCATTAGAAGTTAAGTAAAAAATATTAGTTATCACAATAAACCATACGTTGTGTGCTAAATAAACCTGAATGTAACTAATTTAGACTACTGACCTGTTTCCGAGATTTGATCTAAGAGTTGTTGAAACTCCACAGGAACCTCAGTCTGTTTCCAAGATTCACTGTCCAATATAAGAGACAACTTTGTTGTCCGTTCAAAATGAAATCTCTGCATGAATCTATTGGCCTGAAATGCAAAAATATTCATAGAAAATACAATTTAAATTCTTGAAAATATGCTGGTAGAATATTGTACATGTATGTTGTATCAGTATCAATAAGCATAGCAAGTATAGCCGTCTCATGAGAATTTGTGGTCTTTATCATATTTTATTTTAACTTACAAATCCACCCCAGAGGTATTAAAGTTAAAATAAAGTTTACTTTTATGTTGTACAACTGTGTTGTCGTACCTAATTGAACCCTTCACTCATCATTCACCCGTCATTCAAGACACAAACCACTAGGAGGCTAACAACTTTATCCTACTTTCACTTTATTTTGTATTAAGTAGAATAGTAAAATGTGTTTTAAATGGTATTGGATGGATTAGTGGAGACATTTTCCAATAAAAATACTAAATAGCTTAGGCCTTGCTTAAACCACTATTTTGTGCATGTATGTCCATTGTGTTTGCCTAAACATTATTTTGTGGAAACTGTTGTTTTCTTATAAGATTATTTTGTTTCTGTTTTTGACAGCCACACTGTGTGGTTTTACTTTTACTAATAAATGCTGTACCATCGATCGTAGTCATCTTTTGGGATGACTATAGTTTCAAGGCATGCTGCCCGTCAAATCTTGTACCTTCATTAAACTGTCAACACTTTGGTCATTGCAGTTCCACAATCGCATACAGGCAGTTCTACACGATACTTGTAAAAATTTAAAATTCCTGGCCGGCCTAAACAAACTAATAATGCCGTGCGGACTGGTAAATCTACGCGTAGTGTTAAGTGTTAGTAGTTTGTTTAGGCTGGCCAGGAATTTTTTTGTCATCCAGAAAGACGACAAGGATTGATGGCGTGAAAAGGTATTTTCAACCTATTTATTAGTAATTTGTATCAATCCAGGAGGCAAGACATATGGTTTTTCTTTTGTAATTTTCCCAATTTAGCTAGGTTTATATAGGCCTAACAATATTGTTAGGTATATTTTAGGTACTTTAGGTACAGATCCTGAAGCACGGTAAAGATTTGTTTTTTCACTAATCGTTCTAAAAAATGTCCACAAAAATCTCTCAATTAACACAAATTTACCAATACTAGGAGTGAACATCAAACAAAGAAGTGTTTATGTAAGGTTAAAAATATATATATAAATAAATATATAAGAGCTTCCAGACAATCCTGATAAGAATCTGAAAATGAACCTTCCGAGACAAATATTTTAACTCAAACCTTTTTTGTTTACATTTTTAAACCTACAAAAATAGTTGTGGCTAATTTGACAACATATCTTGAGACAATATTTTAACTCAAACATTTTTATTTTTAAACCTACAAAAATAGTTGTGGCTAATTTGACATTCTTGAGATAGCCAATTTTACACCTAAGTAACGCTAGTACCATTTTGTGTGAGAGAATAAAAAAACACTTCTATGGGAAAGCAATCTACATCCCACAAATTTGTATAGATATACCAAGGATTAACCTCGTTCCTTTTGCACCAAAGTCTGAGACGTTCACCACCCCAGCTTTTGTTCTTTTAGCCATGTTATCTCTAACAAACCTGAGATCGGAAGGCGGAGCGCAGGTACGATGCTGGTGCCTCGGGACACACATTCTCACACTCACAGCTGAGCAACTCAACATGTTGATACAACTCACTGAGTTGAGTCAATGTCGCCTTCTCAGCCAGCCAATGAGACGACTTGGAGCTGTTGTTCTCCTTATCTCGTCTGTAACAAAGCGTCCAATCAATTATTTTGGGTTACAGATTGTAAGTTATTATTGTATTTTACTTTGTTGGTGATTAGATGTCTAAAAGTACTTATTCCTTCCTGGTATTTTACACAGATAATTATTACAGAGTGATTTAAGAATGCTCTTGCATCTTGTAAAGCTTTGTTTCATAGTAAGATCTGATTTTTTTTAGAATAACAGTTTTTTTACTTCAAATAACTTAGTTCTCACTCGGTTGTGATGGTAGGACATTTCTCGTCAGGCCAGATTAATGACTTGGACGAGAGCAGTTGCGCGCAACGTTCTTGCGTGTACTGGCACGTCGACGACAGCAACTGCTTCAACTTGTGACTGACCTTGGCATGGTCTGCAGCGGTCAAGAAGTAGTCTCTGTAACAACATGTGAGTTTGTACCAAACTGTGAAAGTATAACAGAAAAAAACGGATTGAATACAGAACTAGCTTATCCAAGAAAAGAATTCCAGAATTGATGTTGATAGAAAATATAGATATTATATATGTATATATATATATTAATTGACATATTTTGCTCCTTCTAGAGGAGGATCTTTTCGATTAAGTAGTTTCTGGGCCCAATATCTTCTTCTGGGCTTTTTCATCCAAAAAAACTATGAAAACAAAATTTACTTTTTGAAGTTTATTCTTGGTTATGGTAAGTTTATGTTATTTAAGAGTACATAGCCAATATTTTCTATCCCGGTTAGCAAGAAAAAGTGCTAACGATGTTTCAAGATCTAGGAGGTGTCCTTAGTCTTGCTAGAGGCACCATCTCGTGTATCCATAGTGTTTTGAAATGATTCACTCACGTAACTGGCATGCTGTTTGTGGCCTCTTCAGAGTTCTGTCCAGCAGATATCCCTGCACTTGCATCAGCAGCATGTTGCATTATTTCTGCGGCTTTCTGTAACAAAATATCCTAGATTCTTTAAACATTCTTACAATAAATAACTATAACAATATTTTGTATCTCAGCTACACACAACCCCACAAACCTTCCCATCTATTAGCAACTAGTAACACAAATAATTACCTTTTGATGGTTTTTCCTAGTGAATTGACCTCTTACAGTCCTCTTACGACTCGGTGCCTTGGATTTAGCTTTGTGAAGGGGAGATTTTTTACACTTCATTTAAAAGTACTGTTACGCAAGTATATTGTCCCCCAAAGGTGGCAAAGGTTCATTTTCACAACTTCTATCTCTGGTAGATTACTGAAACGGTCATACAATATATATTTAAAATTGATAAGTAATAATTAAACACTTACTTTGACCCTTCGGACCAATCTTCGTAGAGTAGTAGCAGCATTCTTCAACAGTTGCGTCCATTCTTCCGTTGCCAATGCCTTCAACTGGTCGTCTAAACTTGCGTCTCCGCTCACTCTATGAGCCAGTTCACTAGTAGCAACCACCTGCATAAATGTTTACACACTTTCAAGTTAGCATAGGTATTAGGTATGGAGATGATTTAACATCAGTGCTGAGATATCAGTATTACAAAACGGTAAAGGGCTCTTGGCGAGAATAGGTGTGATTTTGTTACAATACAATATTCTTTATTGTTCATTCGTTAAGAATTACCATAGTGTCAATTGTACTTCATCGAACTTTGTTTTTAACACGTTCGCTCCGACGTAGCCACCTGTGGCGTTTTTTGCTAAATAAAACATGTACCACCAATGGTACACGTTGACTAGTCATCACGTCATCATGTTGAAAACAAAAACAAGTACATTCCATGAACTTAAAAACGGACTTTGAGCTGACTTTTTGGTACAATTTTTAATATTTAAGCAAATAATATTTAAACACATTTTTTAACATGGTGTTTTAATATTGGTCGGTTAAGTCGGTTTTAACAACACCGACTCAGATATTTTTGCAATAGTTAAAGGAAGAAGGTTAAGTTGGATAGGGCATGTGCTAAGAAGAAGAAGAGGAAAGGAACAAGACTGTATGAAGTTTGGAGAGCCACACCTGGGGAGGTAAACGTCCATTGGGAAGGCCGAAATTGAGATGGACTGATCAAGTATTGAACGACATCAGGACAATGGGTGCAAATGTCAACTTGGCAGAAGACAGAGAAGGGTGGAAGAGGCTGGTACATGAGGCGAAGAATCAACTGAGATTTGTGGAGCAACGGCAGTAGTTTCAATATCAATGTAACCTGAATTTGGTTCATGTACCACCCGTGGACACGTTTCACAGGGCATACATGAACACAAACACAAATACATGGTAAAAACACCCTAGAAGACTCCAAAATGCCTTTTTGTTGCGTACAATCACCATAATAACAGTCCACTGGTGGCCCTTGAAGTTTTGAGGGTAACAGCGTGTACCACTGGTGGTACACGTTGGGGTTTTCAAAAACGTTTTACATCGGTAAAAAATTTATCGGAACAAACGTGTTAATGGGAATAGCAGGCTTACCTGTACAGTGAGCGAGTCTCCTCAATAGGTAACACATTTATATTCACACAAAGTTAAATATTTCATGGTCACTGACCACTTTTTCAATCACAAAGAAAGGAAGATAGCAATTGTGATGTAGAATGTAGTAGTGCCAACCTGGTAAGTTGGTAACACAAGAAGTCATTACATTTTTTCATATAGGACCAGCATAAACACAAGATTTACCTCAATGACTGCTTGTTTGACTGCTGCCTTGATGGCCGATACAGTCTCTTGTTGGTAAGCGTCGATGAAGTCAAAACAGCCTCGCCTCAGCATGCCTAACACTATACAAGACAGCTTGTCCTGAAAACAACCACCGACATTGTTGTTGTTTGTACTGTCCCATACAAGTACTCTGTATATGTAATATGGTAGATTCAAAGATTTATTTCAACAAGAGTGGTTAACTTAATGGTTTATTTAGTACAAACCATACTTAATTTTAACACATGAACACATGGTTTGTAAAAATCCGTCCATTATTAACGGAGGAGTAGTGTTTCGTAGAAATCGCCTTCACATATAAGGATTGTTAATTAATTAAAATTTAAAATCCCCCTTAATAGGCTTAAATTCAAATCCTGTTAGTTTTTTTTTAGATTGCTGTACTAGGAGATTAGGAGTTCCACAGTGTTTGGTAAATTAGCATAATATTCATGGAATTATACCTTTGATAAGACCCTATGTTTGCTTAAGACGAATGAATGAATCTTTCCAAAAAATACGTACCCCTTGAAGGACTTGGTCTTCAGACTCCAGTAGAGGTCTGTTGAGGTCGGCCGTAGCGTAGCGTTCAAACTCTCCAGTCATCAATGTCCCAATCACCTTCACCATCTCATTGAGTTCCGAACCTAAATGTCTGAAAAAAACGCACAGTTACACAGGATCCCCACAAGTTTATCTAGTCAAAATGTAATTACCATTGGATCTAGCAAAGTTTTACAAGCCCTTGAGTAACAGTGCATGGCATTATCGCGCATCCATTCAATATGCATATTTATCTTAAATTACGCATCAAATGTGTCCAATGTTGTCTTAGCCTAATCAATATGACGTAATACATGAGTTTCATCCTCATGGTCACAAGACTGATTCCCATTGCAATTTCTAGGAGTCTCACCTTTTCCAATGAAACCTGTTTGCAATTCCCTTCCAGCAAAGGGAATTATTTCCCCCTTGCGCCCCTGAGCTCAGGCCGTTTTACTGTTGTACAGTTCCTACCTGAAGCTGTGTACACCAGCCAGATGCTGAGACAACAGCTCCTGAGTGGTAAAGATAAGGTCCAACGCAGCCACATAGTCCGGTGCAGACAGCAGCAGTTGTATAGTAGGCTGGGTCTGCAGTACAGTGGACATCAGCTTCAACTGCAAAATAAAGATAACCTTTTATTAGTGTGTTTAATGTGAATCTTGAATATCCAGACCTAAAAAAATAATCTTCTGGCTCATATTTAGATATCCTCATTATTTTCTCTAGCTACTCTACCATCATCTGTGACTTTATTCGAAAAAGGACTTAATATTTGAATCTTAAAAGAGATGTTGGCAGTCTTAATAATAAGTAAGTTTGTTGGAAAATATTATTTTTGTGTTATTATTGGAATTTAAAAAAAATTTTGCACTTTTTTAGGCAGGAGAATATTTGTCTCTGTGGACAAAGGAAATAATTTTGACAAGACCGCGAGAATTTATCATGTTGAGCGTAAACCGTTTTGAATATCAATTATAATTTTCGGAAGCAATTTAAAATACAGAAAGAATTTTGTAAAGAATAAAAGAAAGAACTTCACAGTCAATTGTTGATTTTATCTTGTTTACAAAAGAAATCCTAAAGAATTGGTAAGAGTGCAAACAAATTTTAAAACACAATTGTACTTAAATTGTATTTAATCTGACGCAAAAAAACAGAAAAATCAAACTCAAAGTCAAAGTCAAATCGTTTATTTCCAAAATTTAAACAATACAATAAACAGATATAAATTATAAAGAAATATATTTTTCCGCATAGGCATAAGCCCGTGTGCGGAAAAAAAGTTCTAAATCTGCTATCTTGTATATTGTGGATAAACAATGATTTTTATTGTCTAATTAAAACATTTACTACATTTCTTAAAAGTAATTATATATTAAATAACAACATAATTTAAAAGATAATATGTACAAAATTAGGACACAATAACACAAAATTAATTTAGAGTAGAATTTCCTAATGTAACTACTTCAAGCTTACTGTAAAATGTCTTACCTTATTATATACCTGAAGATAATTTTTCCGTGTGCGTTCACACTTAATTAATGTTAATGAGTCTTTTACTAAAACACTGTCTATACTATTAATCTTCTCCCTGAAATAAAAAATATATATTTAAAAAAAGGAAATATGAAAATTTCAAGAGATAACAGTCTATATAAGTCTTATACAATAATGAAAAAAATTAAGTAGGCTTACTTGCTAGTAGTGACATAAGTGAACCAATTTACATATATAGGCCTACAGGGTGATTGGTAGTCAGTGTGAAAACTTTTAAGGCATTATGCACATAAATTGTGATAAAAATAGACAATTCGGATAGTTATATCTCACTCCTACTTCCAGCAACGGCCATTTTTAGACATTTCTAAATTTCTTGACATTGTCTAATAAAATATCGCTTGTCTCAACTCGTAGCCAACATAATAATATTTTCAATGGCTTTTAAGAATCTGCATTAGATGATCTATCGGAAATGTATAGTTTGTTAGAGACAAATCTAGATATAACACCTTGTAAGTTCGACTTGAATAACAAATTTGTAAAAATCAATAAAAAGGGCGCTACAACTTGCTTAAGAACATTTTGTTATACACCCTGACGGTGGGGGTAGTTGTAGGGGTCCGTATTACATACATAATTATTTACGGGTGTCATCCAGTAGGCGAAGTTTGAGAACCCCTGTTTTATTGGACGTATTTGATCTCTAAATTAGAAGAAAAGAAGAGGATATGAACAAGCTAACTGAAAAATTTGAAAATTATAGTTGGCAAAGAGTACTAACTTTCCATTACGTAGTCATTTTATAAATGAGATGATTCTTGTTCCGACATATCAACTGTAAAAGGCATCTATGAACTCGGACCAAGATTTCAGCTGTTTAGGTCTGCTGGTATCGGTATAGAGACACCTATTTAATCTAATAATGTATCACATCAGTACCCTATATTCAATTTTATCCAAACACATAATACTTTAATACTTTAACACACTGACCTATCTTAAAGATAAAATATTAAAAGATTTTGTGGATTTTCAACTCATCCAGTGTGCTGCTTACCTAAGTGTCCGAACCATAGATATGGTGTGGCCAAGCTGTTCCATGAGAGTATCATGTGATGTCATCGCTAGGAAAAAAGCATCAGACTTTTGGGAAACTTGCTGGGCAATCTGGACTTCCACAATATCAAGGTAATGGGTTAGCTGAAAAATAATTTGATATAAAATGGAGTCCTGCTATAGTTGGCTCTTTAAATATGATCAAAAGAAATGCAGGTTGCAGCTGTGTATATTTAATAGTAATACCAGAGAACAAACTGTCTCCCATCTATAAAATCCATTTAACTCAGGGTGACAATTGTTAGGTTATGTTCAAGTGTTTTTATTTTAATTTAATACAGGAACATCACTGGAGCTTAATTCAACTCAGGTGTTTTTTAGGGATGTTGTTTTAGGGAACTGACGGGATTGAATTTTCAGTTTGGGACAGGACGGGACGGGATTTTAAGAGCTTTTTTTTTAAAAAAGGGCTTGTTTTAAAAGTCTTGAGTACTGCAGTTATCAAAATCGACTTATACCTGTTGTGTCACTGATTTATAAAAACTAAAAAATGGGTAAAAATTTACAGGTGTAGAAACTTGTGACTCGCGGTCATGATATCAAAATGACTCACAGTACAGTCACGGCACGATCGTCGAAATGACTCACAGTCACGTTGTGATCGTCGGTATGACTCACGGTCACGGCGTGATCATCGGTATGACTCACAGTCATGGCGCGATTGTCGAAATGACTCCGTGGTCACGGCGTGTTTATCAATATGACTCCACGGTCACGGCGAGGTTGTCGGTATGACTGACGGTCACGGCAAGGTCGTCGGTATGACTCACGGTTACAGCGTGATCGTTGAAATGACTCACAGCATGACATGATCGATGAAATAACTCGCGGTCACAACGCGATCCTCAAAATGACTTGCGATCACTGCTCAGTGGTTGAAATGATTCAGCTGGCATGCCGTGATCCTTGTAATGACTTCGCCTCCTGCGTTCGTGGAACTATCATGAGCATCTCTCGCAATAGCGGCGTAATCGTTACTCGCGATGCAGCAAAATCACCGACGATCGGATCAAATCCCGTCCCGAAAAGCTCCCGAATAAAATGTAATCCTGTCCTGAAAAATTCCCAATCAAACGTAACCCCATTTTGAAAATCGGGAAAATTTCGGGACCTGTCCAGTGTCCATCCCTCGTAATTTTGAAAAAGACTGTATGATGGAAACTCTATATTGAACATATCTTCGCAAAGTTACTACATACTAAGCGTCTCTACGTTGTTAAGCGTGAAGTTGCTGTCCAGGGGAAGGGTTATATTTGACATTGTACTAACCTTCTCTTGCAGTATCTTAGCAGAGTCAGAGGGAGGCGGAGGCGAGGACGACTGAGGTAACACCCTCAGTTGACCAAGATGTGGAAACACTGTGTTGAACGTCTCTACATTGTTAAGCACAAAGTTGCTGTCCAGGAAGGGTTATATTTGACATTGTACTAACCTTCTCTTGCAGTATCTTAGCAGAGTCAGAGGGAGGCGGAGGCGAGGACGACTGAGGTAGCACCCTCAGTTGACCAAGGTGTGGAAACACTGTGTTGAACGTCTCTACGTTGTTTAGCGTAAAGTTGCTGTCCAGGAAAATTTTTGGAATCACACTTATATCGAACTGATTCTTTTCTGAAACAATGATTTTAACAATAAATCATTGAGATGGGGATGCCACCTAGGTGCACATTTTAACCAAATATGAGTGAAGGATGACTGTGGAATGGTCTGAGATGATCTGTGTAGCTTTGTTACTGTCTAAGATCAGCTGTTTCAATTAAACATTTATCTAATAACTAAAGATCAGGAACAGCTGGGTCCAGTTTAGAACCATAAAAAGCTACTGACTTTTCTCATTTAAGTTTTATGCCAATGCCCAGTAAAAAAAAACCAACACCCAATCTACTTACATTACAGAGATACTATGGGGATTAGAGTCCCTTAGAATTGATAGGACATATTAATAGCAAACTAACATATTTTAAATATTTTTTTCAGATAATATTTTTTATCCACAAATTTATTTAGAGTTGTATAACAGTGTAAAGGTAAAGGACTAAATATAAAATATTTACTGCTTAGTTCTTACTCTACAAAGTAATCTTGGCCAGCAAGAAATATTACCTCGCTATCGGAGAATTGAAATTTTACCAGCAAGGAGAAAAAGGGTTAGAAATGTTTCATCAGTTTTTAATTGAAATCAAACACAAAAACCTTATGTTTCCCTAGTATGAAAAAAATCCATAAGACCTGTATTATTCTGCATATGGGAAGATATCCTCATCCTCTAACAATTTAATCAGTGGTTCTTTTTCCTGTGTCCATGCTTTACTTTAACAGATAAGATATAATATGTGGTATCTCACAAGAGTGCACGTGATTCAATAATTGGACTTTTTAAACAAATTTAAAAGAAATATTTGTATGCTGCTTGTTACTGGTTGAAATTTTTATCATTTAATCAATCGCCTCTTGATTATTTTCTTATCAGAAATAAACAAAATACTTTGCAAAATAATTTATAGTACCGTAGGCTATAGACAGACAATGAAGAAAACATGATATCATTTTGACCTTTTTTGAAACTTGGCTTTACAGAAATCTGGAACATTACCTTGTTGAGCTTCAAAGGCCAATCCATTGGCCATCAAGAGTACCATAACCAAACTACTGATAACAAACTTAAGCTAGAACAGAACAAGTTAGAAATTATCATTTTAGGGATAGGTTTGTTGAAATAACAGCTTACAATGGCTTTAACTTGTTCGCTGCGAGAATCCCTTTGACGGGACGGTTGGAAATGTGACGCACCCTTGGCCCGCCAGTGTATCAGCAAAAGCAATAGGCATTAAAATATATTAATCTTGACAGCGGCAGAGAAGGTACTGTGTTACGGTAACCCGAGAGTGGACGTAGTTCACTGAAAACTCATAGATAGCAGCACTGCTTGGATCTGTAGCCAGTGTCTTTGTAATGTTGTTCAAAGAGAGAAAATCACCGAAAACAGGACAAAAAGTGTTTTTACACAAAGACGGAATTTTACAGGAAATTTTATTACCAACCTACACCATGCTGACATAGTTTAGTTCATCCCCCATAAATGAGGAGGTAACAGTAGACCAACTTGTATAACACTGCACCATGACTCCAATCGGAGTCGTACGCACGCTGTGCCAGTACGGCATGACTCCGATCGGAGTTGTCAGCAGCGAACGTGTTAAAAAAGTGACAAACAGTTACTTACCTATAGACTTGGGGGAGACTCTAAGATTGGGGAATGTTTGAAGCAGTTCTGCATGAGAATGAGGTTTGAGGGCAACACTGCTTAGTCTGGCGTGCTTTCGATGTCTCTGGAAATAAATTCACAATCAGTGTTGCCACCTCCACGATAAAAACAGGGATCTAGTCAGAAACCCTAGACATGTGTTGCAGTCTAGAAGCATAGAGCTACTATGCTAGCATATTAGGTTTGCGTATTGTTAGTGTAGTAGAATGTCAGTAGGCATACTGAATAGTGGCCAAGCAGATTTGAGACCCAGCAAACATCGTTTTTCGCCAATCTTCACATGAGTGGCGAATGCAAAGGAGGGGGAGGGGGGCAATTACCCCCCCCCCTCTCCCTCTAGCCTAGTTAAAATGGGTACCTACTATAGTTTTAAATTGCAAAAGATTATCATATTTTTGTTTCTAAGCTTCTACTTAGTTTGAGTCTTCCTACACCATTTTTAGGCAGTATTACAATTATTAAAAAAACTAAATTTGGCACAGTACATTACCAATTAAGATGGGTTCACAACTGGGTATATTTTAAGATAAATATGATCGACTTACTCTGCGAAAAGCATGATCATGTTCTCAAGTCGCGACTTATCCATCACCGGCGCCGCATCACGTTTCGCAGTCGTTTCTTAATTATTAGTGTTTAAATGTTTCGTGCGTGTTTTCGTGTGTAAATGTCTACATGTTTTTAGTAAAACCATGATGAACTCATCTCCGAGGGATATTTTATAGAAAAACTGGCGTTCACCAAACCTGAGAATGTGCCAATGTAAGGCATGAAACAGCTGTAGTTTCTTTTTAACTACCGAGGATCGGACACAGAAGCCAGGTAATATAAACCATATTAGTGCTAATTTTTACGATCCAGTGGCCAACTATCATGAAAATAAATAACAAGATTAATGGCTATTCATTAAAAGCCTACTTTACATTAAACATTACACACTTACCTTTACAGTCTTTTTCAAGTAGGCTTGAAAGTTTTCTAAAGTTATATGAGGCAAGTATCGAGGATCTGGAATGTCTGCTACCTCAACAAAACTATCACCCCATGTTTTAGTGAAGAAATCTTTCTGCAACACAAGGTAAAACGTAAGTAATATATATAAAGGCTAGTTACTTAATATCAATTTTTCTTTTGAATGTATTAGGTTAGGCCCTAAGTGCAACGTACAGATAAGACATTGGGGATCAACGGAGAAACAATAAGCATTACGGTAATGGCATACTTGATAACAGTATCGTTAAGTTATAGACACTACACATGATTAACTTAACCCACATACTTTCATCTAACTAGCAACAACATTTGTAGTGTTGAGGAATCAAAAATATATGGGAATGAGAATGAGAATGAGAATGAGAGAATGAATGAGAATTAGAATCTCATTCTCATTCTCTCATTCTCATTCATTCTCAACAACATTTGTAGTGTTGAGGAATCAAAAATATAGTCTGTGTATGGATGAATTAAAGAAAATATAATATCTAATATTATAATAGGCCTAAAGAAAATAGGCCTATTGATTTTGATTTTAAATAATAACCTTAGCCTATGTTAAACCTACCTGTTTGCCCTGTTTTGGATCGTTGAGGACCGCAGGCAAGTTTTGAGCAGTTGTGTGTAATGTCCACCTTTCTCCTGAAACTTCGCTCCTAGTAGAAGATTTCCTAGAGTGACTTTTGCCGTGTGTTGCATGGTGTTTGAGAACGTGACGTTCGTAGTCCAAGTCATTTACTCCCTCGACAGGGAGGGAAGAGCAAACGTCATTGTCACCATAACGGCAGACAAAGGAGCCCCCTTCTTGCGAGCAATGCTTGGCTCTCAAATGTCTGAAAAGTGGAACTCTGAATCAAATAAAGTTTATAAGTAAAAAAGAGTATGCCTATAGTTTTAGCTTATCCGATTTAACTTAATTTGGATGTCTGATTAACTTAAAAGATTTGATTTGATAAGCTCCAAAAATCTGCAATAATTTAGGCATCAAAAATCAAATATAGGCTATGATAGCTTAGCTTGTTTGTTGTCATCGTTGTAGTTTTCAGGAGATACGTTATTGAACAATTGAACTGGTTGAAATACTGGTCCAAGTTTGGACAGAATGTTGTAAGGCATACAAAATGTCAACTAAGTAGGTAGTTTTGGCTTGAGTTCATCGGTCATCTCCTAAGGACCAAAACAGTAACTTATTCGAAAGTCTGCTTTGACTGTGGAATCATAAGTTACTATCCGAGTTAACTTACCCTAGATTAAATATCAATGATATGTTAAATATTTAATTCAATTCTAAATTAAATAATATTTATTTATTTATTTGTTTACGGTATAACACCATTTTTACAGGGTTGACATGCTGATACAGATACAATAGGTATTGAAAAATTGAGATTAGATGAACGAAAGAAGGTGAAATGTGAAATACAATTGATTAGCCTAATTAAATTTTCTTCCCTTCTGCCTTTTCTCATGCTCTTTTACTTTTTTTGTTATTTTGCAGGATTTATTGAAAGGCAGATAGGGACTAACATCACATGCTAATGAAAAAACTGGTTGAATAGCAAGCATAATAGAAAATCTATTCAGATTGCAGTCAGTTTACGGTATTGGCTACAGTTTAATTTTGCCAGGTATACCTAAAACAGTATGAATGTACAGGGGTAGGGTACAGTTTCTTAACTGGACTACCCTAATACCAATTGAAACTATCGATTATTATCAACATTTTTAACTAACCTGCATTAAATATAAGAAAATGAAACTGTTATAACCTAACCCAACTAACCAAACTTGCTGATAATGAAAAAATCTAATGAAGGTTTAAGTTACTAATCCAATCGATATTAGGGTAGTCAAGTTAAGAAACTGTAGGATACGGTACCCATTTTGACTTAAGTTATTGTTGATCAAAACTGTGGGCCTACTTACAAAATGAGCTAAATTAACCTAAAACTCTTCAAACAACTTGGGCCTAACACTACACCTACACCTATAATAGTTAGGCTTCGCTTAAAAAGAAATAAAATATAGCCTCCTATAATGCATTATGAGGCGACTATGAATCATTTTAAAAGTTAACCCTAGATTATGTGGGCTGGGTCTCTACTTACTCAACAAACAGTTGTAAACTTGAGAATGAGGCATTTGAACAACGTTCACAGTTGTATAGCTTGTTGGAAAAAGGAGGATCCCTTTTCACATCTTCCATTGTAAAGGTAGAAAATAAAAATGATAAGGAAGCCTAACGTGAATACATTTTGCTCCTTATGCTTCCAATGATGTCGATTGTCGGCTCGGCAACTAAACAAACCAGTTTAAAGTCACCCCTCACGAAAAGGTCCATTCTTTCCAACTAACTGTACTTCATTGTGTTAAGCACAAAATAAATATTAATTGGTCAAGGGTTAAATTAAAAGTGTATAATAATTAATTAATTTGTACATCGTTAGAATAATTTTCATAAGCAGACTGCAACGAACACAAATACAGGAGAGCACAATGAGAATGACATAACTAGCCAGCAGAGACCAGCTGTTGATTAAAAGGTCCTAATGTTTTTTTTCTATCAAGTTGCGTTGGAATAAACAGTCGGCAAATAAAGATACATACAGCTTTCTATAATATCAATCATTGGAGACCCCAAAATAAGTTACACTTTGTATATTATTAGGCCATACTATTGATTATGGAAACCACGTAATCAGCTATCTAATCAATTATTATAATAAAGTGGGGGTTTCTACAGTAGTTTCAAAGGAATATCTTCTTATATTCTGTAACGGTGCATATACCCAACTAAGCAGCGAGCTGGTCTAGTGGTTAGAGCACGGGACTTCGGTCCCTAGTTCAAATCCCGCCAATTTACCAATGAATTTCATGTAAGTGATAATGCCGCAACCCCGAGGTCTAGCCTGAAGTAATATGAAAACAATTCCGGGATCGTTCCTGTAAGAGTTCTAGAAAAAAATACCCGATTAAGAAACACAAAGCATAGACATGCTTACTTCATGCTATGATCAAAGTGTAGCATAGATTTGATTTTCTTAACTCCCATACAAAGTCGTTGACTTAATTACTAAAATGACACTGGCGTAAAGACGAATTAAAAAAAAAACTTACAGCCTCAATAGACCGAATTTACAATAGCTCTAGCTCTAAAGATTTTCGGACCTACACAGACACTTTGCAAGGTCCGTCAAATATCTGCCGGTTTTCTGCGGTGGGGTAATTATAATTTTTAGAATTGTTGTTTTTACACTGCAAACCTTTTAATAGTCATTTCAATCAGATGAGATGAGGATACCACACCACCTAGGTGCGTATTTTAACCCAGATATGAGTGAAGGATTAGTGTAGATTATTGGTGCAAGATGATTTGTGTAGCTTTGTTACTGCCTAAGATCAGCTGTTTCATCAGACAGGATCATAGTTATTCGCTTGGAACAGCTGGTTTTGAACCATAAGAAATATACTGTTTTTCTCAGAATTCGGAATCGAACCGGGGTAGAGATGTGCCAAGCAGTTACTTGGGCGAAACAGCTGCAGCTAGTTCCAAGGTCGCCGTGGAACTCGTTCCAAAAGCAGTTCCAGCTGCAGCTGGTTTTGCCCGCTGCAGCTGGTTTTCCGCGAGCCTTTCAAGACCGGAAAATGCCGCGCGTCTGCGCATGCGCAAGTAAGCGTTATTCGTAGCACTTGTAGCAGCTGCAGCTGTTTCAGAAAATCACACTAGTATCTTCACTGCAACTCTTGCAACAATCTACTTGAAACTGGAACGGTTATCCCGCGCTTAACTCCAAACCATTTAATTACTGTAACTGAATGAAGAATTTTACAGATTATGTTTATGTATGTGTTACTTTACTTACTGTAACCTCTGGCACCTCCTTTATTTTATAAAATAAATTTTAAGTAACTTGGGTGGGCTACGTTACCGTTATCATCTATTCATCTATCTTCAATTGTACCCAAACATGTTTTCCAAAAGAGAAGATCCCAATTCTCATTTCATTTTTAATGGTCTAAGCTTTTTGAGAATTATTGGCATCTTGCTTACAATGAAATATGAAATGTATAACAAAATGTAAATGTTCAACAACGCTAATACATAATAATTTATTTTATTCACTAGCGCTTTCAGAAACAAGTTTTCCATTCAAAAGCGCTAGTGAATAAAACAAATTATTTTATTGGCTTTGCCTTGTTGAACATAGCTGGCTTATTAATTGGAATCCTTCTGTACTTCTCGTCCATAAACTAAAAATAAAATTTTCCACATAAACTACAAAGTACTCCAGTGTTATTGATGTCTTCCATATTACTCGTATTTCTCAGAATCTTCGCATTGAAGAAGGAGCACATCATCGATAATAAATGACCTCCGCAACACAGCAGCAATAAAAATCTATCAATAACATTAACCCCAACTTCAACTCAGACATAACTCGATCATAACATAAAGAATAATAAACTATATGAATAATAATTATGAGGAACTAGTTGCAGTTGCAGTGCAGTCAAGATAAATATTACGACAACGACGCTAGTTAGTGGTTAGTGACCGTGACTTTCTGAATCTGAAATAGCTGCTGCTACGCCACCAGTTACTAGCGCATGCGCAGAAGCGCGGCATTTTCCGGTCTTGAAAGGCTCGCGGTTTTCCCGCTGCAGCGGAGCTATGGCTGTAGTGGAACGAGGCAAAAGGGCTGATGAACAAAATCTCCGTTTATTGCCATAATTTGAGACGTATTTGTTTAAGCTGTTCTTGAATTAGAATATTGTTTTAAATAATGCAAAAAAGCGGCTGTAAAGAAATCAATATCGTGTTTTGGAAATGTTGTACAAGTAATTAAAAATTTTAGTTTGTCTATCAAAGGTCTAAAAATAATACGTGACAAGATCGATATAAATTATTTTAGAGGTTCTTCATATTATGCATTTATTCATATTATAAATTGTTTTATTGTTAAAATAATATTATTCAAACACCACTTACACCAACTCTATATAAAATTCTAAAGTTAATAGTGAAAAAATCCTGAATTAAGTTAAACACAAACAATTATTACGGTACTGATTACTAAGGAAGAGATAATTAAATTTGTATATATTATGAGCACGACTTAACTGGGACTGATGTACTTTTATTAAATTCCTGCCTGAAAAAAATAAAAAAAAAACAGAAAATGATTCATTTCTTTTAAGGCATGTCAACGTCAACCATATCCGCTAATCAAACCTTTGTTTACAATAGACCAAGAAATAAGTCAAAACGCATCAGCTGCACAGGCTAGAACTTCAATGTTTAGTGAGAGTATTAATAAACCAGCTGCAGCTGTTTTGTTGTAACTGTATGTGTTTTACAAATCCAGTTACTCCGGAACTTATCTTTAAAAATTTAGAAACAGGCTGCAGCTGTTTGTGCGTAACTACATTCAAATCGTTCCACCAAGCTGCAGCTGAAAAAGTAGTTCCAGTGGAACTGGAACTGGATTGTGGTTCCGCTTGGAACGGTGGAACGAGTTCCACTCTCGGAACGGTGGATAAATGTAGTTCCAGCTGCAGCGACACATCTCTAGAACCGGCGAGTCGGCGACTCTTTGATTGTTAGGTTAGCACTTCACAATGATCTTAAAATTCGAACAGTCACAGAAATTACAAAATCTAGTGAAAAATACATTATCAAATTGGAAAATCATTCAAATTATCTTGCAATTAATTTATTGGACAATCGCAAAAAATCTAAATCGTGATCTGAGTGCACTCTAGAAGTACTGTTATGACGGTAAGAAACTGGATCCAGCAGTTCCTGATCATTTGGTCAATGGAAAAAGCTAATCTCAGGAAGTAGCAACGCTACACAGATCATCTCATGCCACTCTACACTCATATTTTGGAAAATAGCACTTAGTTTCAATAATTGATAACTGAATCATTTGGAAAAAGAATTTGTACACATTTCAGATTTTACTTGTAATAAATTGTTATTATTGCTCAACTTAAAATAAGTAGTGCATATTGTTCATAATTATTAGGTGGTTAAATAAAAATTGTCACCCCATATTCAGTTATTTTGTTTATGCTGGGGTACCAACTTATATCACTTTGTAAACTATACTGTTGTGATCATAAAATTTATGATTAAGTTCTAAGATCTATTTCCATTTATACAACATCACCGAAAATGGGCCCCTAAAGGTTTTCCCAGGGGGAGGGAGGATCGTTATAGTGCTGCTACTGATTCATCAGTGCCCCTTGCTCAAAGAGACTGGGACAGTGGCGTCATCCTGTAATCCAGCTACTAGGTCACAAATTGTGGATGTTTATTGACAAGCACTGTGGATGCGGTGGTCCCTAGTGTGGATTAACTAGTGAGTACCCTAGTGAGTAGTGACTACGACTATCCGCAGTGCTATCCTGATAATTAGACAAATTTGTTAATAAGTACAAGGAACAAATGTGGTTCTGATTCCAATATAAACTGTAGATACCAGTGGATAGGCTGTTAATTAACAGCTGTGTCCAAGGAACATGTCAGCATTAGTCACGTACAGTAACAAGACTACAAGATCGAGCCACTCATCCTACAGCATATTCTTCACTCATATTTGGGTTAAAATACGCACATATAGTGGCGTCCCCATCTTAAATAATTGATATAGTAAAATGAAATGTAAAAAAAAAAACAATATACAATGATGCATTACTTTATTAACAACCAACAAAAATTTATACAGCCTAAAAGTATTCTATAAGCAGTAAGCACAATGATGGAAAATTACAATAGGTACCATAAACATCAGCTCCCTTAAAATGTTTGACTAAAATTTTAATTTTTGTAACAGGACAAGAACTCCCAACCTATGATGCTAATTAACTGAAAATGGTCCAGGGTTTAGATACTCGATAGTCGATAAACTATTGGGATTGAAACTACAGGTTTGAATTACATGCCATACTGCATACACTTATGACTAAACATGTTACCAGCTTTAAACTGATAAAAATCTAATGAAAAACTATAGCCTAGTGAGATATGCATAGCTAATATGCAAAATAGTTTAATGAGTGAAATGTTACAAAAAACAACTATATTAAAGTAGGTAGGGTAGTTGATAAAGTAACTAATGGAAAATAACAAGTTGATTATGGACCAAAAGCATTAAAAAACAGACTGATGATAGGTCTTCTTCAGTAACCAAAAGGTTCTGTTTAAAACAGGTTGACAAACAATCAATGACCAGCTTGAACATTTTGTAAAGGAGCACTTCAATTGACACATTAAAAGCAATTTATTAGCTTATGTTGGGAATTGTAGTACAGTGATGAAACACAAGTTAACAAAACAAGCCCTGTGTAACCAAACATATAAACTAGAAAATGCAACAAGTTTAGTTTGTTTTTTATAACAAACCAACAACCTTTTCGGCTAGTAGGATTATATAGCACTTTATTTATATATATAAGAGAAAAAACATCTAAGACATAATACATGGTAGTATTTGACATTTGGAAAACAAACAGTTGCTTAAGTATGAGCATACATATTTGCACAAACTCTCTATACCGAGCTCTCAGGCAAATTTTAAAACGGCTACTTCGATTATTCTTGAAAACAAAGTAATTGAGAAAATAACAAGATAAAAAAGTTATAGGTGAAAAATTTCCGAATACGTTGTATGTAATCTCATATTATTCGGTTCGGTATTTTAATTACCCACTAAGCAAAAAAATTAACAAGTCCCACCTAAAATCCTAAAATTAAATTTTTTATCCAGTTTGTAGTAACCATACGATTGATTTCATATAGTACCTGAGTGTTTTATAAGTTCATTGACAAGACAACAGACTTATGCTAAACTATAACCTATCAACTAACATTGACTACATAACAAAGAATAACATTTCAATAATAAAAACAGTGTAGGGTAATTAGACTGTCTCCAACTATATACATATGAACAAATAGGTACATCAACACAGTGAACAGCTCTTTAAGTGACGTTTAAATGAAAAAGGTGTTTACCTTAATTTACAAAACTTAATAGTATAATAGTCAAAAATAAAAATGCATTAAATATGCATTCAAACACACACTTTTGTGTTGTATATTAAGTACTATAGACATGCGAGAAACCCAAAATATTCCTACAATACTGTCTTCTACATCACTGACTATTATACTATTTGTTGTATTAGTTTTCTTGATTCACTTTCATTATTAGTTTCGATTAAATGTGGAATATGTAGTTAGATTCAAACGAAATCTAATCTATGAAACAAAACAAACAGTAAAAACAATAACAATTATTTTATGCAACAAACTATAGTTTTGACTATACAACTGTTAATTAACAACATTACACGGCTTAATGAACATAGAAAGGATCACATTGCCTCACATCGGTTCTACTGAAAACCAAAAACAGTTTTGGCCCTTCATCCTCATGACTGTGTTCTTAGGTTAAGTAAACCAAATGTGTTCAAAACTTTATCGACGTCAAAACAAATTTTTTTTACCTAAACATACAAACAAGTTAGGATAAAGTCATTAGGAACACCAGGGCAAGTAACAGTCTATAAGCCAATGAGGCCGGCCATGCCCAGTCTATCCACCACCACAAGTTGTGCGACCGCTGAGTCTCGGAGAGAGAAAATGTGAGCAAGTTCCTGTTCTGTCTTAGCCAGTGGGAGTGCTTTATTAAACAGCTCTACTGCCTGTCTCAGGTTACCTCTGTAATCAAAGGAAAATACTGTTAATACTGTGTTCTACTAATAAGAAATAAGTAAATAAGGCATTCAAAGGCAATTTTCAATGTTTTTTATGCCCAACTTTTATACATCTCTACTAGGCTCTATCCCGGAACCATTTTTACTCTTCTATGGCATGATTGGGTTGCAGGGTTATTACTTACATAAAACTAAATTGGTTTACACGATTATAACCCGAGAACAAAATGCCACGTTGCACCATAGACCAGTTTGCTTAAGTTTTAAGGTAAGGTACAAAGGTGTTACAAAGTTTTACCAACTGACTTAGGCCAAAACTAAACTAGGCTAATCTTTCCAAGATTATGTATGTACAAAAGGATGTTGATTTTCTTTACTGAAGCGACCATAAAAGAGCAATAGTTCTGTAGGTCAAAATCTCCTGAGGAATCATTATACAACTACAGACAAGAAAGACGTTCTTCAAACATCAAACACCACTTCAGGAAAATGAAGCCTATGGTCAAAACTAGATCTATACGCAGATAAATCACCACATACTATGAGAAATCTCTCGCAGTTTGAGAGCTTAGTGGACAGAGCAGCAGCTCCCTGCATACTTTAGTACGGTATCCATTGGGACATCCTTAACCTTTTAGCACATCTCTTCAAAATAAATTTTCTTAATTTATTATTTTCATACATGCAACAGAAAAGCATGGTCAGGACAGCTGTTATAAAAATGTCTATCTGACTTATCTTACAAACAATACTAAAGCAATTTAATTCAAAACTAACACGAGACAACCTATGAAGAGGCCAGGCCTATTCTATCTCATAAGAATAAGTGATCATGATTTTACCTTTGTACTTCGATAGTGGCAAGAGTCTCATAACAAAAAGAGCATTTATTGTCAACTTGAATGCCTTCATTGATGTACTTGATAGCAGCATCCACGTCCCCCTTCCACTGCAATTGGAGCAATGCTGAAAATACAAAATATTATTATATAAAACAAATATGATAAAATTGTGTTGGGAATTCAATTAAATATATCAATATCATTGTTAACCTCTACTCGATACAATAGAATTTTTAGTGGGTCGTCTGGACAGACAGTGTAAAGAAAAATAAAATAATCTTTACTTATATTTTGGGTAAGGAATAACAACTACTTTATTACCTTACTTAATTGATCATTCCATCAAATAAAATCACCTCACACCTTTATGTAATACAATTTAGGTATTCCATACAGGTGTGAGTGTTATAAAAAGTTGCCCCCTGGTGGGGGTTTGGTAATGAAATTTAATTAATTTAATCAGACAACTGAGGACAAATCACAGAGCTGGCAGTGGAAGTAAGATGTTGTATTGAGCCCTGGTAATTATATATCCCAGAAATCCGATTTATGGACCGTGAGAGGTCTGATATGTCCTCCTGTAAATACCTTCTATGATCTTAAACTTAACACTTCTTAAAATGTAAATAAATGTATACCAATACTCTGAATGCAAAATGTACTCTTTGTTGAAACTTAATTAAAAAATGGCAATGATTCTGTATTACTGAAATGTTAATACCAAACACTGATTAAACCAATACGTAATAATTTGTATAATAATATTCAATTTACTGATATTATTTTTTTTTAATGCAATTGTTCGGTTAAGCCGAATACCTTGACCAAGACAAACACAGGAGAATTAATAAAATTGTTGAAAGAATAAGCTCAGTATAATGTCACTTTAAATATTTATAAATGTCACAAATAATCAATAACAATTCAAATTCCTGCTCTACTAACACTTCAATTGAATAGGGGAGAGTATTGATTGTGGTTTTTGACTTTCTTTACTGAGATACTGACAGCAGAGCCTCGGGAACCTAACCTAGGTTTGATTTATTTAATCTATTTTTAGGCTATTAGGCTTCCCAAATCAGTGTATTTATTAACAACTGGCCAGTTGGTCTTATTATGCAAAGGGGCTATTCGTAGTTCTGTGTACAGCACACTTTGTTGCTCAGTGGCAAACTGGGCCAAATCGACTACTGAGTCGATTGTTTGATTTAGGTTAATAAAATGACTTTTTATGGCGTTAATGGAAGCCTGTCCTTATAGCCTGTATTGAAACCTACCCTTCAACCAGGACAATGCTCTAATTCAAACTGAATTTGTACACAATCAAATACTCTCAGAGATCTCTTTATATAGTTTAGAAGTGTTTTTAAAATTAAATATTAAGTAAGAACAGTTGTAACAATATGGCGTGACAGACAGATGACAATGATATAATTGAAGTTAAATACAAAATTTACAATATGAAATTTAATTAACATAAAGATTTACCCAAATTATTGATCCAATAACACCTACAAATGTATCACAGTATATATTCAAAATAAGTAAATGGCGCTAACTTTAAGGCAATGTGACCAAATTACATACTAAGACATGAAACCTGCAAGAAACATGATCTAACAAATGTGAATGTGGACAGATTGGCTCGTCTTACACAATTAAATACAAATTACACAAAACATTTACTTACATACACAGAAGACAACTTTTACGACACTTAAAACATATAATTACAACACTGTACTTGGGGTTGGCTCCACGAAAATGGTCAAAATTTGACAAATTTTGCCTGTCGACGTCGAACTTAAAGACTCGATTTCTTTAATCAATTCGTAATTTAGCAAACGCTGTTTCACGGTTCAAATACCAATGCACCCCGGAAATCGAACAATTGATTTCGTTGGCGAAATACACGTTACGACTAGGCCTACCAAAAGTGAGTTTTGCGAATAGAAAAGGAGAATTTAAAGATTTTCGATCATCGCGACTCAGAGCCTGATTCCCAAGTGAAGCGACCGTTAGAAAGACGTCCACACAAGTCAACAAGTTGATATCACTCCGCGCTCACGTGATTGGCCGTTGTTGGGTCCTTGCCTTCGCGCGTTTTCTGTTTGATTTGAATTTGAATCGGTACAACAGTTAGCAATATACCAGTTGCTCCTGAACGCCACATAAAATAGCAGACATTTGTTCAAGGACACACCCATTGCTCAGGGTATAATTGTAAAATTAGACTTGCATCTACAACTTAGGAGTTTAATAGTCCTACTAATATTATAAATGAGAAAGTTTGGATGTATGTATGGATGTATGTTTGTGACAAGTGAACGCGAAAAATACTGGTCGGATTGGGCTGAAATTTGGCATGATGATAGCTCACATTCCCGATTAACATATAGGCATATTCTTATTTCAAAAATCCTTTCGGGCTCCGCCCCAGTGGCTCTGGAGTTTCCCATGTTAACCTTATGAGAAATGGAATTATTGAATCTTAACAGCTGTTTCAATTAAACAAGTTGGTTCTGTTCTATGATGTTCAATAGCATTAAAGTTACAAGGATTACCAACAGGGTGCAGCACTATTATTTCTTTTACATTTATGACAACAGCTAATTTGCAACCAAAAGGTGAGTGAGCGTAGCGAACGAACTTCAACCTGGAGGCGAGTTAGCGTAGCGAACGAGCTAACCTGAAGGCAAGTGAGCGCAGCGAACGAGCTCCCACCTAAAGGTGAGTGAGCATAGCGAACGAGCTCCAACCTAAAGGTGAGTGAGCGTAGCAAACAAACTTCAACCAGGACGTGATTGAGCCATGCGAACGAGATAATCTTGAAAATTAAGAAGTTAAACGGGGCAAAGCCCGCGGGTTACAGCTAGTATCTTATAATTAGACCTACCATATGTTACAACATGAACAGAACATTTTCTAATCTAGCTGAGGGTTTGACCCCTTATTAGCCTACTAAATAAATGATTTATAAATTTTAAACAAAATATGACTAACATAACTGTATTCACTTTATCATTCGGGACCCTTCCATTGAAAGAAAGAATGAGAGCTTAGCCCTGCTATGATAACAATAACATCATACAAAAATAGTTTTAACATTTGATTTTCCTGATAGTGGCTCATTCAAACCCCATTATTACTATAAAGTTGGCCACAAATTTAACACAGGAATGAAATATCTGCTTTGTATTAGTGTATTTAGAGTCAAAGCTTTAACAGAGCAAATTTCCAAACACATTAGCTCAATCACGTTCTTGTTTCTGTCTTCTTCCCTGTACCTAAACTAATTTCTTTGGCTATCTAGGTCGAAAACGCTGAACAAACCCCAAAATTTGGAAAATAAATAAATTACAAACCTCTGTGCACTCTGATGGTAGCGTTAGCGGGATCCATCCGCATTGCACTGTCGTAGTAGTTATCCGCCTCATCAAACTGTTGTTGGTCCATGAGCACCTGATTGGAAATCACTAAACTTACAAAATAGTTTGATAAATGAATATTCAACTAATATTTTTCTAACACGGACAATTTGGTTTGTACCGGTACTAATAAAATTGATTTTCATATTGCCACATTATAAAAATAACTTTTGATTTACCAAAAAATATTTCACTTTTCAAACTAACAACAATAAAAATGTATGTAACAAATACTATTTATCCTCCTTATGATCAAACTTGAGGTCTTATAAACTTATTATAGTCAGTTAGGATTCATAAATAACATGTTTAAAAATAATCTAAAGCTTAAAAGTTACACATCAGTTGAAAAGTTTTAGAACTTTCACAAAGGCCTAACTACTTAATGCAGTTCTTTAATGAGATTTGCCTACCCTACACTATCAAGTACCTAGAATCACATTCCAAACTGACAGTGGTGCAAAAAAAAATGTAGGCCTACTACCTCGATTGGATGGTCTTGGCTTGACAGGATGATAATGTGAGTTATAAATTATTTTATTTATTTATCTAAGAAAATATTATTTGGAATACATAGTGTTTAGTTTATAATTAGTATTTTAGGAATAAGATTCAGCAAATAATGTTTGAAAAAAAAACACTCCGCTCATTCATTCAATTACCAGTGATTGCGTAAAGATAGTGTCGTTAACACTATTTATGCTAGTTGCGTACACCACTTTACCTACGACAGTCATTTAATTACTAAAAATCACTACTTATAACTTCTAAGAGAGGTTATGTTTTCGTTTATAACCTCTAATTGCCACTGACAGTGATGCAACGAAACATTGTACCAAACACTAACTGCACCACTCAACAATTAAATTGGCCTGAACAGCTGATTATTTTAAGTTTGAATCTTTACAATTTTACTTCTTCTCTCTCAATCCTTGAACCTCATTGGTCCGTTACCCGTGTTGAGTAAAACTATGCTGTGTTGAGTAAAACCGTAAAACTTATATGAGTAAAACAATGCTGTTATGAAAAACTTTTCAATTCTAAGAACCAAACTGAAACAACTACTTTAAAAGAATGTAACGTAGGTACCGGTACTGTAACATTTACAGTATTACAGCTCATATTTTCAGACTTTATCGACAAAATTCACCATTTTACCCACCTGAGCGAGAAGCGCATAAGCTTCCGAGCAAGCGGGGAACTTCCTGATGCCTCTCTTGAACTTCTCAATAACCTTGGCGATGCCCGAGGAGCTGTTTTGCTGTACTGCTCGTCTATACTGAGCGTAGTAGCCTTGCATCATCCCTATAGCAAAGTCAGGGTCCAGGCTTACACACGTGTTGTAGTCTGCTATGCTCTGCTCCACATTGTCTGTGAGCAGATTAACCTGAAATTGTACATAGAGATTATTACTTTTTGGGATTACATCTGAAATACAGTGTAAGTTAGTTAATTTAGGGTCGATATTTGCTTTGACTATGAAAAAAATAGACATCCTAAAGTTCAAGTTGATTCCAGTTTTAAAACTAATGTAGTACTAGGCCACCGACAGTGTGAAAAAGTTAATTATTTGTATTTCTATACTTATTTCTGCCCTTTCTATACTCCATCTATTAAACTGAGCCCAAATGAAAGGAAAACTTATTGTAAAGTGTTAATTATAGAATATTTGATGTCAAATCAATCATAAAATAGTCAAAAGACTAAGAGAGAAAATACAGGGTGTCCTGTCTAGGAACTCTCTACCAATATTTTATATTATAAAAGGTATAATGTTACCTGGATCTGCCAAAGTAATCCAAATTTGGATTACTTTGGCAGATCCAGGTAACATTATACCTTTTATAATCTAAAACAGTAATCCTGAGACAAGAAACAACATGAATATTTTATAGCATTGTTCCTGGGTAAGAAATGTATCTAAATATCATATTTAAATTGTCTGAAAGTCCTTAGTTACTCTCACGCTGGCCATTTTGTTTTATTCACTATTTTTTCTTTTTTCTAAAAAGTGGTTAATCATACAAAATTGAAACTTTGCACAAACATTTATGACAACTAGACAAAGCTACAAAAAAAAAATTATGACAATTTTCCAAATCCATAAAACAAAACAGCAGCTATTTTACAGGAATAACTTTTTAAAGGCAATTTAATTACAAATCGATTGACACCTTTTTTTATGGTTGGACGAATATTAACTGAGATATGGCAGCTTTAGTGATACGTGACCGCATGCCTCGGCATGCACTGCAACTAACCTCCAGTGATTTCATTTTAATATTTTAGGTGTTTTTTTTAAATTTTAATATTCTTTCCTGTTCAATAGCAGTTAGCAAATCAACCGGATCCAGGAAGCCTCAACTCTATTATATCCCGGTTAATGGGAGTTGAGTTTAGCCTGAACATAGTTTGGAAAGGCTTATTGGGAATGGAAGGAAAGGAGGGTACCGGGATCTGACGAAGGAGCAGTAGCTGGCATCTGACCTGGCCTCTGTGTAAGTACAAGTCAGGAATGTTGGGTGCAAGTCTCTCGGCCGTTGCCAAGTCTTCAAACGTCTTCTCCTTCTCATTGGACTGAAGGTACAGCGAGGCCCTCTTGATGAGTGCGTTCACAGTTATCTGAATCAAGAGTTATATGTTTTTAGTACCAAACAAAAATACAACAAACAAGATCAAGAAGGAATAAAATGTGTTTTTTCTTTTTTTTCTACACCAGTAGCATTTTAACTGGGTCAAAGTTAGTTTTTAGATAAAACGCTTTTAATGGAAAGCAGTCTCAATCTATTTATGTTTTGTGGAAGTGCTAGGAATTTAACCTGTCCCTTCCGCACCAAAGTCCCGAGATGCTAACCACTCTAGAGGCCAACAACGCAATTACCTCAATTCGCAGTACATGAGTTCCTACACAAATCAAATCTTTAATCGCCTGCAATGTCTACGCTGTTCAATAAATTACATGACTAGTCACTGGTTAAAACAAAGGAAACCCAAGTGGATGAAAACAACATACATCACCTAGCCTATGTTACCTGAAAAAGTTAGTTTAAACATTTTTCCTATAAAGAAGTTCTTATATTGGTAAGAAATATCAAGGTCATATTTTTGTTTAAGGAAAGGCTCTAGGCCAGGATTTTAAATTGTAGAAAAAGGAGGATAGCAGCTAGCTTACCTTGAAAGTGTGGGTAGGCCATAGAACACTGTGCACACAATATTTCGTCCCCTAAGGGACTTTGTCAAGTGTAGAGAAAGAGTTACAAAATGGCTGCTGTCAACTATGCAGAGTTGCCACATCTCATTGGTCATTTTGTAACTCTTTCTCTACACTTGACAAAGTCCCTTAGGGGACGAAATATTGTGTGCACAGTGTTTTTCTACTTGTTCTATGGCCTACCCACACATTCAAGGTAAGCTAGCTGCTATCCTCTTTTTTCTACAATTCAAGGTCATATTTTGTGACTTTTCATTGGGTATCTATTTGCCCCGGAACTCTTAACCTTTTCGGGCTAACCGAACTATACCTTTTAAACAAATTTCTGACTAGGCCTACCGGTAGTCACTTTTTACGCCGTGTTACACTTTCTTCTTGCAAGGCTTCAAATTACATTATTATTAGGTTTTGTCTACTGGAAGTCCTTCCTATATACAGGTTGACAGTTAATTAAGTCTTAGGACGACTATAACTTTAAAACTAAATGAGACATCACAACCAAATTTGGCATATCATCACTGGTTAAGCTACTTTTTTGTGTACATGGTGTTCGGATGTCACCTATCGGGGACAGCCCGTAGAGAGTAAGTTTAAAATTGTAAAGGTAAGGGTGATACATGAAATTAAAGGTCTTGTTGAACCAAAAACAATGCTGCAAACCGGATCTCAAATGGACAATTGGGGAAAAAATGACTGCTGTTAAGCTTATTGCTGTAGTTTTAGGTTTTCAAATTCTTTTTCAAGCGATTTGGATAGTTGGAAGTTTTAGCTCTAAGTCTAAATTTTTAAGGTTTTTGTTTACTTTACATAGCCTCTAATGAATCAAACTTTGTTTTTATCCACTCCATGAGCAGTATTTGCTTACGTTAGTGTTGTGTTCTGTGGGTGTAAGCTCCTGGCCGATTATAGTGTTGAGGTCGTCTAATGCAAGATTGTTTTGGCCTCTGAGCAAGTACATGGTGGCTCGTAGCAGCAAGGCCTCGGGTTCGAGCCCTTCGCCAGCAGTTACAGCTTCTGTACAAGTCTGGATAACTTCATCGTAGCGTCCTCGCACCAACAGCTGTTTGGCTCGTTCCAATAGACTAAAAAAATGACAACGCATTATTATACCAAATGATTGATTCCATTTATCTCTTTGTAAAATGCTATCAGTGATTTTGTGTCTTTACGTAGCCCTATATATTTACCCCTGGACTATAACTTTATCAGCCCGCTAACTCTATCACCTTTCCAAAAATATCCTCAAACTTACATTCAGTAGTTTATATGATGCTTAATGCCACTAAAGCAGGATTGTGTTATGATGTTGTATTTTCATTTTTACTTTCTATGGAGAAAGTACATCTAATTTTTTTAGTTTGAGTTTTGGTGAATGTATCCATTTTGGATCTTACCATACTGATCTCAAAAAAGTGGTTTTTAATAGTGATGTCTGTTTGTGTATGTATTTCCACCTTTCTTATTACATATAGAGCTATTATTGATGTTACTACAAACTACACCTGTGGTCAGATTAAGATAGAAATTCGGCATGTGGATACTGAGTCATCAATCTCTACTGTAGTGTTCCTTGTTTGATTTTTTTCAGTGTGATTTTTGTAAAAATAAAACAATAGGCCTAAATGGAATTTTGTTTAAAAGGCTTAAACAATATTGGTTGAAGTTTAACATATTAGAGCCCTTTTAACACGTTCACTGCGCTACGAGATCCCGAGGTTTCGTATCGTACCTAGCTCGTAGTGCGGGACCCATAATTTGGCTTCTTTCCAAAAGTTTCGACATTGATATTTCGGGGTACAGTTGTCGTAAAGAAATGAAACTTGTATATATATAATGCATTTTTCTTGATGTATCAACTAGTAGACATGAAATGAACGAGATGAATAGATCTCGTAACGCACTAAAGTAATAAACTTTTAATTTATTACGATACAAGGCCTCTGGGTCTCGCATCAAAAATAGTTTTTCCAAGCACCACATGAGGCTAATCGGGTGATTAACTTAGTAACTATGGCAACCTTTGTTGAATGTTTGGATGAAAGGAAACCCAAGAAATAATTCAAGAACAAAGAGAAAGAATAATGGCGATTTTATATGCTGTCATCTTTATGAGTTATCTAATGTTTTATAGGTTTACAATATATTAATCATTTTCATCTACAGGAACATAAATCTTTTATAACTATCGACGTGTTTCTCTTCTAAAACAGCACTATCGGATGCGTATTAAAGGTCACTGATAAATGACCTAAAATATCACGATTGTTCAATGTTGTATTTTGATGTAAAAAACAAATCATTACATTAATTCAAATATTTCTCCTGGTCCCTACTAAATCATACAAAAATCAATGCTAAATAATTGTCAAACCGGACCATGAATTTCCGATAAACAACTTTTGTATCATTGGTTTTTGTTTTGCGATAGGAATCCCCTTTCCCAGCCCTTTAGGGAAATGGTACAAGTCTAAATATAGCTTCAAGGTTGCACCCACCTCTTCCCCCCACCCACTCGACTCACGGTGGCACGCACTTATTTCGAGGTCTTTGCCCAACCCCAAAATTTTAACGAAATAAATACAGTAATTTGTAAACATATTTCATTTGTATTTTATTTAGCCTGAAATCAGCCGTAAGGAAACGCATTAATATAAAAAGTGATAATATAAAGATAAAATATATATTTTACTACGGTAACGATTATAAGGAATTCATAAATAAACAGATAACATGTATTTTTTTAAATTTGTTATTGTAGGAAAATAATAAATAATGAACTATTACAGCTGTGCGGTACGAGATCTCGGGGTCTCGTACAATGACGTCATATTCACTTCCTGGGCTGGCTGAAGATTGTCAACATTGTACTGGTTCACATAAACAAACACTCAACGCTCTCTCTCTTTTCTTTGCGAGGTTATGATGCGCAAAATATTACTGCGCAACGTAATCTCGGGGTCTCGTATCGCACCTATGTAATCATAGCGGACGAGACCTACAGATCTCGTAACGCACCATTGGAATAATGCAGGAAAATATACAACGCAGTGAACGTGTTAACTCTAAACAAAACTGTGCAACCCCCATTGTTGTAAAAATTGTGGTTTATAAAGTTATTGTAACTTTTAAGACTTTCCCCATAAAATATCATATTTAGGCTACAAACCTATGATAAAGGATTTTGACAAGCTAATGGGAGAAAGTATGTGTTAAGTTATAGTTTTCTTTAACTAAATAAAAAGCTTAAAAATTACATTGTGTTACATATTCATTTGATATACATACTTCTTTGTAGAATCAGCGGACTCACTATGGTTTATCTCAACAACTTGAAAGTCTGAGGCAGAGATGACAGGGTCGTTTGGAAATGTTGCAAAATAGTTCTTCACAAAGTGTGGAGATGGTTGAACTGGTGCTTTGTTTTCCATTGCCTTTCTGGCATTTAATTTACCTATACATTAATTACATATAAAATAAATGCAGTTAGCTCAATAAATGGTTATTGTATTCACTAATTATTTTAAAAATCCTTAAGATGTTACATAGTAGCTATACATTGAGGATGTTTTGAGTTCACCCGTTGGTATAATTATAATGTAACGTTAAGATTAAACAACACTGTTGTTTGTTACTGTTATGATTAATTAATTCTGTTAGTGTGAATATAACTGTTCTGTAAACTCACCTTATAATATTCATTTAGGCTAGGCCTATTCTATAAATGTTAAAGTTAATAAGTTAACAAAGATATGGATTACAAAAGGTGTTTTATTTAAACAAATGAACAATTAACATGCAATGAGAAAAGGCTTGACGTTACAATGAAAGGATTGACAATGGTGTATGGGGTTGAAATTAAATTGAAATAAAAGATAAATTTGAATAATAACTTGAAGGTTCAAATAATTTAGATGTGATATATCTCAGGGTAGGGTGTCGTGCTGGCTTGAATGCTAATAATTAATAAATTTAATAGTGTCCAAATAGGCCTAATTAAAGTGTTAAACTTACACAATCTCAACAATGGAAAATCTAATTTTGGTGTTGTCCAAAAGGTAAGTCCAATTAGTACAAAATTCAAAAGAGTTTAAAGAAAAGGTGTTCACATCACTCATTGTTGAACACATGGGATCACTTTCACTGCTTCTTAAATTTTGATTCCTTAAGGACTAATTTTGAAATGATATTATAAGAAATTTTGATGTATTGCAATTCTCTTACATATTTAATAAATAATTAGGTTGTGGGCGTTGTAAAAAAAAAATATAGGCTATGGAATGAATATTATTAATGATTAATTGAACATATTAATGAAATTATATAAATTAGGAAAATGAATATTAGGACAGTCTTTCTGAGGAGTGATTATTAGCTGTATGAATAGAAGTTAACATTAAAAAAAAAAAAAACTTAATACTAAATAATGAATGAAATGAAATGAAATATTACAGTTCTAAAACACAAATTCCGATTGAAATTGGGCCCAAATAAGATTCAATCCAAGGGTAATATTTGCATGACAATGAGTCGTTGTTTTTAAATTATTATCCTTTTGATACCAACTTCAAATCAAATCAAATCTTATCTTTGATTGATTATTATCATAATTATTACAATATTTTTAGAAGCTCTCCTTAGCTTGCAATCAATGAATTAGGCTACTAATAGGTACTAAATTGTGATCAATATGATTCTCACAGAGGGCATGCTATGTGTTTAAGTTTAGTAGGTAATAATCTACAAGATTAGGCTCACTGTGATGACACTAACCCACTTCTTTGAGAATAAGATCGGCCATTTCTAGGGTGCGTTGGTTTTGGAAGTTCTCTAGAATACACATCGCCGTGACGTCCTCAAGACATCCAGTCAGCTGGCCCAGTGTTTGGTAGGCTTTCGCTCTTCTTGAACAAGCCTTTACATACTTCGGATTGAGCTCCAGTGCTTTTGAGCAATCTTTCACAACTTCCTCTATCTTGTTCTAAACATAAACAAATTTCAAAGGTACACATACATAATGTCGTCACACTGGTTTCTTTTCTGTTCATAAATTATGAAGTGTTTGTATACTATTGACAATCATTGCAATAGTTTAATTGTTCACAATGTTAACCAATGGCTAAATGTTTTTAAAACCAAAAGAAATACTTTTTGTCCAAAATTCTCAGAATGTATTGTCTAGTTAATGAAAAACCAGGGTGGACATCCGTATCTGTTTTAAAAAACAACCGAATGAAAATATCGATGATATATCAAATAATTTTTCATTCGGTTGTTTTTGACTAGAGATGCGAAGTGTACCCAAAAACTATTGTAGGCCTTATGTTATCATGTACACCCATTTTATATACAGTAGAGAGTCAAAAATCCGAACCAATTGGGACCGTAGGTAAGTTAGTTCAGATAACCAATTTGTTCGGATTTTCAAACATAGCCTATAAATGCCTAATAGACACATAATTAGGCCTACAGTATTAGTAGAGCTTACATTGGAAACGAACAAAACAAAGACTGGCTCCGCGTGTTCACTCATCTCAATACCAGGCATGCTAATTAAATATTTTAACCCTTCCCGGACGGGCGAAATCGTGACATAGAACGGGAAAAAATTATAGGAAAAAATAAAAATTATTTTTCCTTATTTGTCTTTTGTTGTTCAAGTATACATAAATAAACATAAAATAACACTTCATACTGTCAAAATAATTTTTTACTAGTTTTTGAATGTGCGGATATATCTGCTACCCGTCCACAGATGAGAAGAAAAACAGCGGTTATATCCGCCACCCGTCTTTAAAGATATGACTATGACAACGTTAGGCAATAACTAAAGAACGATAATGCAAACAATAAATAAAGACAACGTAGTGTTGAGCACAAAATGTCGAGGGGGGCTTAGGAGAGGGGGGTGGTGCACGGGAGAGGGGGAGGATCGCGAGAGGGGTAGGCGTGGGTGAGAGGGGGGAGTGCGGGAGGGAGGGCAGCCATGGAGAGAGCAGGAAAGTGACGCCTTGGTACCGCGAAACATCTAGTTACTGCTCAAGCACCTGCCAGTCTGTCTGAAGAGAAGGCGGATATATCCGCTTCCCGTCCGGAACATCAAAAACTAGAGGTGTGCGGATATCCAAAAAATCGGGTCGGATTCGGTTCGGTTCGGATATCCGTAACCGAACCGAGCCCAAATTCGATATCCGACACTATCCGTTATATATCCGACTTTTTCGGATAGACAATATATTTTGACGTTTTGGACAGAAAACTAACTCCATAACCACCATTAGTTTCCCAGGACAAAATTACAGCAATACGTTTCCAACGACCTAACAGCAAACGGCAAAGAAGCCGTATGATGCAATACCGATAACTAGTTTAGTCGTTATCGGCTGTTTTGCTTTACGATTAGATTCGTCAGGAACGAACAGACATATAGCAGAAAAGAACTACCATGGTCAAATGAAAGTCAACTCGTGCTTGTCTCGCTCCTGATACTAGGGGCGCTGCGTAATAGTTTTTTTTTACAGTACTGTTTCAAAGTAGAAAAATCTAGCCTACTACTGTGATGTTGCGTAAACAATAGATTTAATGTTTCCCGAAAAAAGTCAGAATAGAAACAATAGAAAGGCAACACAATAGAAGGGTGGGAGGGGTTGGGCAATGACCTCGAAAGGAGCGCGGGTAATGAGTCAAGTAGGACCGTAGGGGGAAGGGGTGGGTAAGACGTTGAAGCTATCTATAGACTTGCACTACTTCCCTAAACCTAAAGGACTGGCCGGCGAGTGGTATTCCAATCACAGGACACGATACGTTGTTTTTTGGATATTCATTGCCCGGTTTGACTTTGGATTGTCTTACTGTGTAGAAACTTTGAATAATAAAAAATAAAGTTAGAACTAACCACGATTATTTAGCATTGATTGTGTACATATTAAATGATTAAACGATAGGGACCATGGATTTATACAAACTTTTGTCGTGATTTTAATTTCAACATCAAAATACAATATTGCACAATCGTGATATTTTAGGTCATTGACCTTTATTATGCATCCGGTATTGCTGTTTCAGAAGAGAAGCACGTTGATAAATTATAAATTGATATTCCCGTAGTTAAAAAGAATTATTTTATAAACCTATAAAACAAAATCATAAAATCTTACATAAAGATAACAATAACAGAAATTGTAAAAAGGGTATAAAGATAACAACGTTGTTATTCTTTCTCTTTATTCTTCTATTTCTTGGGTTTCCCTTCATCACGCATTAAACAAGTTGCCATGGTTACTAATCACCCATGTCGTTATCAGCTTTTGTGACATAGCGCACAGCAAGGGGTAAAACTTGAAGAAAATCGGTTAATTTTTACCTATTATTTAACTACCAATGAATGTACTACTTTATTGGTATTTGGTACTGTATTAAATCGGTCAAAATGGCCGATTTTTTTCAAATTTTACACCAAATTTATTGACATTTCAAGGTAAATATTAATAAAACAATTATTACCAAATATTTTTATTCATTTAAAAGATTGATTTGTGGTATTGGGTTCCCCACTGAGTGCAGCCGAGCGGCACTAATGAGGGTCGGACCTTCTTGGGGGTGAACAATAGACGGCTTATCAGACCAGACCCTCCCCAGTGGTCTGGAGAAAGCTTGTAAACAAACTATTGCACAATGCACAAGCGTGACTTGACATTGGGCTGCTTCAACTATAATTTTGTCAAATGAACTGTGATGTTTCAAAATCAAAAACAATAATTTGGGACCATACTGCTTAACAATAATGGACTGCAATTATTGTTGAACATACAATCCATTTTTAACAAACTAAGGCCCGATTTCACCAAATTCTGGCTAACGATGGTTTAGTTAAACTTCGGTTAAAACTAACCGATGATTTAAACCACACAGTTAAGGAAATCTGGTTTCACGAACGAAAACGCGTCAAAACTAACGCTGGTTTTATAAACGAGAGTTTAGAGTAAAATCCAGGTGGCAGTGGCAGTGAACTGTCATAATATCGGGCTTTTACGGGAGCAAGTAAACATAACCTAGAAAATAAATTAGTGTTCAAAATATAATAATAAAAAATAAATAAATCAGAGGTAGTGAAAACAAAACTGGAGACAGCAAGCTTAACAATAGATTCTGAGTAAAATAACAACAGAAAGCAAGAATAAATACCAAAACAATTAGCATCCTACTAATATTATAAATGAGAAAGTTTGGATGTATGTTTGTGACAAGTGAACGCGAAAAATACTGGTCGGATTGGGCTGAAATTTGGCATGATGATAGCTCACATTCCCGATTAACATATAGGCATATTCTTATTTCAAAAATCCTTTCGGGCTCCGCCCCAGTGGCTCTGGAGTTTCCCATGTTAACCTTATGAGAAATGGAATTATTGAATCTTAACAGCTGTTTCAATTAAACAAGTTGGTTCTGTTCTATGATGTTCAATAGCATTAAAGTTACAAGGATTACCAACAGGGTGCAGCACTATTATTTCTTTTACATTTATGACAACAGTTAATTTGCAACCAAAGGGTGAGTGAGCGTAGCGAACGAACTTCAACCTGGAGGCGAGTTAGAGTAGCGAACGAGCTAACCTGAAGGCAAGTGAGCGCAGCGAACGAGCTCCAACCTAAAGGTGAGTGAGCGTAGCGAACAAACTTCAACCAGGACGTGATTGAGCCATGCGAACGAGATAATCTTGAAAATTAAGAAGTTAAACGGGGCAAAGCCCGTGGGTTACAGCTAGTAAGTAAATAAAGGCAAACCAATGTTGATCAAACATATTCGAGGAACAAATTGGTTGAGTTTTGTGGTCGAGTCGAGACTCATCAATCCAACTTTTTACAGGGATGTACAATATTCTGTTTGTTCACTAACCAGTTTGGTACATTTGAAGTAGTGAAAAACTGGAGTCAAAAGAATTACAAGAACGAGACACAATGTAGATAACACCAAAATAATTATTTTCTATAAAATACTAGCAGAATAATGACAATTTAGGTTTAGATTTTGGTTTACTTACGTCTGACCAAACGCAAAACAATTGTTTAACGTTGGGTTAGGGTTACCCAAAGCCGGGAGAAGGAAAGGGAGCCTATTTTTTCGAACAATGAAATAATAAATTTGATAATGTTGGTAGAAGAGCCGGGACACTCTTTTTAGCCGGGATAAAAGAGTACGGCTCTTGATCGCCAATCAGTTCAATGCGGTCGCTGATCGCAGATATACGCCTTAGCTAAAAGCCTTGTGGGATAACCTAAAGCAATGCACTATGTGGGATAGCCTAAACACAAACCACTACAGTGGTTTGTATTCATTTCCTAAAGAAAAAGGCTAAACGTTTTGATAGTTCATCTAATAATAAAATCAATTTCATCTTTGTTATTAAAATCATTAACCCTTTCTCTTATCCACCTAGTTAGGCGAACAACATAGGTTACTCTTCATTGCCATTACTTACTTTCAAAAGCTAATTCGTACCGTATTCTCTTCTACCAATTTGCCTTTCCATATAAACTTTAAACTTAAAGCCAGCTGATATTTACTTAACGAAAGATTAAAGAAGTTAACCCGTCAAAATTGGTCAGTTAATTATCTAACGACGGTTTAGTCTAAACTAGCGCTAACGGTGAGTGGTGAAATCCGATTTCGTCAGTTAAGAGCTAACTGCAGTTAGAGCAAGGCTTAACGGCGGTTTAAAAGTTTGGTGAAATCGGGCCTAAGATTATACGATTCAAATACAATTATAAAAATTGTCTTGGTATTTTACTTGGGGTAATGAAGTTATGTACAGGCTAGTGTAATTCTCGGTTCATCAAGGTTCTACTGAATTATGTTTGGCAGTGAATAAGTGTAGAATGCAATTTATAAATTCAGGGATACACACATTTTACAGAGTTATAAAGCCTAATTGCCCAGCATCAAATCGTGAGCTAGAATCTTAGTGCATTAGTGATGTTTTCTAAACTTGGCAAACCCGCAAAATGCCACTTAAAGCCAATAATCCGTTCCAAAAACGTAAGGAAATACAAAGTGAAAATAAACTTGAGATCGAACTCCTTGTCTTGTGAGAACCAGGAAACAAGATAAAACATAACCTCAAGTAAACAAGCCCAAACGTTTGACATCAGTCCTGCTGAGCTAAGGTGTGTGAAGATTTTGGCTGCTAGTGTACTTAATTCAAGCAACCAACTTTTGAAAATAAATGTTGTGAATTGTGATTTTCAAAGGAGAGAAAACTGTGGACTTGGCTAATTTGAAATTCTATAGTTCAAAATCGTCATTTAAGTTTATTTACACAGCTTTACATTGTTTTATAGGTTAAAAATACATATGCAGCTTATTATTAACCGCGAACTATCCGAATCCGAAAATATCCGAATCCGAACCTCCCAATATCCGATCCGATCCGAACCGAGCCTCAACTATCCGATCCGAATCCGATCCGAAATGAAATTTCACTATCCGCACACCTCTATCAAAAACCATAAGCGGATATATCCGCCACCCGTCCTTTATCACCAAAGACTTAGGCGGATATATCCGTCACCCGTCTCTACTGTATATATCAAACAATATGCCTACAACTTCAAGTTCAGTCCTTTACTTCTACACTGATACATGTTAATTGTTGAATGTTGTTAAAACAACAAATTTAAAACCACACAATCTAGACCTAACTGAGACAGTGGCGGATCCAGAGGAGGGCATAGGAGGCGACCACCCACTCGGGCTTACATATAGGCTATATATTTTACCAGGCCTACATGCAATACAGTAGTGCATACACATTGTGTAAAATAATTTGTCACACTAACTTATGACAAAGATATGGTATAAAACTGTCATTCTGGAGACTTAGTTTACACAAATTTCTGTAACCCGAACCCCCCAGACCCCCCGGTTTGCCCCCCCCCCCACCCTGTGACTGTTCTATATCCGCTACTGAACTGAGATGATTAACAATGTGTTTTTCATCAGCTTATACCTAAACTAAGTGTATTAGCAGTTTAACTTCTGGTTACTAAAAAGGAGTAGCCTATTTCAATCAGGACTAACTTATACACTTTTTAACATGGAGGGCAAGTCTTTTGACAGCATTTTTTACAAATATAATTTTAGTTGTTTAAACAGAATAAGTTAAGTTACCAGACGTTCGTAACATGCAGCTCTGTTCTGGTAGTATGTGGCTTGAATTGTTGTTTCAGAAGCTGGACACAAGTCGATGGCCTCGCTGTAACATCTTAAGGCATCCAAATACTCTCCTTTCTTAAAGAAATCATTTCCTGCTCTCTTAATTTGTTCAGCTCGTTCAAGTGGGGTTTGTACCTAGTAAACAATAAAGGTTTACGCTTAAAATGAAGGATAATAATCAGCCATAAATATATGTAAAAATCTAATTTGGATTAATTCAGCCTAAGTTATACTTAAGGCAATTGTAAAAAGTTTAAGAGAAGTATTAAATAATTAATTAATGCTTCTGTTAAGCCTCGTCCACACTGGTAGATTTGCTTGCAGACTATAGATTGTTTGTAAAATGTAGTGGAGTCTGCACAGCTAGCAACAGTCTAAACAAGTTTTGTATGAAAACTGTTTAAAAAACATTGTTCTAAGTTAATTCAAGTTTAAGTCAGGTGTCTCCAACCTTTTTTACCCAAAGTCCGCATTGTCAATCTTTGGAGCAAAGTGTTCTCTAAGTTAACACGTTTGCTGCGGCCTACTGCTATATCAGTAGTGTGCTCACCTGCCAAATATTGCGTCTATCTGAGCCCAGCACTCGGCCGGCGACAATGTGATTGTTGCCAGGCTGTAGCTTAGAATACGAGCTTTATTTAGGTGTAGGTTGGTACTAAACATTCCCGTAATCCCGTCTGGCAATGATTTTGTCCCGTTTTCGGGGATTTTCTCGATTCAAGCCATTTTACAAAGACTCTGGTTATTGATCCTGGCAGTGCTGCTCCCTTAGGGTGTTTCAGTAAACTACGTCCACTTTCGGGGTAACGCAGAACAATCACTACTGCTCTATTGTGATTCGTTTTACTGAGATATTTCAATGCCAAAGCGATCGCTGATTCAGTAGAGCGCCGGGGCTCCGCCCGGGCCTCGCCACAGCTGGGTAAAGGTTTTCAGCAGAGAACGTCAGGGGAGGCTCCAGAGGGCAGGCCAGGTAGGCCCGGGCCTACTCAAAATTTTGGTAGATAATTCAAAATTAGAAAGAAATTTAAAGCAATGGGCACTTCCATATCTGTTGGCACAATCAACCGAATGAAAATATCGATTGATATATTGATTGTTCGATAGGCTGCACTTTACTTGACGTCCTACACTCATTCGATTGTTTTTTCGATTTGATATTTTCATTCGATTGTTTCATTCGATATATCGTTTGGTTAGTTAGGTTAGGTTAACCTTACCTAACTAACCAAACGATATATCGAATGAAGCAATCGATTAATCGATAGATATTTTCATTCGAATGAGTGTAGGACGTCAAGTAAAGTGCAGCCGTTCGATATATCGTTCGGATAGATAGTAAGGTTAACCTAATCTAACTAACCAAACGATATATCGAATTAAACAATCGAATAATCAATTGTATTACTCATTCGGTTGTTTGTGCCAACAGATATGGAAGTGTACCCAAGCAATGTAATTATATGTGAATAATGGGATAATTATTTAAACTAGGTTGGTATGCTAATTATTTTGCATTTAAATTTCCCCTTTTTGCGGGGAAACCCTTCAAACCTCTCGTACCTCGATCAAACTCTTTCTTAAGTTAATCCTTGCCAGGCCTACCATAAAAATTATTCCTGGAGCCGCCCCTGGCAAACAAGTTAATAATAATCAGTTTATCAATAACTTAGCCTAGCCTATTTTGGAAAATGTGTTTGATAAGGCCCAAGTTATCAGGGGCCTAGCTTAGTTAAGCCATGTGTCTCTGTTAAGCTATAAGTTTTCAATTAAAGACACTAACCTCAGGTTCTTTGATCCCATTTTCTGACACCACGACCCCATTTGCCTGAGTATTAGAATCTGTTGTAATAACCTTGGACTTAGAAGAGGACCTCTTGTAGTACCACCAAACAATGCCTCCTCCAACTAAAGCGACACTAATACCAAGGCCAATTTTCCATACAGATTCCCCGTTCTTAGAAATAGGCCTAGCCACATCGTATATTTTCACTGGAACAACCATTTTAAGACAAACTATTACTAAACTTAAATAATTCCTTATCTTAGGAACTTCCTAACCTCACACATTAAATTAAAAGAAAACATTAAACAAAGTAGAGTGCATGCATTCGCATTGTTGAACTCAGTCAGAACAGACTCAGCACTCCAGCAGATAAGAAGAGGAAGTGAGTGAAGCATTCATTGAAGGAAATGAAATGATAGGGTAGGGGACTCAGGGGAGAGTAGAGACTAGACTAGAGGGAGTTGAGCGTTGAGAGAGGCCGGAGCCGGAGGACCGGTATAGCGCCTTGTTTTCCCCTTCCAGAAACTGGTGAGAACCTTTTCTTCGAAGGAGTACGGTAGGTAGGGGGGCGTGACGTCACTGGTCACTCTACTCTTCTTGAGGGACCCCCCACTCCTTTTCTAAAGAGGTTCACATCCGTTCGTGACGAGGAAAACGAGCAGCATAGCCAAGCCAAAAAAGCCAAGCCATAGTATAGAGCCATAGAGCATAGCTTCGGCTAATCGGCTTGCTTCGCCTCGGCCCTCCGGCTGTCCGCTCCGCTCCCGCAGTCCGCTCCGCAGTCGGCTTCGGGGCTTCGGTCGGGCTTCTCAATTTTGTGTATGTTCTGTTGATAGTTGTTGATCTGTCATCATAATATTTTACTTGTAATCTATAACTGTTAAAACAGAATCCATCCACTTCATTAAATACATTTACAGTAACTATTTTGTTCGGATTGTTGAATTTACGTCCCCTTTGTGTACTATAAAAATGGCATACTCAGTTAATATTTCTGTAGAGGCACCTATTGAAAATCAAATCCAGGAAATTACCTATGATGGCCAAGAAATATATCAGACGTAAGTGTTTTGTTTATTATGCGTTTTACTTAGGATACTTAATAATTCATTTTGGGGTTCCTTTAACTTACTAACTTATAGATCTATGGATAAGCTTGGCCTAAGTTATCTCCTCACTAGACCTAACTTAGATTTACTCTAAGTTAGGCCTTGCCAGAGGCAGCTTTTAGGCATAGGCTAAATTATGCGAACTTACTAACTGCAAGGCCCTATCAAGAAATTGGCTGCTTGGCCTAACTTAGGCCTACTTGGTTTTGTTAAGGGGCGGAAGGTTAGGCTTCGACTCCATCAGTTAGGCTAGGCTTATTAATAGACGTTTCAATAAGTAATTGTTTTCAATAATAACTTAACCCTCCGAGTGTCCATAGTTTAGGCCCTTATGTCCGCCTATTTTTGGCGCATTTGCAAGGTTTTAGGCTATTAAAACGGATCTGAAAAGCTTAAAACAATGTTAACTAAATTCTACTGTTCTATATTTACCCTTTTGTTTGGAAAATCATGGGCTTCAATATCATACATAAAACCTAAGGAATATTTGTTTCAAAAAAAATTTTTTAGGTAAAAATAAAAATTATTTTGGAAAAATTGAGAAAAAAAATAAGTTTGCGCTCAATGAAATTGTATAAATTATAGGCCTATAAATATTTGAAAATAGCCACTTTGTTCTAAATTTTATGAGGATTACAAATATATAATAACTAGCTAACCCGGCGAACTTCGTATCGCCTAAGTTATAGGTTTCCCCTAAGACAGACCGACCCGGCAGACGTTGTCTTGCCTATTGGTGTGAACCTGGCAATAACTCCAGCCATAAGTAGTGCGCGCGCCCGAAAAAATCTATTGCTGGCCGATTTGCGGCAAAATACGACCGCGTAACATGAAACCGATAATGTCACCAGATAAAGGACACTTTAACGGACACGACAGTATCAATAACATGTACCTGGGGGATAAGAAAGGGGGGTTAAAGTCAGCCATAAGTAGTGGGTGCGCCCGAAAAAATCTATTGCCGGCCGTCTTGCGGCAAAATACGACCGCGTAACATGAAACCGATATAGTCATCAGATAGAGGAGACTTTAACGGACACGACAGTATCAATATCATGTACCTGGGGGATAAGAACGGGGGGGTAAAGTCAGCCATAAGTAGAGCGCGCGCCCGAAAAAATCTATTGCCGGCCGTTTTGCGGTAAAATACGACCGCGTAACATGAAACCGATGATGTCACCAGATAGAGGACACTTTAACGGACACAACAGTATCAATATCATGTACCTGGGGGATAAGAAAGGGGGGGTAAAGTCAGCAATAAGTAGAGCGCGCGCCCGAAAAAATCTATTGCCGGCCGTTTTGCGGTAAAATACGACCGCGTAACATGAAACCGATGATGTCACCAGATAGAGGAAACGTTTCAGGGTGTCTACCAACCGGGAAATCCGGGAATTGTACTTAATTTTTTACTGGCCATGAAATGTACGGGAATTGTCCTTAAATGCCAGACTATGTCCTTAAATTTTTAATGGGTCATAATTTTATTGATCGCTAGTTGGTTAGGAGCACATAAAAGGTTTATCAGATGTTTGTTTACATTTTCATAATTTATTACTAGAGTAATTATGCAATAAAAATCCCATTAACAATCTCAAACCCATTAATATTTTATCACGACAATCAAGTGTCAAGTCAAGTACTTCCAAGAACTGTTGACTCAGTTAGCTAGCTCATAAAAGTTGTATCACTTTTATTCCTTTACAACTTCTGTTTTTATTACTAGGGCTTATTATGAGATTATATTATGAGGAATTATTATGAGATCCCAAACCTATTTTATCGTGAAAATAATAGCTTTATAATGGCTGTTAAATTTCACTTCTTACTTGTACTTGGCTTGAAGATTCATTTTGCCGCGGCCATTGCCTAGTGCCATAAAACTGTTTATGGTTTCATATTAAACATGTAAATAATCTACAGTCTTATTTTGTAAGTTAACCCCTTTTTTATGGATGTTTTATCTTTCAATTGACAAAACTACAAGCATTGTTATTTGCATTAATGTTTTATCACTATGTAGGCCTTCTTGGTTTCAAATTATGTCATTGCATTTTCTGTATCTTTGTCTTATATTGTTGGCTATTCAGGTTTAAATGTTTTTTGTTTCCCATATATTTATTTATTGAGTTGTATGCTTTAAGCAATCTAAATCTTAAGAACTAGAATGATGATAGTGACTTTGCTGCTATTATAACCTCATTGTTTGTTACCCAGTTTATTTAGGCCCTCCTAAATAATTAGGCCTAGGCCTGGGTATTTTGATTCTTGAAAGAGCTGTAAAATATACAGGGTGTCTATAAAAGAACTCCGGGGTTTTGAGGCAAAATATTACACTGAAGTAAAAAACTTATATACATGTTTAATACATGATTGGAAAGGTTACATTTTCAAGTTTTTTTAACAATTTAATAAAGTTTAATATGAGCGCCTTTAGTGGCACTGCACACATCGTAACGGTATTCCACCTCTTCCCATGTCCTGGCCAGCATGTCTGGGGGGACGGTTGCCACACAATTGATTATTAGTTGCCTGAGATGGTCAACATCATGAATTTTCTCAGCATACACAAGATTCTTGATGTGCCCCCAGAAGAAAAAGTCCAACGGAGTCATGTCAGGGCTCCTTGGAGGCCATTGAATCGATCCTTCCCTTCCAATCCATCTGTTGCCGAGTCGAACGTCAAGTGCCTCACGCACACGCAAACTGAAATGTGGCGGTGCCCCATCTTGTTGGAAGTAAACTAAACGCCAAAAGTTTCTTTGTACCGTAACAACAGATTTAGTTTCTATTAGCCAGATAATGCACTGAGCATTTTGTTGCGGCGTCGCCATAGCGCGGCAATCCAGACAGCACTGACAGCCACACTACGTTGTTTCAAGGTCAACGCTCCGTAGCGCTGCAAACTGTTGATGAAAACATTCCCAATCGGTATGAGTAAAACTTGATGAGCTACTCGTTTCAGAGAAATTAACTACATTTTGCTATCTTCTACAGTTATTAAGATATTAATTTTTAAAATCCCGGAGTTCTTTTATAGACACCCTGTATTAAGAAAATGTAATTGAGCCTAGATAAACAACTAATGATTGCTATGTGTCGATATTAACTTTGCAAATGAAAATACAATAATCTTACTCTGTGCTTATTGCTTATTGGTAGCCGCTTACCATACCTTGATTTTGTACTAAGAACTGAGCAACAATATGCATTAAAGATTTTTTTTTCAAAAGTAGTCGAGAGCCTAACGTTGTGCCAGGGCGAATCGTGCCAAATTAATCCGCCTGGATCGGATAAGCTATGTTATGAAGTTAATGTGACCGATGGAGATATTTGTCGCTATCGCAGGAGACAATGATTGCGTTTCTCTGTTACACTATAAAAGTTTTACCTAAAGTATAGGTAGGCCTATGCTTGTTTACTGTCAATAAATTTCTATTTTGAAATTTTTAACTCTTAGGCTATCTATTATTATTTACTCTTCTCTCTGGTACAACTACAGTTAATAACAAGATTAATACAGTTTGACCAATCAGGAAAATTATTCGGTAGGCCTAATAACACCGACAAAGGTTACGCCAAAGTGCCCTTAAATGTACGGGAATTGTCCATGAATTTTTTATCCAGAATGTAGTAGACACCCTGATTTAACGGACACAACAGTATCAATATCATGTACCTGGGGGATAAGAAAGGGAGGGTAAAGTCAGCAATAAGTAGAGCGTGCGCCCGGAAAAATCAATTACGGACCGATTTGCGGCAAAATACGGCCGCGTAACATGAAACCGATGATGTCACAAGATAGAGGACACTTTAACGGACACGACAGTACCAATATCATGTACCTGGGGGATAAGAAATAGGGGGTAAAGTCTGCAATAAGTAGAGCGCGCGCCCGAAAAAATCTATTGCTGGCCGATTTGGAGCAAAATACGGCCGCGTAACATATTACCGATGATGTCACCAGATAGAGGAGACTTTAACAGACACGACTGTATCAATAACATGTACCTGGGGGATAAGAAAGGGGGGGTAAAGTCAGCTATAAGTAGTGCGCGCACCCGAAAACGGCCGGCAATAGATTTTTTTCAGGCGCGCGCACTACTTACGGCTGACTATACCCCCCCTTTCTTATCCCCCAGGGACATGTTATTGATACTGTCGTGTCCGTTAAAGTCTCCTCTATCTGGTGACATTATCGGTTTCATGTTACGCGGTCGTATTTTGCCGAATAACGGCCGGCAATAGATTTTTTCGGGCGCGCGCACTACTTATTGCTGACTTTACCCCCCCTTTCTTATCCCCCAGGTACATGTTATTGATACTGTCGTGTCTGTTAAAGTCTCCTCTATCTGGTGACATTATCGGTTTCATGTTACGCGGTCGTATTTTGCCGAATAACGGCCGGCAATAGATTTTTTCGGGCGCGCGCACTACTTATTGCTGACTTTACCCCCCCTTTCTTATCCCCCAGGTACATGTTATTGATACTGTCGTGTCCGTTAAAGTCTCCTCTATCTAGTGACATCATCGGTAATATGTTACGCGGCCGTATTTTGCCGCAAATCGGCCAGCAATAGATTTTTTCGGGCACGCGCACTAATTTTGGCTGACTTTACCCCCCCTTTCTTATCCCCCAGGTACATGATATTGATACTGTCGTGTCCGTTTAAGTCTCCTCTATCTGGTGACATTATCGGTTTCATGTTACGCGGTCGTATTTTGCCGAATAACGGCCGGCAATAGATTTTTTCGGGCGCGCGCACTACTTATTGCTGACTTTACCCCCCCTTTCTTATCCCCCAGGTACATGTTATTGATACTGTCGTGTCCGTTAAAGTCTCCTCTATCTAGTGACATCATCGGTAATATGTTACGCGGCCGTATTTTGCCGCAAATCGGCCAGCAATAGATTTTTTCGGGCACGCGCACTACTTTTGGCTGACTTTACCCCCCCTTTCTTATCCCCCAGGTACATGTTATTGATACTGTCGTGTCCGTTAAAGTCTCCTCTATCTAGTGACATCATCGGTAATATGTTACGCGGACGTATTTTGCCGCAAATCGGCCAGCAATAGATTTTTTCGGGCACGCGCACTACTTTTGGCTGACTTTACCCCCCCTTTCTTATCCCCCAGGTACATGATATTGATACTGTAGTGTCCGTTTAAGTGTCCTCTATCTGGTGACATCATCGGTTTCATGTTACGCGGCCGTATTTTGCCGCAAATCGGCCCGCAATAGATTTTTCCGGGCGCGCACTCTACTTATTGCTGACTTTACCCCCCCTTTCTTATCCCTCAGGTACATTATATTGATACTGTCGTGTCCGTTAAAGTCTCCTCTATCTGATGACATTATCGGTTTCATGTTACGCGGTCGTATTTTGCCGAATAACGGCCGGCAATAGATTTTTTCGGGCGCGCGCACTACTTATTGCTGACTTTACCCCCCCTTTCTTATCCACCAGGTACATGTTATTGATACTGTCGTGTCCGTTAAAGTGTCCTCTATCTGGTGACATCATCGGTTTAATGTTACGCGGCTGTATTTTGCCGCAAATCGGTCCGCAATAGATTTTTCCGGGCGCGCGCTCTACTTATTGCTGACTTTACCCCCCCTTTCTTATCCCCCAGGTACATGTTATTGATACTGTTGTGTCCGTTAAAGTGTCCTCTATCTGGTGACATCATCGGTAATATGTTACGGGGCCGTATTTTGCCGCAAAACGGCCAGCAATAGATGTTTTCGGGCGCGCGCACTACTTATGGCTGGAGTTATTGCCAGGTTCACACAAGTGTCTTGCCTTTGACTATTTATAATTTAAGTACCGTTACGTTTAATTTTCAAGATGATCTCGTTCGCATCGCTCAATCACGTCCTGGTTGAAGTTCGTTCGCTACGCTCACTCACCTTTGGGTTGGAGCTCGTTCGCTACGCTCACTCACCTTTAGGTTGGAGCTCGTTCGCTGCGCTCACTTGCCTTCAGGTTAGCTCGTTCGCTACGCTAACTCGCCTCCAGGTTGAAGTTCGTTCGCTACGCTCACTCACCTTTTGGTTGCAAATTAGCTGTTGTCATAAATGTAAAAGAAATAATAGTGCTGCACCCTGTTGGTAATCCTTGTAACTTTAATGCTATTGAACATCATAGAACAGAACCAACTTGTTTAATTGAAACAGCTGTTAAGATTCATTAATTCCATTTCTCATAAGGTTAACATGGGAAACTCCAGAGCCACTGGGGCGGAGCCCTTTTAAGAATTTCGAAACGGGAAATAGTTTACGTCCGATTCGCATACCTACAGAATTTACACACTAAATTTCATAACGATCGGTGAAGTCGTTCCGGAGGAGTTTGCAGACAAACACTGTGACACGAGAATTTTATATATTAGATAAAGGAAGTAGATTTGCAAATAAATAAGTTATGGGCAAAAAACAGATTTCAGTACATAGCGTTTAGCTGAGACTGCATAGCCTAACCATAGCTAGGAATCTGGCTGATAATTTACATCAATATCACTACCTACTTCTTCAGGATCATCAACCAGCCCTTCAAAATCACTTAAATCTTCTTATAATGCACCACGTATATCACTACTTTTGATTTTTAACACTAAAACAATGATAAACATAATAAAACACATCAGTCATCGGTCCGAGGTTAACTAACCTGTTTACAAATACGCACGTCAGCTGTCTGCTACAATTACGATCGGCTCGGAGAACATAAAGCGCTTAGAGACAGACCTCTGGAGAAAGCTTAGAATCTAATGAAAAGAACGATACCTAACTCGATCCAGTTCAATCCGATTTTGTCAGTCATAGAGCCTTCGCCGTAAACAGTGTTCGTGAGTCGCTGCAGCGACGCATGACACTCGGAGGGTTAATTTTGATTGGTCTGTTAATTTACTTAGGCAGGTAGTCTTTGTGTTGACTTCCGTATCTGTTGGCACAAAACAACCGAATGAAAATAAGTTATAGATCGATATAGGCTAGGTATCAATTCGTTTGTTTAGGCCTAGTTAGGTAAGGTTAACCTAACTCAAATGATATATCGAATGAAACAATCGAATAATAGATATTTTCATTCGATTGTTTGTGCCAGATTTGAACAGATACGTAAGTCTAACTTACCTAAATCTTTGAATTATGGATGTCAGTGTGAGCAAAATGTCAGAAAAGGCATGTAAGGATCATTCTTTTTGCAAATTCCTGACTGCATTAAGTTAAGCCCCTTGAATGTAACTTAGGTTGGATTTAGGTAACTTAAGGTAATGTTAAGGTTATAATGAACCGAGGGCACTTTGGTATTATCTGGAGTAAACTTATTTTAGCTAACTTAGGCCTAAAACTTAGGGATTTATTTTACCAGAAACAAAAAATAGGTAAATAAGTTATACTAGGCTATATAATTAGAAAGAACATACTTTAATTGACTTTTAACTTACTTTCCAAATTTGACATGATTACGATTAGCGGCCTTTTGAGTTCTGCCTCCCAGAAGGCTGCGTTGTCGGCAAGGATTGAGTTGAATGCGCCGCTGCCGCTATACAGTAGGTTTTCAGCGTAGTGCGGAGGTTATTTTAGGTTGGGTTATCATAAATATGTTTGTAGGACTTTCCTCGTTTTGTTATGAATCAAACGATACCAGATGAGTCATACTTTTGCTCGCCAAATACCCCAGATACAGGCGGTGACAGGTGATTTGCGCGCTCTGGTCAACGACCTGACCTTCCGGTTCGCCTACTTGAAGGGGATTTGGCGTGCGAAGGTATGACTCAGCTGGTATCATTCGACTCATAACGAAACAAGGAAAGTTCTACAAACATATCTATGATAACCCAACCTAACATAACAGCCGCAGTGCGCTGTATAAGTTTGGTCCCTGCATAATACCAAAGTACCGAATCGAGTTTTTGATTTATCTGCAGACTGTTTTTAGACTATTAACGCAATTAAAAATGCTATTTGATATTTTCAGCCCATTGTCTATGTCTGAAAACCTTGCCAAGTTAGCTCAAAAAATAGACTTTAGTAAAACAGCAACTGATGATTTGCGGAAAGAAAGTGATTCTACAGACCAGACTGAGGGAGAAAGCTCCACTAAAGATCCTACTTCTTTTCAATCCTCACTTTGGCCATGGGACTCAGTGCGCAACAAACTAAGGTAAGATAAGTCTGTACTGTGCCAACAAAGCTGTTAAAAATATTAATATAAGCCTAGCTTAGGGCCTAATGAGATACTTTCATTAATTCAATTCAAAATTTTGTTGTTTAAACTGTCTAATTTAATTTGCTTAGTAAAGTACCTCTATTGTTAGTGTAAGAAATCAAACTAGCTAATGTTGTGGTGAGAATCCAATATCAGTTTTAAAAATGGTCAATTTATTTGTTATAGTGTCTTATAACAAAATTTGTGTATACAGAGCTGCAATGACAGAAGTATGTGTCTTGGCCGATGTTCTGTCCGTAGCGAAGCAGAAGAGGTATATGATCCTGGACCCGGTATCACAACCAGATCCAATCCCTCAAGCTAAGGACATGGCACAGATATATGCCAGGAAAAAAGTAGGTCCAACAAACACCACTAAGCCTATTCTTTTTACCTCTTGAAAATGTTACCATAGTTTGTAGATTGGTAATAAGTTAACAAGATTTAATAGCAGTAGGCCTACTCTTACAGTCTCAAACTGAAATTCTTCAAGTTTGATCGCTAACTCACAAAGGAACCTCAATCTGAAACCCTCATTCAGTGTTTATTGTACTATATAGCCTAAATGAAATAATGAATTAATTGTCCATGTAAGAGATATTTTATATAATGACTAGGCCTACCTACTTTTTAAGTAGCCTACATAATATTTTTTCTGGATTTTTGATCCAGCCTGTAGTCTACGTTCTAAAAGAAATGTCAAAGTCTTGACACAGTTAAAACCGCCTAATTTAGGATGATTGTCTTATATATGTATGTAAATTTGATTTTTACTTTCTCCCCACACTGTATATGGAGAAAGTACCTATTGTTTTCGTCAACATTTTCGAATTTGAGTTATGAGTGGATAACGGTTTTGGGTTCCACCGAACTCAAAAAAGTGGTTTTCAAAATTATATCTGTCCTTGTGTACGTGTACAGAGCTACAGACCTCACCTGTAGTCCGATTTTGAGAAATTTGTTGTGTGGGTACTAACTTAACTAATCCATTGTATTTCCAGGTGTTTTTTTATCATTTCTTTGACATTTTGATTTTTAATGGTGTAGGCTATTCCTCATAAAAACCCATAAAATTACGGAAAAAATAAGATTTTCTCCCAAATGAAATTGCCCCAAACTATTTATTATGTTATAGTCCTTTAAATTCTGAACAAAATGGTACAAAACTCCAAAGCTGTACAAGTTAGGGTTCAAAAGTTATTATCGTAACTTATGTTATATTTCCTCATAAAAACCCATAAAATAACAGATTGCTGATTCCGTTAATTTTATATACATTCAAAGATTCCGTAGTTACTTAACAATTCTTGATTGTAAATCTTGTTCCAAGAGATCCTAATCTATGTTGTAGTTGTATTAACTAAACATTACACTTCTAATCAGGCTTTGGCAAGTGCAGCCGCAGTCCTGATAAACGGTGGAGATAGACTGAGGGCTACGCAAAATGAAGCGGCTCGCAACAGAACAACTCAAGACTTTCATATAGAGTTGCTGCGTCTACGTCAGAACTGGAGACTGAAGAAGGTGTCTAACTCCATCATTGGAGATCTCAGCTATAGAACAGGTACATGTAGCTAGTGGTAACTATAATTTCTATTCCAGCGTCCACCATTCTCTAAGGCCCTTCCCTTCATAGAAAGTTGTATGATACAGTCTCATACAACCAGTGAATATGATTTCAAACTTGTACTTCCTTTGGAGGAAAGTCTTCAAACTCTTTCTCAAATTGTGCTTGTTTCTTACGTGGTGTGCATTTACAGCTGGCTCCAAGTACGCACAGACGGGAATGTTTGAGGTGACAAAGGCGGAGGAGGAGCCGAGCAGTAGCAACAGCCCTCCACCGTCGCCAGGGGTCGTCCCTTCATCCAAACAAGCCTCCGCTCTGCGTGTCACTGTGCCTAGCGAGCTGCAGGGCGTGGCTTATATAAAGGTAGTGTTTGAGGATAGTTCTGATTTAAGAGACGATAGTTCTAATTAATAATCCAAGGCAGTACCTCAATTGTTAATCACATTGCAATCATGTGTTTCACAATATTTTCCAATAGGTTGGTGTTGGACCTCGGGGTTTGGGCTTAACCAAAGTAGGCCTATATCTATTAAAATGATATTGACTACAGAACAGATTACACTAAATAGTGAAGAGAAAAATTTATTCTGTTGATTATTAATGTTACATGTGTCAAAAGCTCGCAATAGACAAAACGTTAAAACATATGATTCCATATAACATGGCAAAAAACTGAAACAAAGATATTTTACTAATTTTGGTCCTGGCAGTGGCAGTAGACTAGTTAGTGAGTGATCCTCTGTTGTTTATTATCTGTAGAGTGGATTAGCTTAATAAGGCTAAACATGGACTTATGAGTTTGCCAATCAATCAAGGGGGCGAAACAACCATTCGGAATACTGACAGTGGTATATAAGTCAATTATGTCATGAATAAATGCAGAGACTGTAAAATCGATTGTTTTACTTAGTTTAGGCTTACTCTTTAAGGCTAAACATCCCTGAAAAAGTTGTGTTTCTGGCCCGATAGATAGCAGCACCTCTGCGGCAAATTTGTACCACTTATAATTTCCGTATTTATTATCAGATTTTTGTTTTGTAAACGGTGTTGTAAATGATATGAATAAGACATTCACGCTATTTTGCTAATGTTTTTTAAAATTTATTTACAAAAAGGTTTTATAAAGAATTGTTTTTGCTTTAATTATATTTTTTAATTGCTGGTAGTCATTTTGTAAAAAGAGAAATTTAAAAAAAAATTGCCGTTTTCAGATATTAATTCGGCCAAATGGTTGAATCGTAATAGTTTTTTAAAGAAATTATCATTATTTCTCTCACGCTCTGGTCCCCTCCCCCCTCCCTCCCCCAAGTATAGCGCAGCTCCAGTGCCCAGCCGCTCTGCCCAGCCCTGCAACGCGACTCCGATTGTAGCTTCGTCATCTCACACACACCTCGCATTCATACTCTGACCGGACACACTTACTAGACTGGACTCCTGATTTTAACAGATACTAGTTTATGATTTAAAAACAAGTATTTTCTGTAAGTCGGAAAGAGACATCTATTCAAATAAAATTGAATTTTTATCTGTACATTGCTTAGAATCATGGAATTTTTGGTTATTTTTACGTTTCATAGCCTAAGAAAGCCTATGAATAAAGCCTATCAGTAATATATAAAAATTGAATACTTGTGTCAGGTAATTAACATTACAGTAATCATAAATGTTATTTCTTTAACTGAGAATGCTCATTCCGATGACTAAAATAGCGAGCTGTGTTAGCGCTAAAACAGCATTGCGAGAGTTGGCGCAAAACACTCTCGCACTCTAATTTTTACGTTTTCTTTCTGGACTCCAAAATAATAGCTTATGCTATGTAAATGATAAAACATTAGTGAAATATTTTTTTAGCAAACTATCATGAATTTTTAAGGCTTTACGTTGTTAACGTATTGTTTTATGGACTGTGCATTTATTTACTTACTAGCTGTTTGCCCGTTCTACGTAGGGCCTACGGGAATCTTGTAGTAAGTTGAAACCTTATATTATAAACAGGAGTTGGTTTGCATATTTAGTGTGCATTTTGCATTAAAAGAAGGCCTGTAATTGAAAATTACTTTTCACACAAGTTAAAAGTAGTTAAAATACTACCTCAACCTCACTATTGCACACTTTATTCGGGTTGAAATTTTCATTAACAAAGGTGCTCTTGTCTTTTCCATGAAACAATGAGAATTAAGGACATTAATGCGTTACCAACAGACATACAAACAAAAATACAGAATTGAATTATTAGGGGATTTGCTACGCTTTAACCAAAGCAAATTACAAATAAAGTAATTATTTGAAAGTTTTGATAGTGTCATAAAATTTTATCATAATCGTTTTTAGGCCTAATCAAACTGTAAAATTGGTGTAAATCCGTTGGCAAATATACAAATAAGTAAATAAATACACAGTCCACAAAACATTTATACGTTAACAACGCCAAGCTTTAAAAACTCATGATGGTATGCAAAAAAAATTTTCTTTAATGGTTTTTTATTTTCATAGCATAAACTAACATAATGGTGTCCAGACAGAAAACGCAAAAACTGTACAGTAAGACATCAATTTAATTTAATAAGAAATAAGGTGCAGCACTAACGATAACTATAGTTGTAAATAGTAATGTGTTTGTACATGTTAACATATTAAGGACAGTTTGAAGAAACCACCGTTATCCAAACAAAGGTTTCTTAAAATTACGTAATCTCTAAATGATAATCGGTACATATATCTAGCAAACATTCGGAGGAAATGTGACAAATAACGCACAAATCAGGGGTTTCGGATGTTAGTAATTTTACTTCCTAAATAGGAAAAGTACCGATATCGTTGTCGAAATGTAAGTAAGTAGACACCAAAAATGGCAGCCAGTGGCACATTAGAAAAGTGAGTTTAGCTACATCTGTAAGTTAAACCTCTGTTACGATCACAGCGAAATCAGAAAGATCTTCCAAGATCGCAGCAACATCCACGATCACCCACTGCAGTTCTGATTTTTTACTTTTTCACTTTACACAACTGTCTTTGAAGCGCCGTCAATGAGTGGAAACCTGTTTTGTAAGCTATTGGTGACGATGATAAATAAATGTAAGTTTCCCAGCACTAATATACAGCACTGTTTCACAGTATTTTCCCCGGTTATCAAAACTCAAGAACAATTGTTGCACTTGCGATTAATTAAACCGGTTAAGTAAGGCACAACCAAGGCCGCACAACGTTTTTAATCTAACTTGGTTTGGATGTGCTAACAAAACTTGATCGGAAATGGTTGCGGTATTTGTAAACAACTTTTAATGTAAACATATCAGTGACAGCTAGAAGTGAGAACTAATCCAAACAGCTGATCGTTATTTCATAAAATAGTAAACATTGGGAGAAAATTTGACAAAATTCGAACCAAATTGGGTTTTTGGTGGTTTGTTATTTTGTTTTCAAAGAAGCGATGCCATGTTTTTATAGCCAAAGACACTCTCATCAATCCAGTAAATACGGAAAAACTATTAGAACCTTGATCGGAACTTTAGTTTTCTAGGAGTAGGTCGCGCAAAATGACATTTTGGCACAGAATACACGAACAGACAGACATAAATTGAGATAAGACTCGTTTCGGCTTTCTTATGTTATGTAACGTAAAAATAACCAAAACCTGCATGATTCTAAGCAATGTACAGACAAAACTGTAATTTTATTTATAGCCTATAGATTTATATATTTGCCAACGGATTTACACCAATTTTACAGTTTGATTAGGCCTAAATACGATTATTATAAAATTAAAAATTTGATGACACTATCAAAACTTTTAAATAATTATTTTGTTTGCAATTTGTTTTGGTTAAAGTGTAGCAAAACCCCTAATTCAATTCTGTATTTGTTCGTGTATGGAAGCGCGGGAAACCGTCATCCACCGGTGTACAAGCAACACCCCAGCCTTGTTGTGAGGGGGAGGGGTAGCAAATGTGAGTGTGACCTTGGAATGAGTCACAGCGGCCCTGTCCTGCACCTGCTTCATGTCTCTCTCGCGTTTGTTATAGTTACTGTTAAACAAAGATACCGACTGAACCAGCAAAGCGATTTTAAAAATTTAAAAAGTAAAATTAATTAAAAATTATTGTCTTTAAAATGACTACCTGCAATTTTCATTTTTTATTTTGTAACACAATTATTTTACTATAATTTTTTTAACCAGCAACTTAATTCAAATTTATCTTCAATGGCGTGAATTGTTATCTTATCCCGTTCACAAATCAGTTTTCAAAATGAAAATCGGATGAAAATTCCACCAATAAACACCAACACAAAATGACTCCATTTTGGTGCTGCGACGTGGTGGCAGAATTTGGAACTAAACCTGGGATGTTAAGCCTTAAGCAATCTTATGTTTTTAGTAAATCCTATATATTAAAACGTTACAGGGTTTTTTAATTTTACGATTCTGAATCAACCACTTGAAGGATTTTCATGATTTTTGTGTTGAAAGAAAGATAGTTTTGAGAACTAGGGAATGTCAAAGCCATAATTTTAGTTAAGGGTTTCAGTTTTTTAGAAATTAAGTTTTAAATTTTCAAAAGTCTAGCAGCTGACGCTAACATTCTACACTAGTTAATAATCATACCATTTGCTTAACGTAACAGCTGAAAACATTAAGGGTTTCGACACAAATTTAGCCTTTGGATGAAAATGGAATGACATAGGCAGGGTTGACTTATTTTTATACTAGATGTGTAATGCTATAATCATTGATAAATTAAATAAAAATGAGATGAAATGAAAAATGTCTTTCTTTGATTTATTTGGTAAGAGGATGAGAGATTATTTAAATATCCATAATAAAATACTAGATGTTTTAATTAATTTTTTTGAGCAGTCTCTAAAATCTTTAGTTTGTTTTAGTGCAATATAATTTGCTATAACAAACAGCTGGTTGAATATAAAAATATTCTATAGAACTATGAGGTTAGTTTATTTACTCTGTGATTTTGTCATTGATGATAGGAAATAAGTAAGATTCTATAACCATTGATGTATACGATTGGAAGTTTAGGAGCTTAGGAAAATTATTTTACTACTCGGCTTTTTGAGGAAAGGTTGGGAAAATAACAATGATCACATGTTTTAATTATTCATCTTGGCAGTTTTTTCTTTACAATAAATTGTTAACTGCTTAAACTATGCTTGAATTAAGATTAGACATATTGATATAACTATATACAGTTTTAATGGACTACTCGATTCCTGTACGTAGGATGAGCTAACAGCTCGTCTTACTAATATTATAAATGTGAAAGTTTGTGTTTTTGCTTGAAGTTCAATCACGCATTAACTACTGGACCGATTGGGCTGAAATTTGGCATGGTGATAGCTAACATTCCCGATTAACATATAGGCATATTCTTATCTCAAAAATCCTTTCGGGCTCCGCCCCAGTGGCTCTGTAGTTCCCCATGTTAACATTATGAGTATTCATATTAATAGGGAATTAAAGAATTTAGTGAGCTGTTTCAACTAGGCAAGTTCATTCTATGAAATGCAATAGCATAAAAAAGTTAAAAGTTAAAAGGTTTACCAACAGGGAGCAGCACTAATATTTTTTTGCATTTATCACAACAAGTAATTTGAACTAAGAAGAAACAAAAAGCTGTGTAATACACAATAAGAACTGTAAAATTAGGATTGTTTACAGTTATGTTTTTTATTTAATGAATAATTTGTGATATTGTGCGAATGTTTGATAATTTATTTTCTTCTTTTGTTAAGGTGCAGTGATAGAATCTTATGGCAATGGAAGATGTGTAATACCATACCGGTTTAGATACAATACCGGCGTAAATTTAAAGAAGCAAATTTTATCTAACTGTGTCCTCCTCCATTGCAAACCCAAAGCTTGAGTATAACTGCAATAAGCATTTTATACTTATATGCCAACCCCATATGAAGGACGGGTACTCTGCTAGTAGTTCATAAAGAGTGTTTGGCTACCGAGTGTACAGGTGTTGAGGTGTTCAGGTGTTCCCGCAGGTGTTATGCCAGAAGGGTCAAGAAGACCTGTGCAGTGCCAGCATCAACGTGCTGGGCTCTGGTCCGGCTAGCAACAACACCGATCTGCACTGGCAACAGAGGCTGGAGGCTGCTCAGAACGTGCTGTTCTGCAAGGAACTGTTCAACCAACTGGCCAAGGAAGCTGTGCAGCTGCAAAGTCCCATACCCCACATGGTGGTGGGAAACCAGATCATGGCTACGGTTAGTAGACTACGACGCTAGTATGCAAATAGCGCATATTTATAGGGTTCAAAATTCATTTCAAAGGAAAAAAAGATAATGCAAAACCCAGTGGTGTAAGTACAATGAATGGCAGTACATGAGAATGCCCCCCCCCCCCCCATAAAAAATCACCACTTATGTTTTATTCATTTATGTCATCAAAAGCCCTGATCACAGCAAAATCCAAAAACTCTCGTGGACGTTTTTTTTATCGCCTCCATTGGTCATGGAAACATCGTCATCCTTTTTCCATGATCACGGCCAAATCTTTAATGTCTCCTGCGTTCATGTAGGTAGACGTCGTCTCGCAGTCATTGAAACAACGTAATCTTTTCTTGCGATTGTTGTGATATCATGAATATTTTATTCGGTCTTTAAAAGATCATTTTTGTCTCCTGTTGTAACAAAATCATTTTTCCGCAATTGCTGACATATTCGGTTTTGTAGACATCATCTTTGTCTACCGCAGCCACGGAAATTACATCATTTCTTTTGCGGTTGTGGCAAAATCGTGAATATATTCTTCGGCCTTGAATACACCATCTTTGTATCCTGCAGCCACAGAAATAACGTCACCTTTTTTCACAATTGCGTTGGACAGTGACAGTCAGACCTCAGCGCATATATCCGCCCACCATCCTTGGCACACTACTAATTTACATCGTTAACTCTGCAAACCTGTACAAGTATCTGTATACAATACAGTAGAGTAGATATTATTTATTTGAAGAATACTATAAACTATTATATCACAAGGTATGTAAATAATTACAAATTTTCAAGGAAATTTTCTACAATTAAATCCGCCAACCGTCCGTAAACCTAAAAGTGATATGCAGATATATCCGCTCATCGTAAGTAGCAAAAATTTGTGGATATATCCTCCTGTTGTCCTGGAAGGGTTGGGATAGTAAAATAAAATTAGGCCTACTAATTTACAATATTCAAAATATGTTGATTGTAGATCTATTACAGTTGGTTTACACATCTAAAAAGTTACAATAAATTAATCAGAGAAGTTTATTTTTAATCCATTTTTAAGTATGGTATTGTCAAATATGTATTGGTTTACAATCCATTGTTAAAAATCAGCTGAAGGCAATCAGCTGTTAAATTACAATTCACATTTAAAACCGTTGAAATAAAAAATTGACTTATCCGAAGGACTGAACATTTAGTGAAATTGAAATAAATCAAAGGCTAGGTGGGAAAAGGTCTAAAGGAAATTTATTTATTTACCATTCGTCCCTGTTAGATCATAAGATTTAAAATTACACCTTAATCGTAAAAATTGATTTAGTAGAACTGGTGGAGAAGGCATCTTACTAAGAAACCCCTCATTGTATTGAATGTATAAATTACAGTGAACTTGTTCTCCGTATAGTTGTAGTATTTATGACTTTCGTTAGCTCCATAATAAAACCTACATGTTAACTTTTGGATTAGATCGTGACATGATATAATAAATTTCTGAAAGGGTTTGAGATTTGAAGGTAAGAGCTGACATTTTCCAAAGGTTCTGCCAGGTGTGCAGCTAATTATCGGACTGTGCCATTCCACGGGGACCAACAAGAAGTCATCCACGCCTCAACCAAAGCCACAACACTCTCCTGACCACGACCACGTGTTGGAGCATTCCTTACATCAGCTGTTACGGGAGGTATGTGTCATGTGATTACTGATTCTATTATGAGTGTTATAATATCCAAATTTCAAATACAGGTCGGCACTAAAAGGATGGTCGGATTTGAAATGTGTAGTACTAGTAGGGAGGGAGAGGGGAGGGTTCACTGCCGGCCGTCTGCAAGTCAACCATAGTATCCAATTTCCCGTGAGATGTCGCAGTGGACGGCCGAGCACTGCGTTTTCGCTGTGGAATATTTTTTTCAGAAACAGTGAATCTTTTATTTTGGTGCAACGGTACATGTTTTGACAACATTTTTGGTATAGTCTGTAATGGACTGATTCCTGATCGCAGATCAATATCACATTGGGTGACTGCTTTCCGGACAACAGGATCCGTCATGAGTGGTAAACCTACTGGACTTCCACGAACGGCAGTTACTCCAAAAATCATAGAGACCATAAGAGCGTCAATGCTTCAAAGTCCCCTACGTTCTTTTATGGTTTTTTTTATTTTGAAATTTTTATGGTTTGACTGACATAGCCTACTAGCAACTTTGTAACTTATATGGTAATTTTTTGTCATGGGGCATTTAAAAGTGTCCAGAAACGTAAGTCAGTAAAATTTATATGTGTAAAATGATTTGCATGATTCATTTCAAAACCTACCATCTTTTTTGTGCCACCCTGTATATTAGTATTCATGCTCAGCTCTGTTAAATTAAGTTAATAAACCTAGAAAAACCCCAAATGACAACAAATTTGACAATAGATTGTTATATTTTTCCTTGAATCTGATTTACTAAACATTTATTAATATCATGAGAAGCGTGACTTCAGAATATGACAACATAAACTTCATAAGCCCATGATTTGTTTGTTGTATCATTAACAAAATCACTCTGCCTAGTTCATTTACTGCTGCAATATGATACTTCTGCTCATCGGAGATTTAATATACTATACCGTGAATAACTTTTGAGTTAAAACTGGATATTTCATCTTAAGTAGTATAATTATAAGTCAGTTTGATTTGGAGACTTTTTTGTGGAACAAAAAAGTTTGATGCCTATTCAAAAATATGAATTCTATCCGATTCAAACCCAAAATCATTAATTGCATTCCCCTGCCTAATTTCCATGAATGTTAACCCTAGAAAGGTATCGTCATACAGTATGACGCTAAGGGTATCAATACGTAAAATTACTATACACAAAAGATATTGATATGAAAGTTTGGCGTATGTGTTCGAAGAAAAGGACTAGCTAGGACATAAAGAAACTTATTACGACCAAACCAAGGCAGCCATCACAATGCAAATGACTGCTGAGAGCACTGCTGGAAGGAAGGTAGCGTCGGTTGAGAGGGTGGGTTGTGGGACGCTAAAAATAACTCGCCCTACGTCAAATTTACGTGCGGTACCCATCTAGGGTTAAGGATTAAATTGGTATAATTTGTACAAGTTTGAACTTAACAAAACTTGTTCATTTTTAATAACTGATCAAAGGTTCTGGTCAATGACCACGAGAAGGTAATAATATGTTTTCCTGGTCATTGTAGGTACATCACAAGAACACCCACCACCCGTTCCCTCATCCGTCGTCAGCACCACTGGGCCCTAGCAAGCGGAGATGTCTGGCAGGACCCAACGCAGCCGACAGACATCAGCTGTTGGAGATGACCAAGAGGTATATAACAATAGGGTTCTTTCCGTTAATGAATTTAGGTTAATTTTATAGATAAGGTAACTTAAAAATCATGATTTGAGGTTCTTCAATATTCATAAACTTTATTGTAATAAATTACCCCTATATATATCAAGGCGTTGTCATTATTTTTATTTTGAGAGAAGTGATGTTTTTGCAAATTTTTTGATAAATTGCAGGACAATCAAAATTCTTAATCTAAGTATCTGAAGAGTTTTTGGGAAAAGGGATAGGAGTTAAGCTAGAGATTTACTGAGAACATTTAAGAATCCATGGGCTTGTATGCACAATAAAAAGTAAAAAGGTCACACTTAATATGCATAATACTAATTTGTAGTATTGTTGAGTGAACTAGATAAGATTTAATGTGGAATTGTGTGTCACGACCTATTGCAAGAACAATAGATACTGAGTGAGGGGAGGGGATTTTATATAGGTAATAAATAGACGTTTGGACCTAGCTTGAAGTAACATGTAGGCCTAATATAATTTCAGGTTGGAGACTATTGTCCTAGGATGTGAAAATAGAAACCAATAGACATTCCCTAATCAACATTTTCTTGGATTACATATTGGAAACTCTGGACTGCTGCAAATAGCCATTTTTGCAAAAAAAAAATAGCAGATATACCGCTAATATAAAGAATCAAAAGAGCTATTACTATAGTATTAACTAATTTTGACTTGCAAGACAAAGGGACGTGTAACGGTGTTACTTCTACAATTGCTTGATTGATTGAAAATCATTTACAAAGTTAATTTTGATTTTATTATTGAATTAAATTTTTCCCCAAAACGTCCTACCATTACAGACGTAATTAGATAGGCTTATCTTACTTACTTACATGCCATTACCTAGCAAGCGCCCGAATTATTTTATAACTTTTCAATATTTTGTCCTCAGATACCTGCTATCCATACCAAAGTTTATTTAGTGAATGATAAAAACCGTAAATAAAGCCCAGGTTGGTGGGGTTTTACGATATTCCTTCTACGTAACAATAACAAATAACTTGTGTTTCCAGTCAAACACTGTTAGAACAGATCATACAGCAAGCGCAGCACTTCTTCCTCCGTCTCCGCACGGAGTTTGTGCTCGACCAGATCGCCAAGGACGTGAAAGATCCGTTGATTGTAAGTCACTGGAACGGACTCAACTCACCGACTCAGTCTTGCGTCAAGATTTACATTGTCAGCAGCGGTTACGACTCTATCTGCAGAACATCGTTAGTCGTACACGTCGGTGAGAAGAGCCTCAAGTGTGTTTGTCGCGACGGCAGAGTCATGCACATGAGCTACGAGACTCAGGAGCTGAGGGATCTCATATTCTGTCAGGTAACATACACACTGCAAGCTATGTAACCAATTGACTTTGGATATTGAAGTAGTATAAGGTTCATTCTTTTAGAATTAATTGATTTTATAGACAAGCTATCTTTGGTTAAATTTAATAGATAATTATCGAGCCATTCAGAGTGTGGATATTGATCTTTCTTTTATAATTCAGCTGGATTATTTGGGGAAGAAAATATAGTACATGTGCTTTAAAATATTCAAAGGTTGACAAACTCATAGCCTTATAGCCTACAAAACTCGTTAAAAATAGCCAATCTTGAACTAATAAAAAAATCTTATTCTTTGAAAGTAGCACCAGTTTTGAGCTTTGCCTGACATTTCTCTCCCATGAATTAATTGAAGAACAAAAGAATCACTTTATGTTACTCTTTGCTGTGTGTTTTTATCTATAAGCTCGTAGACTCTAATTTCTCCAGATAATCTGAACTTGAGGCGATAGTTTGATAATTTTGAAACGTGTGGACAGATTTACCAGCACCAAATCAACGGACTGCAAGCGTTAGCCAAGTGTATGGGTTGGCAGTTCCTAGCTAACAGCTGTCATCTGGGCATCGGACCTGTTGAAATGTTGGGAAACGCAAGTAGCTGTATCCTGGCGTCTCCCATTGGCGATCGGTGAGTCACCTGTTGTAATTGGTTTGGTGAAAGGGAAAACTAAAATTTCTTCTAGACTACACTGGACTAAGTTACTTTACATATATGAGGTTAAGGGTGTAACATAGAGCACACCTAAATGGAAAAGAGCCCAAATTGGCACAAGAAACTCAAAACTTAAGACAGGTTAGCCTCTGGATCAAGATATAGCAATATTAAAAAGGTTTAGAATACCTGATGCGTCAATTGACCCTGTTGTGTCATAAATAACGACAGCTGTTTTGTGCTGCCAAGATCATCTTCACGTTAAACGTTAACCTATTCTCATTGGTCTATTAGGTTGTCTGCATTTATATAAACTCTTCTGGGACACAAAAACACAATAAGACACGAAAACGACATTTTATTATACAAAAAACTTGGCCAAGTACTATCGAACCAAGGTGTATTACCGGTTGATGATTGATTACTGATTAGTCATGACTGACCTGTGTCGGAGGTTGCAACCCCCTCCCCTTCTCCCTCTTTAGTCTTTATCTTGACTCTGTTTTTTTTTTGCTTTGTTTGAGTATGTGGATAGCAGTATTGTAAATGATATTGGATTAGAAGGACAGCTGTTCCTTTAACATATGGTCAGGGTGTTGTTTTGATGCTCTGTAAATCTCCAATTCTTCTATGGTATCCATTTGTGTGCCTTTACCGCACAGTGCTTACCGCTGAGGCTCTTCCTTGCTTGTGAGAAGTATATTTCCGGCACTTTGTGCTTATTTGCAGTATTTTACAGGATGTTTAAAATATAAAAAAACCTTGATATTGTGTGGTTGTACAGGATGATTGCAGTGAGGTGTGAGCCTCAGGGAGGTGTGCAAGTGTCAATCGCTCACTCACCTCGCAAAGATTTCTTCAGCGGACAACTCGTCAAAGAACGGAAGTGGGAGAACTTGGGCGGAGCTTTTAAGGAGGTAAAAAAACCTACAGTTAAAGAACAGTCAGATTTCTTTTCCCAGGACAGAATAAAGCAATACTACGCTCCATAGTCTCACGTAGCGTGTGCTGAGTTGTACAAAATTATTCATAACATGTAAATATATGATATTTTTTTATAATGTTCTCACCAAAACGTATATCAATCAAACCATTCTTATAAACCTAATATGGCAACTTAAAACTGGGGTAAAGCTCTTGGTTGATATTGAAATTAGATTAAAAGAAAAACTGTCCCAGATATTGAGAACAGTTTCCCAAAGTTTTACAGCAAAGGATGTTTGGTAATACAAAAGATACAAACAAGCAGACAAGAGTTAGACTTAATATTTTTAGATTGCTCTCTGTATGATTAAGCTTTTACATAATTCATTTTAAGACATTTGGGAAACTTTTAGACAAGTTTAACATTTGCTTTGATTCAGGTGAGGTGGGACAAGATGGAGGGTAAGAACTTTCTCAACAAGATGGAACTGTTGATGGCCAGCCTGACCAGTTCATAGTGGTTACCTTCGCTATATTGTAACTGTGACATTACTCTCCTGACGTACTGATCTCTACCATTACAACAAGTGTACCCTCGTCAACCAAGCACAACAATCCAAATGACCAATTAAAACGAGAATAGGAATTTCTGAGTCTATTTAATTGGTTATTGATTTTAGAGTAAGGATTGTTTTGGTCATTAAGAGTTGAATATGTTCTAAGTTGTTCAGATTATAAATTTCATAGACTCCATGGTATTTATTTTTATCATTACACAAAAATTGAAACATTATAGGTTTTTTGAGCATATACTCAATTGGTTTGGTTTCAGGGCTGGAAATCACAGTTGAATATACATTACTTAATCTGTACAGTTAGTTTTGCTGTTTTCACAATTAAAATGTAAAGTGGTATTAACAAAATTGATATCTTGGTCAGTTAAACTGTACATTAAGATTTTACTATAACAAGAGAACTGATAGTAAACATAGGTAATTGTTAGTTATCCAAACATTTTGAATCTTGAAATCGAATACAATATAATCGAGTAAAAATACAGTTTTTATAAAAAAATTAAGTAAAAGAATATTGAATGTACTGTTAAATTAATTCTTACTGTGGAATTAATCGTCAAACCAATTTGCATTGAATTTAAAACTGATTTCATGAGAATCACAGCAATCGTGATATGCAACTGTGATTGCCACGGCCCTCAACATCCATGAGCATGTCATAAAATTACTAGCTAAATTATTATTATTTATTGTAATTGTGATCCCTTTCCATTTTGATCGTAAAAAATTTCCTAAATTAATAAAAAAAAAAAATTGAAAAGATAGGAAAAAATTCCCTTGAATTTTAAATGAATCCCTATCAAGATTCTGTTACGTTTGTGAGATTTTATTTTAAAATCCAGTCCCTCAAATCTTGTCTTAGGATCTTTTCTTAAGATTCGGTGGATTTGAGATTTTGGTTCAACACTAGTATTCATACAACATAAACCTGTATCTATGGAATAGCTCAATAGCTCAAAGGTGATCTATGGAAATGGAAATCGCTCAAGCTTATTAGAACACCCGCATATTATTATTGTAAGTTGATATCTGTACGAATATAATTTCTTTAAAAAGGAGTCAACACTAATTCCGTTATTTCATGGGACTAATCTGTTAAATGTTTAGTAAAATGCCTGGGTACACTTGTTGGTTCTCTTGCCAAATGTATGAAGAAATATGAGTGAAAGTATTAAAAACATTTGGCTCATTGTACCACAATACATTTTGGGCCGGAAAAGTATTTTAAGTTTTCCTTTAAACATTTGTGTTGAGTCTTGGGAATGTTTATTGTAAATATTGTGTATATGTATATTTTAACTAAGTTGTTTTTATAAATTTTGTTATCATCAATTTGTTTTTGTTTTATTGCCTTTTATTTTCTCCTCTTATTTCTTTCTGTTTTGTGTAGTTTAGTTTTGTTTCACACTAACTTGTTCCGTCCTTATGTTCAATTCACCCACATTAAGATAACTGGGTGGAATGTAAGACTATTTTTAACACAGTTGAGACATGATATAATTTAATTTTGAGGATTCTTTTGTTGAAATACTTTTACAGTTGTAGAATGTAGAAATATTAAAGGTTTGAAGTGAATTCATTTCGGTTATGGATTGAATTGTGATTGCTTTTTCGAATAAAAGAACACCAAGAAGTAGTTTTGCTCAAACATTTAGCAATAAATTATATACATCACTCATATTTCTGTGTTAATGTGATCTCGTATCCGAATTACTTAATTAGATGTTTATTGTCTATGGTAAATGATCCAAGTGATATTAGATTTCTTGTTCCAAATGACAGTACGTTTACAATTTTAATTAAGTTTAGCTAGTTGCAAAATATGTTAATTGTAATTCAAAAGATATTCCAAAATTAGTGTGTATTTTTAAAATTAATACATGGTTAATGATAGGAAGTTAATTGAAGTTTAATGTTTTTGACCATTAATGTTTTCTTTTAAAACTTAATTTTGATCCAAAGATTTTTTTTTTTAAATAGTCGAGTGAATGAAACGTGTTTATTTGTGGTTGTTTTTATGGTACTGTATCAAACGTTTGGTGTATTATTCTTTGGGTTGATCTTAAAGAACATGTTGCTTTACAATGTGAAATCATAGCTTCAAAAACCACTTAATTAATTGTCATTTGGAAATTAGTAATATACATGTAGTGTGGACTTGATTGTATAGTAACACTGTCACTTAAGGGGTGCAACAAGTGCTTTTGTTCCTGAGATTTCCTGAAAATTGCTTTTGTTTCTGAAATTTCCCCAATCCAAACAACTGATTCCCATTTTTTAGTGAGGGTGAATGATTTGTTTCAGGTATTTATTGTTCATTTGATACAGTGTAGTTTGTTATTTTGTTTTAATAAATCTATGAATCGTGTAAATTGACAGTACTGTAGTAAAGTAATATTAATATTATGGAACAAATGTAGTAATTTTTATGCCAATTTAGGACAGTTGTTTTGGTGTGTTAATGTTCCTCCGTTGTTTCCCAATGATAAGAATTAGTTGTTGTACTAAGTGACTTGAGTTGAAAAATATTAAATCGGCCTAATCTATCTAGTTATATATTACTACTTCTGGGTAAAATAGATTACGAAGCAATGGTTGCAGACATAGCAACATGGAAAACCAAAAATACAAACTAACCAGTCTGCAGCTTAATTTTATCTATTTGCTAGCAAGCGGAAGTAAAATTTATAGTTAAAGAACATCCACCCAATGTAAACTCTGAGGCCATGTAGATAAACAGTTTAAAGATTTGGTAAAATCTTACAGTATAAAAACTTTGTGAATTCTTGCAAGTGGGTTGTATACATTTTGTAGGGTTTTGAGATTCCATAAGGTCAACAAAGGGTCACATCACAGATTTTCTTTGTTCAGAATGTTTTGAATCTACTTTCTGGAGAAGTTTTACTGCTGGGAAAAATTACAGTGTTATGTTTGCTGTGACGGGGGTATTTTAAAATCTTGGTTATAAAATATGCTACAGTAATGTAAAACAAAATGCTGTATCTATTGATTAAGCTTTAGCTTCAGACTAGAAATGGGTAAAAGTCAATATCAAAGATATCCTCAAAGTGAAATTCAATACTAGCGTCTCAGGATCCAGAACAGAAACCGATGAGAACCTCTTTTGCGAAGGAGTGGGGGGCATGACGTCTCTCTCTTCTCTTGAGGGAATACCATTACCGCAACGATACAGAGTGCAGCCATCAGTGGTCGTGGTGTAGTGGATAGAGTACTCGGCTGATGTCACTATTACATAGGTACAGGTAATCAGATCGAATCCCACTGGTGACACTAACTTTTTGTCAAAGATTTTGCTTATAATGCAATTACTTATTAACTGTACATCTTTTGTTAGAATTTGAGGCATTTATAATCTATATTATTTTATTAACAGAACTATTTTTTTTATTTTTATCTTATATTAAGGAACGCGGCAGCGTTCCGCCCCGCCAAGTCCCCCAGCGGTACACAGCTGCTGCAGTGTATATATACTTGACGTGACAAAGTGGCTTTTTCACTCGTCTATAGCTCTGAAGAAACAAAAGCTATTAAAATAATTGTTCATCTATTGGATAGGGGCACTCATCCTCAACAAAATAAAAAAAAGAATTTAAAAAACTGTTGTGTTTGAGCCAAGAAAAACTAGTTTGAAAATTCACAAATTTTCCGTGTTCTCCTTCTCCTCCTTCTCCTTCTCCTTGAATGTTGACGGACCTACAGCCCAAACCACTGGCTCAATTTTAATGTTCTTTATGTTGTTTGAAAGCCCTTAACGTGTAGATGTGCCTTTTGAGGGTCTCAAGTCGGTGAGTTGAACCATAAACCCTTGGCAAGCCCTCAAAGTACGATTTTGGCCCATTTAAATAACATGGGATTAAAATCAAAACAAAAGAAGGACCAGCTGCGATTAAATCTCAATTAATTTAAATGTTAGAGAAATTCATAGGAACAGCTGAAAAATTATTTTAAAACTTTCATAAAGTATTTTTTCAGGTATACCGAATGATTTGAACTACTTACTATATAAAATTACTTAGAGCAGTGATATTCCCCGATACTTTCCATTGAAAAATGCAGTGTACCGATGGTACACTGGTACAGCAGTTCGTCATTTTTAACAGTTTAATACTACTTATCAAAACATATGAAACCTAGTAACTTGAAACTTAGTACTAGTACTAAGGTTTGTTTTATGTTTTGATACACTAAAACAAATAAAAGAATCGGGAAAGTCACTTTACGTATGTTAAACCAGCAATTAAAATGTAAATATAGGATTAATTAGTTTTTCAATATTCGTTTTGCCTTATGCTATTTCCAACAAACCTAAACTGTTTGATTACATTTTTACTTCTATAATAAGGGCTCAATTTACACTAGTCTTTAGATATACGGGTTTAATTATCAGAACACTTATGTAACACCAACGCATTTTATGTTGTTCAAGATGAACATTGCTGAATTTACAGCCCCAGACACAGAACCTATATTAATGGATGATGACTAGATTATACAGTTTCAAAGTGTGTGTTTAGTTTAAAATAAACATATTCTTGACAAAATCATAAATAGAAACAACCACCCTGTTGACTATACGTTTAACACATGTTTTCAAAAACTTCCAACGTAGCAATTTTTGTTAAATAGTAATTTTGGTAGGTGTGTCAAAAAGTTTTTAATTGGTTTATAGCAGATAAGACCAAAAAATGTAGAATTTAGTTCTACACAAACAATATTATTGAAATGAAATGAGATGTAGTTGTGCCGTGGTCTATATATTTCACCCAAACTATTTATAACCATTTTTAATTACCAGCTGTAAATAAAAAAAATTTGATGTCTTGTTTATTTTTACAAAAAGAGCAGCATTGTTTATGTTTAGTGAAGAGATCTAGTTCAAGAACATTGAGATGATTGAGAACATTTCTTAGGATCATTTGGTAAGATACCACGTCCATGTTTTAATTGCATTTACTTTCTTTCTAATCTAACATCAGTATGCCTTCTAAAGAAAGACTGGCAAGAAAAAGAAAACAAGAATGGTATTTAGAAAACGCCCCTGCTATAAAAAAAAGAAAAACAGAAGAAGCTAGCATACAATCCACTAATAAGAGTTCTACTTCTAAAGCTTGGTACCTTGAACATGTTAAAGGAGAAAAATCCAAAGCCAGAAAACGTTATCTAGCTAATATTGAAACTGAGAGGTTAAGAAAAAGTGTGCAGTACAGTGCTAATCCTGAACCTCACAGAGCTAGGTTGCGGCAGCAATATTCTGCTAATCCTGAGCCACACAAGGCTAGGAAGCGTCAGCAGTATTCTACTGATCCTGAGCCACACAAGACTAGAGTGCGTCAGCAGTATTCTACTGATCCTGAGCCACACAAGGCTAGGAAGCGTCAGCAGTATTCTACTGATCCTGAGCCACACAAGACTAGGAAGCGTCAGCAGTATTCTACTGATCCTGAGCCACACAAGGCTAGAGTGCGTCAGAAATACTCTACTGATCCAGAATATTATAAAGCTAAACAACGTTTAAACTACGGTGCAAAACAAGAAATGAAACAATCTAATCGCAGGAGACGTTACAAAGTACTTTGTGCAAAACACCCTGGCCACTTTCGCTTGCGATATAAACTTAAGGTTTTTCACGAAAGGGTGCGAAAGTGTGCAGCCTATCAAAGCAGACGCTTTTTTTTTAGAAATAGATCTGATGGGAAAAGAAAATCATTACAAAATGCAAAAAGGAAAATTAAAAAAACTGTTGCAGCTTCACATATTTTCTTGGGGAAAATAAATTGTGAGAAAATAGCCAGACTTATAGCAAAGAAAATACTTGAGCAAGGTTATACCAAAAGTAGGCGCCTTAAAATAAGAAAATAAATAGCAAAACCTAGAAATAATTAGAACACAGATGAAACCATTGTTTTTCGATAGTGAAAAGTATTGTGAATAACATATCAAAAGTCTCCAAAAATATCTTTGGTGGAACACCACCATTTTTCCAAAATGGCGGCCAAATCCAGTAGTTTTTTGCTTTTTATTGAAATTCTGACTTTCCAGTCAATATTGGTGAAAAGTCGTCAGTACATTTAATGTTCCTCCTGAAATTACCTTTAAAATGATACCAAATACATGTACCTACAACAAAAAATAAACCCCGTAGAAATAATAAAATATTTCAAATAAAAATATTTTTTATAATTAATGTAATAGTACAAGCAAACTAAAAATAACGTACACAGGGATCGTATATAAAAATTTGCAAGTAAACATGTTATGGTTTTATTTTTATTGTTGTGGTGTGCAGAGTGACATACCAAAAGTTGCAAAAA